CTATCAACGTCATCCTCTCCCATGAAGCAACCACAACATCAACGAATAAATAGTTTGAACATTGTTTTTTTTCAGCAAAATAGTTTTTAATAATTATTGATTGTTTAAAATTTCTTTCTTTAAAACAATCATTACGTAATTTTCGTTATCAGCGTATCTATTTTATAAAGAAGAGAGTTTTTTAACAAACAAAAATATTAACATAACATCTTATACTATCCATTAAAAAAGAAAGGCTTATCAATTATCAATATTTTTGGATAAAATTTTTAAAAAGAAAATTTTAAATTGCATCTTCTGATGTTATGGATGCTGAGTAAAATAAACTTTCTCCATAATTATTAAAAAAAGGGTATCCGAAAATATTGAAATAGGTGATGGTAAAAGTTGAGACAGGTCTATAACATTGATTTAGTAGACTGGCACAATTGTATTTAGAATGAACTCGAAAAAAGAAAATTTTGAATTGCATCTCCTGATATTATGGATGCTGATTAAAATAAACATCCACCATAAATATTAAAAAAGGGTATCCGAAAATATTGAAATAGGTGATGGTTAAAGTTGAGACAGGTCTATAACATTGATTAGTAGAATGCCACAATTTTTTTGAATGAACTCGAAATATTTTTTAAAAAAACCCTAATTATGAAATTATTTTATTGAATAAATATATAAAATTTGCAGGCCAAGAAAGGAGGAAATTATTCATCACATTTTTTAAATAATTTATGCTGATAATTTGAAAACAATGTATTTTTTTTGGTTTTCTCATTCGTAATTAAATTCTATAAAGATAATTATAAACAAATTGAATTATTTTATTTATTATTGTAAAATTTAATTATATTTTAACGTATTTATAAATAGTCGCTTGATTTTATATATCAAGTGCTAGTGATTTATTTTTTATCCCAATAAAGTAAAAAAGGGACGAGATTTTAAAATTGTAACAACTTTTTGTTATTTTTATTTAGTAGCTATATATTTTGTTGGTGGTCAATTAAATTAGCAGTTAAAAATTTATTACTTTTAGCTTTAGAATTGTGTTGGTAAATTGTGTTAGTTATAAAATAGCGTTGTACTTACTGGTAAAATTTTATATAATTTTCACACTTATTTGAAGAATTTATAAAAAAAATATATTTAAATTAATATAATGTAGTTTTCTGCAAGGTAACATTTTTATGATTAGTGGTTCGAGGACCTGATTTGGGTCGATTTTAAAAACGAGACCCGATCAGGATTTAAGCCAAAATAATATGATGTAAGCCTGGAGATTTCTACTAACAGATAGCAGATCTCTATTAATAGATAAAATATATTGCTGTAAAAATGATTATAGAGCTATTATAATATAAAAATATTACTGAACATCTACCAAATTTATTATTACATACAATCATAGTCATTATTTTTCAAATATAAATTATTTCGGGATAATTTTCTGATAGATTTTTTAATGTAATTTAAAGGTATTAAGTCATTCTATGAGCAAATTACTAAACAATACTCTATAATAATGCATTTATTGTAAATGAGGGGAATTAATCACAATTTTTTAATAGTGTAGTAGAGTAATGATAATTTAAGTAATTCTTTTTTAAATATATGAAGGAATTACTATTACCATTACAACATGTTATTGTAATAACATGGGAATATTACCATACCTTCGAAGGCGGCAAGCTTTAGGAATGTAGGTGTAGTTTTAAGGTATGTTTGATCCACTGATTATGTCATGTAGATGCTCATCACCGTTTTATATTACATAACCAGCGTTTTCATGGGTCCTAAAATGAAAAGAATTAGAATGTGATCCTCCTAGCTAATGTTGTTAATTAGTTTAGTTCCCTATGCGACTGTATTAGTCGATGATTTTAAACAATATTTTTTTACAATTTTAAATTGATTATTTTTGTCAGGCTGTCAACAAATTTAATATTTGCACATTTTTTTTATATCATTATTTTATTAATAGATAGATAGATTAATATTTATATTTTTTAAATTCTGTAGAAATAAATTGAGGTCCATTATCAGTTACAGACCTTTTAGATACAAAGGTAGCAAACCACTTCTTTAATCTAGTTATCATCTTCTTCGCCGATGTCTTTCTCATCAGATCTACCTCAGCCCATTTTGAATATAAATATACTCACACTAGTAAATATAAAAAGTCAACCGGTCCTGTAAAATCTAGATATATACGCTTGTATAGCTCTTTGGTGCTATTACATGAATATAATGGTAACTCATTACGTTTGGTCGATTTTTTTTGACACCTAACACAAAGCTTGATACACAGTTTTATATCCTCTTCACACAACAACAATAAAACTGAAAATAGATTTCATCGTGTTCATTCTCGGATGTCCCCGATGTAGTGTTTCCAATACAGCATTCCTAAGTTTTGTTGGGATTATCAATCTACCATTTCATCTGTCTACTGTTGATTCTTCTTGCTGAGGGTAAAAATTACTAGTTCCTGTTCTTCTTTCCCATTAAAATCTCTCCAACCTTGTTCATTATATCATGATACTCGCTTTAGTTTGGATCTTGTATCGAATTCCTTCCCCCTAAAACCATATCCTCTAAATTGATGTTACGAATCGCCAATGCATGTTTTCTATCTCTATTCGGTATGATATCGTGCAATAGTAACCTAGATAAGGCATCTGCTCAAAGATTCTTACGACTCGGTCGGTATTTTATGTTAAAATCGTATGCAACCATCTTCGAGCCCAAGGTGTCGGACGATTATTTGATATTGGGGAGATTCCTCTTCAAACAACCGTTCTAAAGACTTATGATCTGTCCGGAGTACAAATTGTCGACCGTAAATAAAATCAAGGAATTTTTCTATTCCAAATAGCAGTGTCCACGCTTTATTATTAATTGGCGGATACTATTTTTCAGAAGCAACAACGTTGCATCGAATATGCGATAGATTTTTCCTGGTTAAGTGAAACCTTATAAAGTAAAACTGCCCCAAGACTTGTAACTTACGCATCACACAAATGACATCTTTACTACAATATACATCACAATTTTAGTTCAGTAATATGTAATTTAATATAATACATATAAATCTTAATAAAATATATCATTGCTTGGGACCAAAATATTTTAAAATTTCGCAAATATCCTCATTTTCGCAATTATACTACTAAAATTAAAATCAGTTTGTGTTTTTTATAAAAATATTTATTCTCTATATATATTTTAAGCATATAAATTATCAAACTTTCTAATAAATACAATTTTTAGTTAATATACCAACTCTATATTTAAAATTAAATAGTTATTAAACGAATGAAAAAATAAATTTTTAAAATTTATCAAGTATGTTAACATATGAATTTGATTTTTCCTATGTATTAATTCATTTTCAATTTAAAAATATATTTTAATGTTTCCATTTTTTGAGAAATAATTCGAATAATAGGTAGAACAACAATGATATAGTAGTTAGACAAGGTAATAATTTTTTTTATAATTCGAATAATAGGTAGAACAACAATGATATAGTAGTTAGACAAGATAATAATTTTTCTTAACTTTTTTAATTGAATGCATAAGATTTACTTAAATTTTATTTATGATAATATTTAAAATAAAATTAAAATAATACGAACTAGAAACTTATTAGATGGATTAAGAAAATAATGTACTTTATAATCTATGGAAAACAAGTTAAATTATAACATGTCTTTTTTTTAAAGATTTTATGATACCCAAGAAAGTTTCATATGATAACAAATGCTTATAAATGTGAAACACTTCTACAAGCAATTCAAATCACAAAAAATTATTCAATTAGAAAAATATAAATATTTGATTTCATATATATAGTTACAAATTTATACCAATTAATTGTATATTTATATATGCCAATAAAATAAAGACAGATTTGTAATAAATTTTGAATATTATCATATGTTAATTAAAAAAAAACCAATCTATTCTAATTTTTTAAGCTCAACATTTTTTTCAATCTAATTGTTCTATCCCAAACTTAAAATTATATTTATTTTAGTAAAATTATATTATAAGATCTTTAGATTCCCTTTACCATTTCAGAACTTTAATTACCTTTTATATTAACTCATCTTTTTAAAATAAACTTATGAATTCTAATATTATAAATGTAAATGTATTAACAGGCCATGCTGGAATGAAAGTTTATTAATTAATGATTTGTTAACATAATATTTTATTTGAACTTATTTTATTATACATGCATCACAATTATAAAATAATGTAAGATTTAATAAAAATATTTTATGATAAGAGTTTGGCTAGACTCTGGAGTAAATAATTCTTTTCCTACTATATTTTCTAGCTTTCTCAGTGAATCTTGGTCCCTTAAATGATCATGAGCATTTTCTAGAATATAGTATCCATTAAGAGCCTGATTTTTTGCAACTAAAGGATTTGATTTGAGGCGTAATGTTTGATTGATGTTTTACTCTAAAAATAATTTGAATATGATTATAATATATAATAAAATTACGATTTTTGTATTAAAAAAAAAATAAAGGTGCAGTTCATGTAAAAAAAAGAATAATTTATTTCTGTAAAATTTTTTTATTTCTCTTATCCGATTAAATTAATGTTATTGTCATATAAATGGAACCTGGAAAATTTCGCAATTAACCGATATTTCGCAATTAACCGATTCGCAATTATAAATGCAATTTAATATTATGCCATAGTAATTTTTATCAAAATCGCGGGGTTTTTTCGCATTTAAAATTGTTTGCACTTAAGCGATATACAATTAAGAGGTTTTGACTCTATGTAATATTATTATTTATTGTAATATATATTTTTAAATATAATCAACATTATATCAAAATGATTAAAAAAATTAAAATCTAAAATATTTTATTGTGGTCGAGACAAAATATTTGTACCCCAGACCCATTGTTAAACACTGATGGGTTAAAATGTATGGTACCGGTCATAATTTAGCACATAATGTTTACGAAGCCATCCAAAATTTAAATTTAAAATGCCATTAGAAAAAAGGGAAAATATAGCAAACTATCTTAAGGTTTATAAGAGAAAATATAATAATATGAATTTTTTACAGGAAAAATGGAGATTACTTCCAGCTTTTTTAGAAGCTAAAGGATTAGTTAAACAACATATTGATTCCTTTGATTATTTTATCAATACTGAAGTTTTTTATTAGAATATTTTCGAATAATTTTTTATTTATAGATTAAAGAAATAATGAAAGCGAATAAATTTGTAACCAGTGATGTAGACTCCTCATTTTATCTTAAATATCTTGATATTAGAGTTGGAAAGCCAGATTTAGAAGAAGGTTTTGGAATCAATAATAAAGGTATTAATCCCCATGAATGTAGATTAAGAGATTGTACATATTCTGCTCCTATATTTGTAGATGTAGAGTATACCAGAGGACAGCAGAGAATAATTAGAAATGATTTTCTTGTAGGAAGGTTTAATATTTAAATTTTTATATTTTGTGTTATATTATATTGTTATATAATAAAATTTAAGATAAATAATGAATTACATTTTTGATTTTGGTAGTTACTCATTTTTAGCTAATAATATGGCTTAACTTTGAAGAAAGCAGAAATAATTTAGTCTACCTCAATTCTTAAACTATTTTTTTGTCAGGTGCCCATAAATTGATCAATTTCTAGGCTATTGCCCAACTAGATCTTAAGTATTAATATTGTTATTAACTTTAAAGTGATAGATGACTAAAATTTTAACCCAATTAATATTATATGAAGTCTTGATATTTTTTTTAAACAAAAATTGTTTATTCCCTTGCTCTGAATATATTCTTTTTTTGATGTAAGTTTAAGATGACCCTTCAAAAAATTCAGATATATTTATCACAAACATTTAATTTTTATCACGATTATATTTTATCACATGTCAGAATGCCTGTAATGCTTAAAAGTTGTATTTGTGTCTTGACAAATAAGACTGAAAGGGAACTTGCTCAAATGAATGAATGTCCTCTTGACCCAGGTGGCTATTTTGTGGTCAGGGGTTGTGAACGAGTTATACTTATACAGGAACAAATGGCCAAAAATAGGATGTTAGTGGAAAAACTTCCTAATAAAACTGCTACAAAGGATAGCAATGTCAATAATTATATGTGCTCAGTAGCCAGTCAGACCCATGAAAGAAGGACTAACACTAGTTTAGTGGCCAAGAGAGGAAAATATTATGTTAAACATAACCTGCTCTCAGAGGTTTATCTTTTATTTTTTAGTCATTATGATTATTTATTTTTTTTCTAATTTATTTTAAAGATTTAAAAATTTTTTTTTATCCATCATTATATTGGTCAATATTATTTAATGATTGGTTATTAACCAATTTTTCACAGACATTTTATCCTTGAACATGGTAGCCTATGTAAATTTTTAACAAGGATTATTTAATATATTTTCCTTATTTCTAGCCATTGGATCTTTATGCATTAATAGTTTATTAAAATTATTTACCATTATAAATTTTAATAAACAAAAATGATATATTTAAAAATATACAATTAACTTTAAAGCGTAATCTTTTTTCAGCAAATGGATCTTTATAAAAAAAATATAACTGGAATCATTTGTATTTCCTAAAGTAAATATTATTTTATAACTCTAAATATTAATTTATAAATATATAATATGATGATTTATAGATCTAATGATCTTAATAAATAATATTGTTAAATGGCTCTGTTTGAAACTATTTTTAAAAATGGCACCATAAAATATGCAAGCCTGAAGATTTTGTTCATAGATGCACAAAGGTTAAGACATTATTAGCGATATCTCGAGGCATATGCAATATATTTTTGGCTAAAATATTGAGTTAGCCATTTTAAAAATTTGCTTATTTGATCCATTTAACCAATAACTAAAATCAGCAGTTTAAAGACATAATTTATCAATAAACATATTTATTTCATGAATTTATAGATAACATAAAATTGTATTGAGAGTTAATATTATATAACAAATTTTAAATTATTTACTAGAGATATAGTGGTTTCTAATTTTTCATAGGTTAATAGTACTAGATCCTATGCAATTTTAGTTACTCAGTCAGATAACACTAAACAGCCAAAACATTATTATGAAACTTTTAACATTGCAACAAATCTAAATCATCCAGATATTTTTATTTTTCAGTAGTGCCCCAAGGGCAATCCAAAGTGTTGAATATTGAAATAAAAATGTCCCTTATAAAATAGAAAATAATTATATGATGATTGATAGAATTTTAAAAATTATCACTATTTTGTAGAAGAGGGGTAAAATACATAATCAAACCGATATAAGACATACTAGATTATTCATTATTATTATAGAAACATTAGTACTTTTTATGGAAGTAAAGGTAAAATATCTAAGTTAAAATAAGGTGTATTCCGCATTTTCTCAAAACGTATAATTAATATTAATATACTAATGAAAACCAACTAAATTAATGTAAGAATTCACTGAAAAAAGGAGTTTAATATTGAATCTTTTAAGCAAAATTATATTAAAAGTTATATATATCTTTTATCGAAGGAAATGAAATAGATTAATATTCTTTTGAATATAATGTAGGAAAGATATAAAGGTACAGGGTGCAAAAGGATTTAGTATCTTAGATACAGGTTTTGACATGACTGCTCACCTCTAGTTATGTGAGCCTTTCTGTCTGTCTGAAATCGGCTTCTTATAATCGATTTATCATGGATAAGATCATAATGACAGTCACCTGAATATTTTTTTTATTCCTCTTAACAATATCACCAGGACTTGCCTATAGCTATAGTCTTCAAAGCAATGGGCTTCGAATCGGACTACGAGATAACTCGCATGATCATAGGCTGTGATCCCGAGCCTTTTGTTTACGAGCAGAATGAATCAATAATAACAAGTTCAATTAGCCCCTCTCTGGAGGAAGCCCACACGTTTCAGATCTTTACTCGCAAAATGGCTCTGACCTACATCGGATCCAAGATAAAGGATTCCAGGCTTTGGAACATCAAGAAGAGCAAAATAGAACAAGCTTGGGAGTTTCTCACTTTCACACTACTGTCTCATGTTCCGGTATATTTTTTAAAAAAATTATAATATGTGAATTTTAAATTGAAAGAAAGAAGTGTAAATGTCGATTCTTAATCGTAAATTGTCCAAGTATAGTATTAAGTAGTAATTTTAAGCGGATCAATTTGGATCGATTTTTAAAAAACGGGAATTTTGGCCAAAATAATATTATGTAAGCCCGGAGATTTTACTTATATATCACACGGGGTTTGGGCGTCTCTATTTGGCAAATCTTGAAGCTTGCATATTATTATTTAGGCTAAAATCTGCTCGAGCCGTTTTTTCAAAATCAACTAAATCTGGCCGTTAGACAACATGTCTTATTTATTGACATAATCTCGTTCGCGGTTGTTTTAATTTATTAAATATACAGGAGGGGAAAAAAGGAAAGTAACATGAAAGGATTGAATTGGTGGCAAAAAGTCATTATAAACGTTCATTAAAAAAATTTTTTTTTTGGTTTATGATCTAAAAAACAGGTTAAAACAATACCACCGAATGTGAATAGAACTCAACCGGATAGCTTTGATTTCACGGGCAAGGCCTTATATTTAGCCGTAATGTGCAAGAGGGTAATCTTATCTTGCGCTAGCTCCAGTTTCAATCAAGGTATGCAATATGGTGCAATGTTTTTAGATAAAATTAAAGAAGAAGGAAATACAGTATATCCCCCAAATGTGATCATCTCATTATTATTGAACCGTTTTACTTCGGTCCCTTGAGATGGTAAGATCAAGGGTTCTGGACCCGAATTCGGGTTCAGGAATTTTAAATCCTATTTAGCCGTAATCTAAAACCGATCTTTTAAAAGAGGTCGAACTTGCCCCTGGTCCATATTTCCCCGGATTCGATGGGCTGCCCATAAATTAGTCCCTGCTTAGTCTGTGGTCTCAAAATGCCCAACTAAACAATTTTAAATTTCTGAACCAGAAATCGGGTCCAGAACCTTGGTAAGATTAATTTTATTCTTATTTATATTAATCATACCTCTCTTATTCTAAATATTGATAGAAAAAAATTTATATTAAACATTAAAATGGTCTTTGCAATAAAAAACAGTTTCAACATGTATAACGCAAGCTCATTTTAATTGATATTCGACCTGCCAATCTGTCATCAAAAATCTTTTAAATATATATTACTATTTTACCTCCAAATATAATATCTGTTATACAACTAACCTGCGAGTAAATGATCCATAATTTTTAAAAAGGGATTTTACAGAAATAATTTATAAAATTTGTAATAGCTTAAATCTTTTAGGATGAAATAAATCAAATTTTAATATATTATTATTACTGGGAAAAATTAAATGTGGATTTTTATGGGATAAAGTAAAATTAGGATATGATTATTGACTATTTTGATAAAGAAAGGATAGATATTTCATAGATCGGTATTATCCTTGGATAATGATATTTTTATATTTGTAAACCCACCACTAATCAATTCATAGATATGTTAGATAATGCTGACACATGTGAGGAGCCAAAAAAAGTAATAAATGATTTTGATAAAATAGAAGATCATTAGAATAGTATAGAAAGACAATTTTTTAAGTGCCATCTTGGTTTCTTGATTCCTAAATTGGAACAAAATCTGAGCCACTTACTATAAATGGAATATATTTTTAATATTTCAGCAAATAATGTCACTCAATGGTGCCCTGGAATCTTGCTTATAATTACTCATTCAGAAAATTAACAAACGTGATTCGTAAATAATACGAGCCGACACAAAATTTTGATATTAAACTCCCCCAAAGAATATTAAATTACCTATTCCATATTATAATTAACATCTGAAATGAAATAAAGCACTTATACCTCCAATGGGTGAACCTAGGTTGTAAAGCTAGTTTTGTCCACTACAAAATTTTCAGGTGGACAGTTCGATTCAAGGGGGGAATAAAAGTCACACTTATTAGTATTTAGTGAAAGTTCCTTTATGGGGGCTAAGCGATTTATAATTGTAGGAATTGTTATGATTTCATTATATGGGCCAACTATTGTGCCGTCATCGAGGTACCAAACATTTAATTTAAAGTCACAATTTGAAGAGATTTCTTTTATGATTAATTGAATGCCCTGACAGAATAATGCAGGACTTAAAGGATCTCCTTGTTGGATGCCTTGTTTAGAGAGAATGATTGAATCAGTAAATTTTTAAAATGTGGATTGGTTGTAACATGCTGCAATGTATGTTGAATACTCTGGGAATGTGTCACAGAAAGAGGGCAACGCACTCACACATTCTACTCTATTGCTCAATCATATTTTTTACAATACACCATTCAGCTCAACATTTTTGGAGCCCGCTTACTAACCTTAAACAAAACAAATGGGGACATCAGAACTATTGAAGTAGGGTCATTATTCCGGCTAATAATTTTTTCCCTTTATAAAATCAAACCTACTCAACCTACTACAACTTAACCAGTTTGATTTTAATGTTCCTGGAGGATGTGAGACTGCATCCCACTCGATGCGTATCATACTCTATAATGCGCATGATCAATGCATCCTCAAAATAGATCTACAAAATGCCTTCAATTTACTTCGAAGTGAACATTTTATACCCTCTTTCTGTGAAACATTCCCAGAGTATTCAACACACATTGCCGCATATTTCAACCATTCTAATTTTTTAAAATATAATGATTCAATCATTCTCTCCAAACAAGGCATCCAACAAGTAGATCCTTTAGGTCCTGCATTATTCTGTCAGGGCATTCAATTGATCATATAAGAAATCTCTTCAAATCGTGACCTCAAATTAAATATTTGGTACCTCGATGATGGCACACTAGTAGGCCATAGTGAAATCTTAAAAATTCCTACCATAACGGTACTGTCACTAAATCATAATAAGTGTGAATTTTATTCCCCCCTTGAATCGGATTGCCCACCTGAAAATTTTATTGTAGTGGACAAAACTAGCTTTACCCACTTAGGTTCACCCATTGGAGGTGAAAGTGTATATTTCATTTCAGAGATGAATTTCTTGCCAAATTCAATAGAATGAAAAATATTTTAAAACATTTACCTGCTCATCAGGCTTTTATTTACTTAAAATTTTTTCATTCATAAAATTTTACATGCCTTTCGTTCATCAACAATTTTCATGTCCCCTGAAATATTATTAGACCTTGAAGTTCATATAAAAAAATCTAATCTATTTTAAATATCAAGTTCTCAACTCTCCTGGATCTAAGCTACCCATCCATCGCTAGATGGTATATGTATCTATTATTCTTAAGCATTTAAGCCATTTTATTCTCAGTTGATAAGAGTCTTAGATACTATCGATCCACATAATACGATAGCGTTAGACCTCTGGAGCCAAAATGCTCCGAGCCGCTCATATCCAAATTCTATAAGATAAAGAGACTAGAATTTACTATTGTACAGCATTGCGTCGAATACTTACACTTCAAAGGTTAGAGAATATCCATCGCTCTTTTTCCACCTAAATCCAACACCGAGTATACAGAATAGCAATAATACATGCCTGATCACATAATTCCAGCCTCAACCATATGCCAACTTAGTTATGAATGGTTAAAAACCATACCTTTTCTAATTTAGGCTTGTTACTAACCAATGAAAAACTTAGAATAGCTATAGGTCTTCGTTTAGGCTCTGATATCATAACGCCGTCATCATGTGTCCCTGTGTGAAATTCATATTGATAGCCTTGGACACCACCCTTACAGTCGTTTTTCAAAAGACAGATTAGCCAGGCACTATGCCATCAATTCGATCATCAATAGAATCTTGAAATCTATTATTATTCCTTTTAAGCTGGAACCCTCTGGACTCTTTCCTGATCAAACCAGACATGATGGAATGACGTTAGTTCATTGGAACCAAGGTATAATCCTTGCTTGGATTATACATGTGTAGATCATTTTGCCAGATCTTTTTCTCTCAACTTCATCACGAAAGTTGAACATAAAAAAAATAAATATAGCCACTCTAATAATCTTTTGTTTGTTCCGGCAGTCTCAGACACCTGTGGATCATTTGGTCTAAAATTATTCAAAACAATAAGGCAAAGGTTACGTTTAATCACAGGTTATTAAAAAGATTCTACCTACAACAGTGAATATCTAAATTTGTCGACCTAATTGTATATCTAAACATGGGTCATTAAGCCCCGCCGACCAAACCTAAATATATTTCTTGTATAGCGTAAAAAAAATATTCATTATTTTCAGGTATAAAAATAGAAGAAAAAAAACGAAATAATTTTTCTAAAATATCAAAAATATTTTCGTTAATTAATTTTAAGCTATTATTTTTTTTTAAAAAAAAGGTTCCATAGTTTGACCAACTTATGAACCGTCACGGAGGTTCTACTGTAAAAAATATTATATATTGAATGAACAGAATAAAAGGATTAAATATTTTTGAAAGAAAGAATAGAAAGAAGGATGGATGGAAAAAAAAGAAGCAAAAGAAAATTTTTTAAAGAACATTACTACTGGATTTTAATTTTATATTTTATTGTAAAGAATCGACCATTGCTTCCGACATCTCAGATGACAAAGATTATTACGGTAACAAAAGGTTTGTTTTCTGTAATGTGTGTACAAAAAAAATTATTTTTATTTTATAATATTTTGATTGGCGTATTTTAAAATATATTTCACCGTTATCAAAATCTGAAGATTGCTCAAAACAGATTTTTGTATAAATAAAGAAATAAATTATACTTTTTTTTTGGTCACTTTTCACTCCCCTGAAGGCTCGAATTAGCCGGGAATTCTTTGGCCCTCCTTTTCGAAGACCTGTTTAAACGGCTCAACGCCGAATTGAAAATCGCCGCCGATAAAATCATCCCCAAACCCCGCACTGCCCAATTTGATCCCCTGAATCACGTCAGAGTCGATATTTTAGGGAAAGGTCTCGAGAACGCGCTGGCTACTGGTAATTGGACCATCAAACGATTCCGAATGCAACGGGCAGGGGTTACTCAGGTATTTATGATTATTTATTTGGAGGAGTTTTTTAAACTCTTTTTCCTAGTTTTTTTTTATACCTAATATGCGATAGATGAAGAGCTGTTTTTTAAAAAAATGGAGAATGTTATTCCACTCTAAATCATATACCATATCAAAATAAGTTTTTATACTTATGGTCTTCGATTTAGATACCTATTTTTTTTAGAATTTGGTAAATCAGCTTTTCCACTTTTATATCCCATTTCAGTCTTATCTTCTCGTCCTTTTTCACTTAGTTTTTGCTTTCCTTACATCTTATTATCACTGTCTTTTATCTATATACCCCGATTTATCATGAAAATCCTTAATGTAATTTTACAAACAATTTATCCCCTCCCCATCCTAACTTTTCTTCAAATCTTTCTCATTCTTTTTTTTAAAAAACTTTCATTTTATGAACTTTTATTCCATTCTTTTATTTCTTTTTTTAGGTCTTATCCAGGCTCTCTTACCTTTCGGCACTGGGTATGATGACTAGGATTAACTCCCGCTTCGAAAAAACCCGAAAGGTTAGCGGTCCTAGAGCTCTCCAGGCTTCTCAATGGGGTTCCGTGTGTCCGGCTGACACCCCTGAAGGAGAATCTTGCGGACTAGTCAAAAATCTTGCCCTCCTCACTCAAGTAATAACCTTATCGGTTCATAAAATTTCTAAATCCGCTCTTCTATTTACCTACAGGTTACCCACGATGTTCCTGACCAAGATGAACGTGCCGTCAGTCGATTCCTTTGTAAAGTGAGCAAGTTGGTGGATAGCGATCTGCTCAACAGTTTGGGTCATGGTAATACTCTCGTCTTTTTGAATGGTAAATTTTTTTTTCAACTGATCAATGCTTAACATAAATAAATATGGTAGTAATGGTTTTTTTTTATATTAAACTGCCTATCACTCCTAGGATTTAATTCTTCGACATTCAAGTTAAACGACTGTCAATCAAAAGTTGACATTACGAAATAAAATGAACTCTTATTTTTACATAACATTTATTTATTTTTTGTTATGGTAATTAATTTTCAGACAGCAAACTCCTTAATCTTGACTATGAATGTAAAATGACCTCTTTTTTTGAACGACACATTATTTTAAAACATTGATGATGAGTGTGTGGAGGGAAAAATGTTATTTACATCATTTTTTATTAGGTGCGACTTCGATTTTCATATAGGCAAGCGCATGACTGGCGCAATGATTTTTTAAGAATATGTTTCAAATTTACTATTCTAATGATGATAATAACAATAATGCCACAATTATGAAAACTTTAAAATTTTAATCCCAACCAGGTGGCATGGTACATTAATTGCTGAAAGCATATTCTGTGGAGCAAATAAGAATTTAATTAATAAACGTTTTGAAAATAAAACACTATATCAAACTTTGAGTCATATCTAGTTAGAAAAACTATTTTTTCTTTCAAAATTACAGAAACAGCCAAATTTCTATCTGCACTAAAAGGCTTACCTTAACTTAGTATCTTTTTTAGAAGTGAAATTGATACAAATTTAATATTTTTTAGAAATAATTCTCGCAATATAATTTTATTTTATCTCTTATCAAAATGCATTTTCTTTTTCTTATTCCATAATAATAATATAATAATGAAAATAAACATTTTACAAAACTTAACAATAATGATAGCTCAGAAATCATTTCTTTAAAGGAAAATATCTTAAAAAAATTGCGTTACGATTTCTGGTTTGTGATCTGCAAGTAATAATATATAAATATGTTCATTTATTTTTATTTCAAAAATAATCTATTTGGCTTCCCTTCCAGATCTAAGAATTTCAAAAATTGAAAATTGTGTCAATGTATAATATAGTAGAACAAAATTACTCAGCTTTGTAGTGTATTATAAAACATCTTAAACTTATAGAGTACGATGATAATAAGATTATTAAGATAACTATTGAGAATCAAGAGGAAAATATTAAATTCAAATTATTTGTCAAAATTAGCAACTAAACATTCAAACAACAAAGTAAAAAATATGATTCCACTTTGAGTGATTTAGAATAAGTATGCCATATTTTTCTCGGAAAACGCTATTCACAAAATATGGAATTTCAATATTTCTGGAGAGAAAAGAGGATCGAATAATCTTTACACGCTAGCTAAAAAAAAAAATTATTTTCCGACAACTAGCACACTCAATGGAAGAGTTTTTTTTCTACCGGTTGACATTGAATTCAAAGAGATCAGCATTATGTCCAAAAATTTTTAATACGATTATTTTTATACATGATATAATTATAAAATTACAATATCGATTTTGTTTATATAATGTGCTTAGCGATTTTAAAAAATATATATGTTATAAAAATTTATGACAGTGCGTCGAATTACGCCGTCTATGTTGACGACGGCTCTCGCGTCGGCCGCCGATAGTTTCGTCGGCTCACAGGTTTAGTTGTATGTTACATATTGTTATAATGAAGTCCTTCTTTCATGTTTGCCGAAAAAAAAACGCATTTTCATTCATATAAAAATGTTATTTATTATATACCAAGTTTGTAAATATTTTTTGTAGTGTTTTTTTTTAAAGTTATCAGTAACTGTATGAATATTGATCAACTCTCATTAAATTAACTTCTCGTATAAAATATATTTACGAATTTGAAATTCGTTATTATTGAGCTTCTCTATCCAGATCTCTTACGAATTATCATGTTCCTTTGTAATTTTCGCAAAATAAAGGCGTAATTCTGGGCGTAACCTCCAATCGCGAAAAATTAACGCTGACTGTTAGGATGCTTCGACGCAAGGGCTTCCTAGACCCCTACGTGTCCATCTATTACAACACATCTCATAAATGCGTCTATATATCGACCGACGGTGGAAGGATTTGCAGGTCATTTCCCTATTATTCTTTTCTCTCTATTATATCGCTATTGATTCTGATTACTAATCCAAAAAAAATATAAGGTTGAATTCTGTATCTTCTAAAGATAAATTATTTCGTATATATTTCTCTCCTGATTCTCCCGGCCCAGGCCCTACATAGTTGTAGATCAAGTTGGTCTCCCTCTCGCGACGCAGTCTAAATTGACCGAGCTTTGTTCGGGTATTCGGAATTTTGATTCGTTCGTACAAGATGGTTCTGTCGAATTCGTGGATGTGAACGAGCTCAACGATTGTTTCGTGGCCCTTTACGTCAAGGATATAATACCCGGAAAGACTACGCATTTGGAGATAGAACCTTTCACTATCTTGGGTAAATTCATATTTTATTTGGAAATGCAAGTATAAAATGTTTATATTTAAACCCAAAATCCTATAAAAAACGTCACTCAAAAAATATACCTGAATAAAATCTGAAATAAATTTAATTTATAATTATTTTTTAAAAAAAAACAAAATGAACAAATTTTAATACAATAGCGTTAATAATTATTGTATATAAAATTGTTATTGTTGTTAAATTAGCTAACTTTGACCATCTCTATTGTGGCTTAGTTTAGCCTTTAGCTTAAAAAATTGAATTAGGCTTCTAAAGTTAAGTCTTAACTTGAAGAGTGATTTGAATATTTTTGGATAAATACATAGCTACACTTGTTTTATAGATGACAAAAGTTAGATAAATATCGATCTGAATTAACTCGCAAAAATATTATCCAAAATTCACCATCTAACTTTATTTTCTTACTCTTTGAATTATGAGCGTTATTTAATCCGATTTATGGAAACAAGCCAACTCAATATTTTATCCTGAAAAAAAATATTACGCTACGCAAGTTTGAAGATTTTGGCCATCGATGGTGGCACAAAGGTTTGGGCATCTATCAAATAAATCTCTAGGCGTAAGCGGCTAAAATATTGAGTTCGCCATTTTTTGAAAATCGGGCCGTGTAACAACACTACCCATAATTGTGAGTGACGAGACATCATTAGTCGTTTGGCTCCCGCTCCCCTAACTTTTTTTTAAAAAAGTGACTAGGAATATTATACCTCCAAAAGAGATTGACCATTAACATCGTAAAAGCGAATTATAAAAGTTTTTATATATACTCGATTAGTAAGTGTCAAAATGTCAATCAAGACCCCTAAAATTAACATTTTCTTTTATTTACTAAATATTTGCTTATATAATAATAATATTTAGTTATTTAAGGCGCCTATTTAAATCGGTGAGAATTAAAACTGAATTGCTCAGATTAAAAGATGAATCGCTTAGAAATGTATAAAACGCTCAGAAATTCGTGTGCTATTTTAAGAAAATATATGTGAAATTCAGTGAAAAACCTTTTTTTATAAAAATTCTATTGATTTATTAAAATTCATATACAAATATGATTATTTAAAAATTAACATGGTTGGTATAATATAAAGAATACAGTAAAATATGTCATATATAAGTTCAAGTTAAAAAAAAATATTTATACAAAGCATGAGAAATTTTTTTTTTAAAAATCAGGTGGCGAGGTCTTGCCAGGATGTTTTATATATTTGATAGTTAGATCTAATTAAAGAGACGGCGATTTTCTGCTTGAGTTTATAAAATGGAGAAAGGTATGATTTTTTGATTGATTTGGATATTATTTTGAAGGGATTTAATGCCGCTTCTCCAAAAGGGCAGGTTGATGTAGCTGCTACGGGAACAAAGTGGTTGTCACACATTAGGTGCGAGTTATTTTTATTTTTTAGAGATTCAGCTCTATTAAGGAGATCATGCAAATTATTAGATGGTGCCATGGGATCAATGCAGATAAAATCCCACATTAAAGGCTTTCCCATTAAAAACGGTTACGATTGTTTTGAATTCAGGGCGTTTTTTATCTAAAAAGATGTCGGTTCTAAAATACAAGGAAAATTGGCATTATTTAAAAAGTAAACTATTATTGAATTTATTTGATCATGTCGGCTGATTTTTAATATAAATTTACAGTGGAGAGCGTGTCTCCCATACGCATCTGCCGATTGATTGCATTATGCAATGTATATTGGTTTAGAAATACATCCAGGCTTAAATTGATTGCATAAAGAAACGAATCGTTATCTATTAGTTGGTTATTTACTTTACAATGCTGGGATTCATGGCCAGAGTTGTTAAGTGTTCTTAGGAGGGATTTATATGGTGATCATCGCTCTAGTTTAGAACCGACATTTTTTAGATAAAAAAACGCGCTGACGGCAAAACAATCTTAACCGTTTTTAATGGGAAAGCCTTTAAGGTGGCATTTTACCCACATTGATTCCATGACCCCATCTAATAATTTGCATGAAAAATACTCCTAAATGTGTGACAACTGACAACCACTTTGTTCCCATAGCAGCTACATCAACCTGCTCCTTTGGACAATTGGCATTAAATCTCTTTAAAATAATATCCAAATCAATCAAATCATACCTTTTTTTATTGAATAATGGATAAAAATTTTGAGCTAAATAATATAAGTCGTTATTTAATCTATATACAATTTTAAAAGATACAGTAATTATTAATTCATTTGTATCATTAAATTTTTTATGATTTTATTCGAAAGAAAGAAAGAAAAAGAAGAATAAATTTAAAAAAAAATGTTATTAGCCAACCCCTCCTGATATTTAAAAAAAAAGAACCAATCATGTTTTGGGAAGATAATATATTTAATATTTTTTTAAAAATCATTCTTTAAAAATAGGCGTTTGCGCAGGACTGGTCCCATTTCCCGATCACAATCAATCTCCTAGGAACACATACCAATGCGCTATGGGTAAACAGGCCATGGGTACCATCGGTTACAATCAGCAGGTTTATTTTATATTTCATTCTATCTTAAATTTTTTGTTTGTTTGTCTATTATTCCTTCGTTATAGCTAATATTTTTATTCTAGCACCCCCCCCCCTACTCCCCATCTCATTTAATTTCTTTCTTTCTTTTTATTTGGCCTGATTTATCCCTTGAGCATTTTCTCTGGATCCAAACTAGAGGTCCGCCCCGCCTACTTTTGGACAGGTTAAAGAAAATTTAAATATTGAGCGATCAGGTTGGCGGGTTTAAAATTATTTTTAAAACAATGGACGGATGGGTGAATTTAAGATTCGGGCTAAATGAACAGAACGAACTTCTATTTATTTTAAATACGCTACGCGAGGTTACGGGTAAAGGTCGCGCAAAGTATTTTCTAGGCATCGAGACCTTGCGACTCTCCGCCTATTTAAATTTATATTTGCATATTTTAAAACTTTTCAATCTCGTAGTACAGGACTGAATGAATTAATTTAAATATTAACAAGATTTAAATAATTAACTACAAAATAATTAAATCAATTTCAGCTTTATTTTAAGGAAAAAACATAAATAATAAAATTTTATTATAAAAGCAATATTATATATTATAATCCTTTATCAACATTTGCATATTCCAATTGTATGCGAAACATATAACTTTTCAAAAATTATGAAGATCCACAAAAAGTAAAACATAAAAATTAACATAATAAAAATACATCGCAACTAATGTTGGCTCTTTTTGAGTCGAATTTTAAAAACGGCTAATTCAATATTTCATCCAGAATAATATTACGCAAGCCTGAAGATTTTGTTTATAGAAGGAACAAAGGTTTGGACATCTATTAGTGAAATCTCGAGACTATGGTAATATTTTTCTGGCTAATGGTAATATTTTTCTGGCTAATGGCAATATTTTTCTGGCTAAAATATTGAGTTAGCCGTTTTTAAAAATCAGCTCAAAACGAGCCGTTTAACAACGCTAATCGCAACAAAAATTAATCAAATAATTTTAAAAAATTGAGCTAACGGGTTGGTTAAACCTATTTTTTCTTTAGATAGATTGGCGAGCGGGTAAATTTTTGTTATGAAAACTAAGGTCGTGCTATTTAAAAAAATAAAATAATAAAACATTGGGCAGGCTGGTTTTTATGTTAAAACCCAATTGATGTACCCCGCTAGTTCCATCATGACCCTATAGTTTTCGATAACCTTATAACTTAAAATCATACATCGAAGTCAGCTGCAATCAATGTCGTTGGCTCTAAGAGACGCCATTGTTTAAATATTGCCTTTCAATGGCGGACTACCTTTTTTTAATCCATTTTGATGAAAAATAATTGTAAGTCTAGATTAATACGAACGTGATTCTCATTGGTCCTACCAGGCCGCCTTTAAAAATTTGGGGTTTTTTTGCTCATATCTATTTTTTTTTGAATTTAGCACTTTGCTTCATAGAAATATCATTTCAAACTTAAATTGTTGTATATGCTTTCAAAACTTGTATTAAATATTTAAAATTATACTCTACAAGCACTGTTGTTAAAAATCCCGAAAGATTTTTAGCTAAAATGATATTATACAAGCCTCGTGATTTGGAGGTCTAAACCTTTCTGCCCTTCTATGAGCAGAATTCTCCAGGCTTACATAATATTATTTTGGCTTAAAAATATTAATCGGGACGTTTTTAAGAATCTGAATTTTTAACTTTGCAAAAGAGGAAGTCGTATTTTTAAATCTAGCTCTCAACAGGTGTAAGAGAAAAGAGAACCTTTAAACACGGTTGCAATAGCAAAGTTATATTCAAACTTAAACCAAATGAAAATGGATACATAATTAGTGTTAAAAAAGTTTGATAAAACCCACAATCATCATGAATTGGGTATTATTATATCTTGGTTTTATAATTTTATCTAAATATTTGTTAATGGTTTTAAAACATTTACTTATTTCCAATAAAAACCAGAGTTGATACTTTTCAAACATATCTACACATCCATATCTTAAAATATTCATGTAAGGGTGAGTCTAATGTCAAAATAAATAATTAAAAATTTTTCTGGCCCTCCATTTTATGAAATAAAATTTACTATGAACTTCCAGAATTTTATTAAATTAATAACTGATTAAATGTATACATGTCATACAATATTTCACATCTGTAGGTCTCTGGTATTAAAGATGAACTTTTATAATTCTTATTCATTTTAATATTCTTTTTGAATTATTAACTAATATTATATTAAATCGTAATTTACATATGGCTAGACTGTTAAATTTTAAGTTCATCTTTATTAATCTGATAATTTTTTTATAGATAGGAAACGATGGGGCAAAATTATTACAAATAAAAGGAGCAAACATTAGGGCAAAAATTATTACAAATAAAAGGAATATAAGCATTGAATAGGTAGTTTCAGTAAATAAAAGACACCTTAGAAAAATGGTGTATGCGAATTCAATTGACAAATAAAATCAATTTTATAACCAGCTTAAAAATTTTAATTTATTTGAAATACAAAAATATTTCGATAATCATTGGCATCCAATTAGGCATCAATGGTCTTCTTTCATGGCGGAAACATACTACAAATTTTAAAAACTACAGCTTAGATAAAAAGCACAAAATAATAAACCTCTATATGACTTTCAATCCATCTAGATTCCATTCATCATCTCCACAATTTCAATACCATGCATTACTTACAAATTATGCTTTCAAAATTGTATTAAAGGAGCTTACATATTCAAATTATATTTGTTTTGAAATGATGAAATAAATTTTATTATTGATAAAGAAATATATAAGATTACCTTAACTCATTTCAGCTATGGATCTATAGAATCTATGTTTCTACTATGCCGACATATATTTGCTAGGGGGGGCAGTGAAAATATAGCTATATATTATAACATTCTGTTCTGAATTTACAAGCCACATGCCACATATATGGTTAAACCCTTCACCATCAATTAAAATTAACAAAAGTACTGGCATGCAGTAAATGTTCAATTTATATGTCGCGTCTATGAAAACAACTTCAGGATATGCATCAAACATTTTTCGCATATCCCTACTCTGAAAATAAATCCCCCTTAGCTCATAACCCTCAATATACATATCTATTATATTATTAGCCCCATCTTGATTCTCCATTAATTGAACCAACTGTTTTAGGTCATTCATTTTATTGTAAATGTTGTCATCCACATTTTGATTCAATTTAATTTTTAAATTGTACAAATTAGCAGCTGTTACAACTTTACCCAGCTTGTTAGAGTAATAATTTTACTTGATTTTCCATCAAATTTGAGGGCAACATTAGTTAAAAGATTGTCTAATTAAATGGCCCTCCTTTGTTTGGGCTTGTTATTAGACTCCACATCATCTATAAAAAAAATTAAAGCAATTATCAGATGATGAACTTAAAATTTAACAGTCCTGTCATATATAAATATAAATATAATTCATTAAACATAAAGTAAACTATAGCTTTTCACAAGGTTGTTCCATAAAAATTTTTTTACCTCCTAGCTTAAATTTTCTTTCGGAATTTTTTATGGCCAGATACTGCAAACTTTATCGTTGTATTGTTAATGATTTATGCTGGTCAATCATCCAATGAAGTCCATTTTTTGGGCCTACATAGCGTATATATTTATCCAAATTTATTTGAATTGTAAACTACTGTTTTAATAAAAAAAAAATTGCGTATTGACCCCTAGCTTTTTTGATTCTTTTATCTAAACACATAAAAGAATTTTGGCTTAAATATATTAACAAGTTACGAATTTTGTGCAATTGACTAATAATTAAAATGGCATATCTCATAAACATGTGCTCGATCCAACTAAGTTATTAACTAATCCTATAGCTATACATAAAATAAATTTGAAAGCCTATTTTATCTTATAACAATTTCTAATTTTTTTTACATTTAAATTTTTTTAACATTATATAACCTTAAAGACCTACCATTAATCTATATAAAGAAATTTTAATGACGCTTTTAGCTCATTGATATCCAAGGATATCTAAAATAATTATAGGGAGTGCATTTTTCCCCAAAATGCCCCATTTTTTTGACCTTTAGATGTCCGTATCTCAACCGCTGTTATGAGTCGGAGGCTTGGAAATAAATTTTTTAATTATAAATATGCAAACTCTATTGTAAAAATATTTAAAAAAATCTGAGGTGGTCATGGTTGAAAACTCATGATGATTTGTCATGCAATTCCACCATGTTTAAATTTCGAATATAATAAGTGTATCATTTCTTTTATTCACGGAACCATTACTCGAGACTAGTGTTGTTAAACGGCTCATTTTGAATCGATTTTTTAAATCGGCTAACTCAATATTTTAGTTAGAAAAATATCGCCTAAGCCTCGAGATTTCGATGATATATGCCTAGACCTTTGTTCCTTCTCTAAGCAAAATCAGGCTTGCGTAATATTTTCCTGGATGAAATATCGAGTTAGCCGTTTTTAAAAATCGGCTACTCTAGACTAAACAATGGTTCTAACTATTTAACCTCATTGCTAATGTGTAAAGCAAAGGAAAGCAAATTATGGAAAAAAAACTTTTTTAAGAAAAATAAGGGAATAAATTAAATGGAATTGAATGAAAAGGATTAAATAAATCAATATTAAAAGTATACAATGATAGTGATGTGGTAATGGTAACCATATATAGAACGAATCATTTCGCTTATAATACTTCAATTTTTTTAAATATATTTTATTTTGTTCTTTCCTAGGTGAGAATAGATACTCTTTTATACTTATTAGTTTACCCCCATCGCCCATTGGTCAAAACGAAAACACTGGATCTTATAGGTTTACATACATATTAATTTTACATTGTTTTATATGACGTGTTTTTTCTTAAGCGTTCTACAACTTAAAAAATTTTAAGCAATAGGCAGACGGGCGGGTTAAACAAAATTTATAGATAAATAAATGGGTGAGAAAGCGAATTAAAATAAATTTAAAACTAACCACTACCTTGAACCCTCAACTTTTAAAAAGGGTTCGGTTCTGGTTCAGAAAAAATAGCATGCAGGATCCTTGAGTTCGCATCCCTGGTGGCCCAACATTAAATTGAGAAATTTAAATTCGATTTAATTTTTTTTAAAAATTATTAAGAGATGAATATGAGAACCATTTTATTTTTGTTTTAAAAAATTTATTATTAAAAGGATTCGATAAATTGCCAGCCGGTCAAAACGCGATGATAGCTGTCATGAGTTACAGTGGTTACGACATTGAAGACGCCATCATATTGAATAAAGCTTCTTTGGACAGAGGTTGTTTTTTATTTATATATCGATTTTAAGAAAATTGGTGCTCACGAGTGGGATTTGGACCCGTGCCCTTAACCCCTGTAATATCCATAAGGGGTGGGGTAAATTAGACCCCTGGAAATTCTATCTTTTTGTATAGGTTTATCAATTTTTAAGCCTGGCCTAATTCGTATCTTTATTTTAGGTCTGAACCCACCCCCGAATTTTTTAAAATTAAATATATAAATTACCCGCATTTTTATGAAGTAAAAAAAAAAATTGTTTTCTCTTGATCATGAACAAGAGAAAACATAATTTTATATGTTGTTTTTTTTTCAAACCCAACAGTTCGAAAAATTTTGGATATTTTTAGGCCCTGCTCCAGGTCTATCTGTCCTCTAGTGTGAATAGGGGTAAATGATTTGCTCAGTGGATAAAGGGAGAAGGAATAAAAATATATATATATCTAATTATTGAAATATTCAAAAAAAAACTCTTAGGTTTTGGGAGATGCTTTACCTATCGTAACGCCAAATGCACCCTCAAGAAGTACGGTCATTCCCAGGGTTCTAGCGATAGAATAATTCCCCCGACTATAGATAGCGTTACTAATCAGCCCGTTTTCAAGCACGCCTCTTTGGATATAGACGGAATCGTGCGGGTAGGAGCCAGAGTCGAAAATCGACAGGTTTGCAGAATGAATCGAACAAATTACTAATAATTAATTGCCTCCTTAAGGTAATCATGTGGCTAGGATTTTAGGAATATTAAATTATTGTACCCGACACTTTTGAGTCCTGGGATGAATTAATATTTTATCCACAAATCATGTTCCGTTAGCTTTCGCGTAAATTTAAATCCTTGATATTTGGAAATTTGTAGAAATAATTCGATTTATTAACTTCTGGTCAGACCAATAGCCAGGTTTGCGAACAACGATTAAATTGGTGTTGAAAAACTAATCAAGAACTCAATACCAATATGCAGTAGGCTTTAATTCTGGAGACCGCAATTTCCATTTTGGAATATAAATTAAATATTGAGACCTATCTTTAACTAGTGTTTACATTATTATAAAGGGACTCCAAATCATCTGTTACGCTATTCTAAATTTAAAAATTTTTAGATGGCGTTAAATACGCGAAATTTAGACGAAATAACGGTTGTTGATCTGAACTTCATTTTCTTATTATACCAATTCTCCAATTTATTTTTTTCTCCCTATAGGTTTTGATCAACAAATACATGCCTCTCTTATCTCCTCCTACCCCTAACGCCTCATCGGTCTCAACGGCTTCTAATAATCAACAGAATCAGAACATGTTTTGCGACGAAAACTACAAAGAAACCCCTATTAGCTTCAAAAGTAAACTTATAAAAATGAAAACTTTGTTTATTTATTTTTCCCTCGAAATTTCTTACAAAAGAAACCCTTTAGTCAAGGCCCTGACTAGATGATAATACAAAGATGGGATATATCCTAACTGTTAATTAGCATTGAGGCATCGGCCAAGTGTATCTGTTAGGATTGAAAGTATCTGTAATAAAAATACTGACCGATGCCGTGAGTTTCAGCGCATCTCTGATTTTCGGAAATAGAAATGGTTAAAAATATTATTTTTATATTCGTTTCGGATGAAGAATTCACAAATTTTCTCCTACTTAAATTAATATTATAATTAAAATCTTATAATTTGAGTTTAAAAAAATAATAATCATATTTAAAAAATTGCAGATTAAATCAGAAATGGACTTGGGCTTTAAAAGGAATATGATTGAATTATCTTCTATTTTCTTTATAAAAAAAGGTTTATTCATCTATTATGCACATTTGTCTACAAACCTGTCCTTTAAAGAGATCATCACACTAGCTTTTTTTTTCTTGAGGAAGTCTACAAAACCTTGTTACACGGATAGAAAGAATAATATGGGGGGGGGGCGATAAGAATGCCTTAATAGGTTTATATAAATTAGATTTAATACTTCATATAAAATATAAAAACTTATCTTTCGAAATGATATAAGGATTGTCTCTTTTTCTTTGCAATTATTATAATTTTTAATCACAGTACAATTCTTAAAATTTATCGTCTGAGACTTAAAAGCTAAAAACTTAAATATTCATATTTTCTTCCATTTTAAAAGGCAGACGATTCTTTTCTATATATTATTTTCTTATAAAAGAAATCATTGATTGATTTATAATATCATGAACTCATTTAACTGACAAAAATCGAAATTTTTTTATAAGAGATTTTTTTTATAAAATTCCTTCATTTTTTTTTACTTTTCATCTGCTCTAATCTATTTTTGAGCGTCGTTTAATATAAATCAGCTGTTATATTTTATATTCTGTTGTCTTTCTTGATATAACGCCTCATTTATACTAAACGTGATTTGTTCAAATGCAGCATTTAACGCTATCGAAATTACAGCTGATTCTTCACAGTGATAATTTTGAAATATACGCCGCGACATTATCTTAGCGTTTTCATGGTTTCTCTCCATATCTATAAAATTATACATATTTACTGAATTGATTTTATAAGACACCGTTGAATGTTTACCATAAATGAGACCTAACTCACATTGATTTTTTTCAACAATTAGATTATTATTTGTCGTTATTTTTTGTAAAATCTACTCCGTGGGCTTGAGCAAAATCTAAAAATTGTCCAAATTAATATTGAACATATGGTAAAAAGTATATATAAATGTTCATTGAAATTTATTAGGGGTCCCAAGAAAAAAAACATCGAATTTTCGACATGCACTATATTTTAAAATAAAAGAAGAGTTTTTACCCTGCATTCACAATTGCTATTTTGTATACTTTTCTCAACGAATTTTATATATTTTTCCGGGAAGTGTACTATTTCAAAATGGCTTATTGTTTATTTTACGAATTGTGAGTATAGTGGGGGAATAGCCAATTTATTGGCTAAGAGCACACCTGAGCCGATTTATTTTAGCAAGTCTGAGTCGATTTATTTTGGCTAAAGCTAAGCAGCTGTTTTTTGATTGGCTAAGTTTAAGCCGATTTGATTGGCTGAGTTCTAAGCTTAAAATTATTTTTATTGTCTAAGGTTGAACTTAAGCTAATTTTGACTAGCTAACACTCTGTTTTAATGTAGATTTAATAATATAATTCAGAAGGGTGACATTTGTAATATTCGTCATTATAAAACTTTGTATTTTAATGAAATTAGGTGTGAATGAATATTTCAAGTCTTGTTTTAGTAGAAATTCAATAATAGTGTAATTCAGAAAGATGACAATTGTCATAATCATTATTTAGGTAATATTTTAAATATTTTTAGGTACTAATATATAATATCATTTAAAGGGATTACAACTGTCATAGTCGACATTTTAAAACTTTTCCAATGTTTTTTAATGAAAATAGGTATAAATGAATATTTTATTGTGTAAATTCAATAATAATATAAGTATTAAGGGTCACGATTGTGATGTTCGTCGAAATAGGTTAAAAATATATTTTATATCTGTTTTTGTAAAAATTTAATATAAATGAAATTCATTAGGATGAAAATTGTTATCTTCGTCATTTTAAAACTTTTCCAATGTTTTTTAATAAGATTATATTGCCATTTATTAAGTTATACGATGAATATAAAAATTGTCACCCTCTCACTTAAATTATTATTAAATTTACAGTAACACAGAGCTTTATCCAATCAAAATCAGCGTAAGTTCAGCCTTAGCCAAAAAAAATTAGCTAGGGATTATCCATGTATAATTGTGAGTAACAACCTTTTATTAACGTTATTAAAAGCTATTCGAAAAATTACCTCTTCTGCTTGTCCCCGATAATATTATTTTTTTTAAAAAAAACTTTTATATACTTTACCCGTGATTCTGCTTAAAGGTACCCCCGACATTAATACATACGCCGAAAGGGTCATGATATCATCGAATGAAGAAAATTCCTATCTCGTCAAAGTTTTGCTTAGACAGACGCGGAGGCCCGAGATTGGCGATAAATTTAGTAGTCGTCACGGCCAGAAAGGGTAATTTTATGAACGCCATTTTGGAAAGGAGTTTTTTTAAAAAAAAAATGAGATAATTGGTATATCAGGCCTGAAAAAAAAGTTCTTTAAAAAAACTTTACAAATAAATTGAGCAACCTGAGTTTGCAGAATCCTCTTTTGCAGTTTACAGGAACATTAACCTTTTAATTATTGTTAGCAGACTCTGTTGTTAATCCCTTTTTTCCTCTTTTCTATCATAGAGTGTGTGGTCTGATCGTGGAGCCTCAGGATATGCCATACAACGAAGCGACAGGCCAAGTGCCGGACATTATAATGAACCCTCACGGGTTCCCATCCCGTATGACTGTGGGTAAACTGATGGAACTTCTGCTGGGTAAGGCCGGCTTAGCTCAGGGTACCCCCGACAATTACGCGACGCCCTTCCAACTCGATAACCCTTTCGTCACTATCGACGATGAAAAGTTCGATGAAATTTTTTTAAGCATCTTGTTATTTTCATGTTTTTATAATCGAATAGGATGAAAAATGTATATTTGTGGGATAATAGAAATAAATGCGCATAAGAAAGTTAGAAAGAAGCGAAAAATATTTTTAAAAAGTATCTTTATTAAAAAAATATATGGGGGAAAAAAAGTATACCAGAATCGGAACGAGTCAACAGTGTACATCAAGCCCTAATATCCAATGGCTTTAATTACGAAGGGAAAGATATTTTCGTGTCAGGCATAAACGGGCAACTACTATCGGCCTATATTTACAACGGGCCCGTCTACTACCAGAAGCTTAAGCATATGGTGGCGGATAAGATACACGCCAGGGCTAAAGGACCCAGGGCTGTACTCACTAGGCAACCAACTGAGGTAATATTATATAAACAAATTTAATATAAAAAGAAAAGAATATAAAATGGCAATAAAGAAAGAACGAATTACTATTGTGAGACGAGACTGTTAGTTTTGTTGCAGCAAACCGAAGCCTTATAACTCAGAGTTTGAAAAAAAAATCATTAATAATTCTGACGTGAGGGAAAGATTAAGAATACGATTGTAGAGGAAAGGAAACAAGGAAGATACAGGCACTTGGCCATGTGGGATAGGTGTTGTTAGAGATTCAATACACCAGCTGCCAGAAAAATGGGTACTTAAAAGATGTAGTGGTGAGAGAGGAAGCCTAATGATAGCTTGCGCGACTTTTATCTGTAGAATATGCCTGGAGCCATGATAATGATAACTTAGAGAAAGGTGGCTTAGATATTGGCATTGGAGCTATAAACTCTTCCATTCATATGTGTACATTTTTATTTATTAAAATGAACGACATATCTCGGAACTTCTTTCAGCATATCTGACCCTCGCAATAACAATTAAAATCTATATCTTCGACCTAAATGACAAAGTTTCCCATTTTTTCATAATTAGCTCCAATGCCAATATCTAAGCCACCTTTCTCTACGTTAGCATTATCATGGCTCCCTACATATTCTACAGATAAAAGTCGCGCATGCTATCATTAGGCTTCTTCTCTACACCACATGACCTAGTGCCTGTTTCTTCCTTGTTTCCTGATCCTTCCCCTAGTGATCTGCATCGGGCCTAATTTTTCAAGCCCGGCTCGGCCCGAAATTTTTTATAGAAAAGTTTTGCCGGCCCGAACCCGAAATTTTTTTAAAAAAAATTTACCGACCTAGCCCAGCCCGAATTTATTTAAATATAGAAATTAATCTTTATAATTACTCAAAATAAAAGTCATGTTGTATGTCGTTTAGTTTCAATAAATAAAATCAAATATTTTTATTTTACATAAAAAATTCAATATAAAATTAATAAATTTAGATATATTTTAAAAAAAATCTAAGGTCCGACCCGACCCGGTCCGAATTTTTTTTAAAATATTAGGCCCGGCCCGAATCCCGTTTGGGCCGGGTAAGGGTCGGGTCTAATTTTGCAGATCTCTACCTTCACCTACAATCGTAACCTTACTCTTTCGTTCACGTCAGATACTTCAGTAGTGCTTGACTGCTGGACTCCTTATGAATTCACTTGTAAATCTTCCCACTTTAATATTCATAACTTTTAGCCTTGGCACATATTTCCATCTCTTCTTTCTCACACGTCTTTGACCAAGGGTCTCCTACCAAATAATATTTGAAATAAATTCTCGAATAATATTACTACACATTTATAATCTTATTTTGGCCTTTTTATAAAATAGTGGGTTAGGATATATCCTCCTTTTTTTCTTCTAAGTTAGTCAAAAATGAATTAGAAAGAATGAAAAAACCTAAATGAATGGAATAAAGAGGAATTTTTTTTTTATTCCTTACAAAGGGTCGCTCGAGGGACGGCGGTCTTCGACTAGGGGAAATGGAGCGTGATTGCCTTATTGCTTATGGCACTAGCTCGTTACTCACCGAAAGACTTTGTTTTTCATCCGATCAATTTACTATGGACGTTTGCCCTAGGTAATTATTGACACCTATATTATAAAAGTTATTTTATGTTTAATTAAATGAAAAATCGAAATATTATAAATAAGAATGTAATATTCTCTAAGTACGAGATTAGGACTTAACCTTATAATATATTTATTTTCATTCGATAAAAGGTGTGGTCTTCTAGGAACATCTTCAGGACCCCTGGGAGGCTGTAACTTCTGCAGCAAATCCAGCAGTACCCTAAATTCTAAACATACCGCTGCTGAGGCAAATGAGAGTACTATGGCACGCATTAAGATACCTTACGCTTGTAAGTTGCTCTTTCAAGAGCTTAGAGCGATGAACGTGGTTCCTAAATTAATTCTCAAGCCTGCCATTGATTGAGAATTTAAATGTTTTACTTTAATCATGATATTTTATTCATATCGTAAAAATTATTTGTATGTCAATCATGATATAAGGATGTATATGTACATATATTTATACTAGTCATAAAATATTGAAACATAAAGGAATATTGTAATTCCTTTAAAAATGTAAATATTTTTATTAATGCCAAATTATAGTTATTATGATCGATTATAGTACTGCAATAGGAGGCGAGTTTAAAAATTTTTTTTAATATTTGGGGGACATGCTGATGACGTTGAAAATATGTTTTTTTAAAGGGGCTAGGGGGATAAAGGTGAAATATTTTTTGGGGAGAATGACAGAACTGGTTTACTTATATTGAAAATTATTTATTTTTAAGTTTAAATAAATAATATGTATTTAAAATATTGAAAAACAACCAATCAAATTATTTTTAAACATTGGAAGAATCGGAAAGCAAAACAAAATGTTTAAATAAATGGGCTGAAAACTATTGGCAGATTAATTTTTTAATCAATGGAAGGAGGGAAAAGAAGATACCGTGAATCTGAAATCGTCAATGAAGTTTATGTTATCAGATTTGACTATATCTATGGTTGATGTTTGCCCCAACCTTTACTAGGATTAGGATCATCATTTTTATCCGGTGCTGGAATATTCGATGATTTTTTGCCCTTATATTCTCATATATTAATAATATGATTTGTTTTGAAACATTTCCAGATATTTGTAACAACTTTGATTATTCAATTTGCTTAAAGAAAGTTGCTACAATATATGGAGATGTTTTGCAACCATTATTCCTCTAAATATTTAGAGTAACTTATTTATTAATTTTTAACTAGGTGAAATGTATTAAACAATATAACATATATAAAAACTAATGTTGAGAACGTCAATAGCTTACCCAATATTTTAGTCAAAAAATATAATGCATGACTCAAGATCTCTTATTAGATGTCTAAACCTTTCTGCCATCTATGAGTTATTTTACAGGCTTTCGTAATATTTTTTGACTAAAATATTGGTTAATCGTTTTTAAAAACCATACAAAAACAATATGAGATATTAAATTAAAAAATTCTACGGAAAATGCATGACCATGGATTGATAAAAAATTTGATCTACAGTTATATAAGCCAATCGTCTGGTGCAAATATGAGTATTCTTAAGGATCGCTGGATAGCACTGAAAGTTTTTGCCCTATAGATTTAAAAAAGGCGAATGCCTCATGTCCTAAATTTTTAAGTGTTATGGTAACGAATGAACTGGATTGTTTAGGAATGAGTATTATTTCTTTTACTATTTTTTGCTTGAAAAATGGAATTGTCTTGGATTTGATTACGCTGATATATCTATGCAGGTATAATCCCAACCAAGAGGAAGACCGTTCACCTAGGATATCAGGATCAACCCATCCAGCCTTTTGCCGTCCAATGTATTGAACTCTATAGGTTCTAATGAAGATGGGTTTAAGGGCTTTAGATATTGTATATGACGGCCTTTAGAAAATTTGCAGTGGGGCGGATGATGGTCATTTTTTCAACAGAAGCCTAATGGATTCTCAGTTATTCAATTCATTGTAAACCTACCGAGATTTGCGAAAGGAGAAATTCAACATAACGTTCGAACCAGAGAAAAATATCAATTCTTTTGAAGGACGGGTTAATATTGAGGATTTATTAAGGTCCCAGATAATAATAGTTTTATCTAAATGAGGAGACAGAATTTAAAAACCAGACTTTGATGGGAAATAAACCTGGATCCAGGATAAAGTATAGAACCTTAAATTCTCTTCTAGCTATCGTTCCTACTTAGCCACGTGATTTAATTTGTACATAACAGGGGAAGCACGAGAGCCATGGAATAATTTAGAGATATAGAGGAAGCTTTTAGTTAAGAAGAATGCTGAGGTGATAATATTGTTAGCAGATCTTAATGACCAAGGGAAAGGTTTTTTAAAAAAAGAGACTTTCAGGATCACCAATTGAAGAGCCTAAATAAGAAATATTAGAGGTATTATACTTGTCAAGATTAAGGCATAAACCAGTTCAGGAGACATGGCTTCAATAATTTTAGGGACTTATAGTAGTTCATCCAAATCGCTTGCTAATGTACCAATATCTAAGTACTACTATCTTTTATTCTATCCATTATTTGGATGATATCTATGCAAAAGAGAGCAGGTTTTAAGGGGGTCACCTTGTTAGATAAGATTTTATACAATTTTGATTGAATTTGAGGAATAATCTATGCGCGTATTCAATATGAAGGTGTTTATATTTGGAAGAGATTTTGAAGAAAATAAAGATTTTTTTGTAGATAGAGAAATGAAATCATTTTTAATATCAATTATATTTTTATGCCTCTAAATTTAAACATGTGATATAATCAACGAGTGCTAAATTAATGTTTTAGATTCACCTTCTGAGGTAGTTTGTAGAATCTTTTATCCGGCCTATTTTCCGGTCCGAACAATCAAACCCGTTTCCCAAAGATCATATCCAATTTTTTTTATATTCAAATCTAAATAAAATTACTATATTTGAACTATCGCCTCATTTATAATAAGCGCGATTTGTTTGAGCGATACGAAATTATTCGCTCCCTAATTTACAAAAGTTAGCCAATAATTTATAACTATGGAGCGAAATGATGAAATCGTGACAGCTGTTAAAGTATATATCAGAAAGTATTATAGTTATAATCTGCAGTGATTCTGCTAGCGACAAGAAATAGCACTTACTATAATCTTCAGCTTAAAATTTTTTCGAGATACTAAAAAATAAATTGATATTTTTCTTGAAAATAAATTAGGAAAACACAAGATATTTAAAATTTTACAGAGGTCCGACTCCCAACCGAAAATATGTTTTAAAATCATGGTCTGACTGCGAAAGAATGTCTGTCCGATTGATCCGAATCGCTCCTTGTAAGGCTCTCCTTGTTAGGTCACTAAGAAGAACGATAAGGGAATTTATTTCTAATTATCATGAAACATAGGGGAAGTTTGGGACTCGCAGATAACAAAGATAAACAATAGTAGAGCCTGTTATGATTAAATTTATAAAAAGCCTAGTAACTATATTGCGCATGACACCTTTTTAAAAATATCTATGCAATAATACAATCTATGTGAATTAATATTTGACAACTGTCAATATATCTTGTCTAGCTTTGACAAATTTTATAACTTCATATTTTGTTATATCGTCAATGTCCACTTAAGGGGTAAAATATTTAATGATTTACATTATCAATGATTTTTGGAAAATATTGCATAAAATACTATTTCTACTTAAATTAATTTGTTGATTTCTAATGCAAAAAAAAAAAAAATTATTATCGATTTCCTTAAAAGGTCTTTTTTGAGTAGATGTCTTTTTCAGATTATCTGCCATTTAACTCAAACCTATAATTGGCTTCTTAACTTCATGAAATAAATGTTGCTTTTTTTAAAAAAAATTGAATTTAATTGGCATTTTGTTAGCTTTGTATATTTGCCTCACACGGGGTTAGCTATACGTCTGACACTATTTAAATTGTTACGAACATGAGTAATATTTTTATTCTCATGATACTCTATAAATATTAATAACTATTAATTAGAATATATATATATATAAAAAGAAAGAAGGGTTAATTGGGTGCTATGCAATTTAAAAAGTTTGTTAGAAGTATCATGAAAGGGGTAGAAGCAATTTATCTTCATATATCTTTCAGGAGTGTGGGTGTAAATTTGGCTTCTTGCGTTTAATTTATTATTCTCTCGTGAAAAACGATTGGACGAAGATTCGATTGCCAAAGAAGATAGTTAAAAAAATTGCTAAATTTTTAATTTCAAATAAATCCTTTTTTTCTCCTGAATTCAGCCTAAACAGGAATCTTACAGAGATATAATATATGATTATCATTGATTCCCTCCCTCTTTCGTTCATTCCTTTTTTTCCCTCTAAGCTTTCTCGTTTTACATAAATTTATCTCTTTTTAAAATGTGAACGACCCTCTCCCTCCCCTCCCCCCTTTCATATTCATATTCATAAAATATATAAGCAATTTATCTCATTAAAAATTAAAAAAATATATATAAGAGATTTGTATTTATTATAAAATTAAATATTTTATTCATGAAAAAAATAATTTTCGGTGTCTGAAGACTCAATAAATTATATAAAAAAAAAAATTTATTCTAATTTTATTCCGAAAAATTCCTTCTTATATTTTTTTAATCTCGAAAAAAATATTTTTAATCTGATTAACATTAATTATTTTTTTTTTTTTCTGAAAATTTCCACTTATTTTTTATTTTATCCTTAAAAAAAGTTGAAGTTCTTTGCATACTTGATTAAAATAATTTATCAATTTATCCTAAAAATTTTTTTTTTCTTTACTCTCCTTCATCCGGCTTTCCTATGTTGCAATGACATATAATAATAATAACTAGACTGACCATACATTCATAACAATGCCATTTGAAAGGGTCGTTGAATGTAAATCAGCTGGGCCCGCCATTTTGATAACCCATATAGTAATTATTCTCATGTTAAAAACCTAACTATTAAAATTGATAACATGTCCTTATTATCTCGATGATCAGGCAATTCTTTAAATAAAGTTTGAGTCAAGACATAGGAATAAATTGGCCTCTTTTTTAAAAATGATATGGATTACCAAAATGGCGTCCCCAGCTGATGCACCTCAGTCTAGGTATTATCGTAAGTTATTTGCTATGTTGGCTTTAAAACGTGAGTTAAATATGTTAAAGTAAAAAAAATAGATTTTACCGAGTTAAAATTTTTATTTTACCTATACTCAATTCGATTTAGTTTATTTGTTCACCATAAATTTGTATCATTATATTTTTTTTCTTTCTATCCTTTTTCTTCTTGTTTTAATTAAGGGATATACAGTGAAAATTAATCAATCAAACAAAGTACATTATATATCAGTATATAATATAATATAACAGAATAAAAAAGGAGTTTTTTTTAAAATATTTTATTTATATATTTAAGTTTAGGACCTTTTTTTCTCCCAGTTTTAATAGGAATATCTGGGTATATTTAAGCCTTTTGGCAAAAACAATTCGTAGCTCTTTAAGAATTGTGTAAAATTAAATTAAGCTTAGATTATTTTTTTTGGGCATTGCACAAACTATTAAATATCGAGGGAAGGTAAATCTTTACAAAAAAAATATTTCTGAAGTGAATTTGGGGTTTTGTACTGCACTTTACTAAGATTGTTGGAAATATTCAGATACATTTTAGATTATATTCGAGGGAAACACTTTGGCCACTAGTAAAAATTTAAAAATTCTAGTGTCAGATCTATATTTTTATATATTGACCTGAAATGTAATTATTTTTTTGCTCCAACTAGAAGGGAGACGGGGGATGGGGTGGGGTGTTGAATCTAAAAAATGCATCCGATTTATTACCAAATAAGAAACATTTATTGATAAGTGTAACTTCATTCTAATGAATTAATCCAATGTTTGTGAAAAGAAAAGATTATCAACGTTCATTTAATCCCAAATATATTGTTTCAAAGCCTTGCTAAAAATTTTGGCAACGTTTATTTGAAGAAAAAAAAAATCAACTTTCCCTATGTTTATATCCAAATTTTTTCCTACATTTTGAAAATAAGTTTCGATTTGTTATATAATAATTTTTTTTAAAATCCCATATTGGTATATCTTTCCAGAAACATATTGCCCTCTTTGAAACTTAGTTATAAAGGTGAAAGTAACTGTTTTTTTTGCATTAATATGACAAAGAAAACATTATATAAATTGTTGTATTACAAATATATGTTATAAATACAAAAAAAATACCAATATTACGAGGTGTATATTCACGGTTATAAATTTCACGATTCTTGCTTTTTTGATTGCAAAAAGCATTTATTTAATATTTGCGATATTGAAAAAATATGCAATATCATTTTCATTGGAAATTATTTAATTTGCCAACTAGACGATTATGCGTCGTGCAGAATCTCAGGTAAGTGTCATGAATAACTTTAAGTTAAAGTTAAGATCGCCTGGCGCATTGGTCAGAATCGTTAGAAAAATTTTTATATAAAAAGATTCCGCTAGTCCATTAGCGTGAAATAAAGCTCACGAATTTATATTGCGCCGGTTATAATGCGTGTGGGTTGAGCTAGAAATTTAATTCTCAAGTTGAGCTCATTAATGTCGGCTTCCATAGAATCTTGTTCAGTGTTGGCTTTGATTAACGCTAAATTTGACGGTGCTTAAAATGGGATGCTGCCGCATATAACAAATTACTTGATCATTTTATTTTAAAACAGTCGACATATAAAATACTTGTTTCTTTGCATTTTTTTTTTCCTAAAATATTTCATGAAATTTGAGATAAGTAATATAAAATAACTGAAGATAAAATGTAAATTTAAAATGGCATCTTCTAATGATGTATTCGTGATTCATAATACCCTGGTTTAGTAAGCCCCCACGTGAACTTGTTTACAAATCAGGAGTAAAATAATATATTGACAATAATGAATGTTTGTTTGTCAAATTATACAAACAAGTACAAACTTTCTTATATAAATTAAACTCTATATTATAAATCTGCAAAGTTTGCCCAGGTCCGCCTAAAAAACTATAGCCGACATAGCCGGTCTACCGGACAATTTAAACATAAAATATCACTCAGGGTCGCCCAAGTCCCTTATTCTTATATAAAATTTTAATAGTCCTGACATTAACATTATTTTTAATATATTTTTTTTTTAAATTTCAAGCTTAATATTTCTTATTTTGATTAATACTATTTTATTTTCGAAATAAATTACCATATATTAGTATTCTTTATATTATTTTTAAGAGTTTGGTCTAAACTAAAATATTAATTCTCTAAATAATAAATATAGTAAATTCCGCAAAAAAATTAAACAATTAATTTATGATACGAATTTAATTACAAATGCGCAAATAGATTATCAAACCCAATTAATGTTATAAAACGGTTGTTATGGGAATAGATAGTCATAAAGGTGAGATATAAACGCCATTAGTTGACATTGGGAAGAAAAAAATTAGAAAAAAATGCGACGGGCTGGTAAATTCATAAATAAAAATATAACGGGCTGAAGCGGAGTTTTCGTAAAACTTTAACGGGCTGGGATGGGTCTGACTTTTTGTAAATTTTTACGGGCCGGGCTGGGCATTATAACGGATCGGACCGAGAAAATTTTGTAAAATGAATTATAATGGTCCGGTTCTAGTCTGGAAAAATTTAGTGGGATGGGCAACCTATCTAATAAAAAAATTTTTATGTACCAAAGCGCACCCAAGCCTTCGCAGACTTTCACTCTTTATTAATAATTTTTTTTATTTAAAATTAATAGAAATTATATAATTTTTTATCTCAAAATTTTTTTATATTTTATATAAAAATTTAATATGATTTAATTTACTTCAATTTATAGAAATAAAATATAAAATAAAAATAGGTTAAAATTTTTAAAAATGGGATCAAATGGTTTGTCGCGATCGAAGGTTTGACTAGCCTGGATATTATTAATTTTAAATAAATTTACTATTTCTTTCTTTCTTTCTTTCTTCCTTTTTTCTTTCTTCCTTTTTCTTTCTTTCTTTCTTTTTTCCACCAATTCTTGTATAACTTGTAATATCGGGGGAAAAAATAATAATTTATTATTAATATATAAAAAAATTTTTTTTATAATTATATTTAAAAACTGTTATCTATAAAATTTCCAATGGTCACAAAACAATTCACAAGCTATATGAAAAAAAAATTTATTACATTTTTTATTTTTAACTTAAAATTAATTTCTATGTAATAAAATATTATATCCATTGATTATGATCATATTTATAAAAAAAATATTATTTTTATATATATAAAAAGAGTTCAAAATATTTTTCGATGAATTAGCAAAATTAAATTGTATTTTTATATACAAAGGACTTTTTAAAAAATTTATTTTGTGTTTTACACAATAATCGGTAGAGTTTTATTCCATTCATGTATAATCGGCTGAGATTCTCAAAAATCTTGATAGTTTTCAAAATGGCGGCCATAATTTACTATTCATTGTATGGCGCGAAAATATCTGCATTTCCCGGCAACTCCAGATATTCCAAAAAATATTTTGAGGCGGCATTTCAAGGTTAAATTTTTTTATTGAATTATTATTTTTATCCTTTTAGTAAATTTATGATTTTAATTTGAGGCGTTATTTAGGAAAATTTCTTATGTCTCTTTATTTTATTGCTTTGACAAAAAGAAACGACATTACCTACCAGGGTCCTCTAGTGCAGGGGTGTGGGACGATAGAATTGTACCCTTAGATATTCATGGATCGGGGTAATTTGGATGGTGGTAGCCTAACCTAATGATAAATATATATTAAAAAAAACTGTTTACATTATTACTAGAAGTTTCTACTAGCTTCATCTATTAGAAAAATTTCACATGTTACAATGATTAACGATCTACAAGTTGCCATACTGATCTGATGTAAAATCTTGGAGATTAGAACCATTTTACTGAAAGAAGGTTTTTTAGCGATTAGCAACAGAAGATGGAGATTCCATTTGGGGTAGTGAGATATGTTAATAGGGGGATAGGATTGTATTGTCCCAATGTTATTTGGATATTATTATTTTTATCGTTAGTTTGTATAGGTTCTTCTTTTAACATTTTAATTATATATCGAATTTTTAAATATTATTAATATAAAATTTGCAAAATTTTTAATCATTGTTTTATTAAATATTTAATTTTTGACAATAATTATCTATTTTCTTTTGTTAATTTCCAATGATCTTCAGAGAAATCTTTAAGGATATATATATTGATACTTTCTTTCCATCCTTCCATCCTTCTATCCTTCTATCCTTCCTTCCTTCCTTCCTTCCTTCCTTCCTTCCTTCCTTCCTTCCTTCCTTCCTTCCTTCCTTCCTTCCTTCCTTCCTTCCTTCCTTCCTTCCTTCCTTCCTTCCTTCCTTCCTTCCTTCCTTCCTTCCTTCCTTCCTTCCTTCCTTCTCTTCCTTGCTTCCTTCCTTCCTTCCTTCCTTCCTTCTTTCCTTCCTTCCTTCCTTTCCTTCCTTCCTTCCTTCCTTCCTTCCTTCCTTCCTTCCTTCCTTCCTTCCTTCCTTCCTTCCTTCCTTCCTTCCTTCCTTCCTTCCTTCCTTCCTTCCTTCCTTCCTTCCTTCCTTCCTTCCTTCCTTCCTTCCTTCCTTCCTTCCTTCCTTCCTTCCTTCCTTCCTTCCTTCCTTCCTTCCTTCCTTCCTTCCTTCCTTCCTTCCTTCCTTCCTTCCTTCCTTCCTTCCTTCCTTCCTTCCTTCCTTTCTTTCTTTTATTTCTTAAAAAATATAAATCATCTCATAAGTCGTGTTCATTTTAGGAATATATAATTCAACACAATTTTTTTTTAATATAGGTGACTGCCTGAGTGAAAATAATTTGTGTTCTCAAATCTGTTTAGACGTTGATAAGGGAATCTTTGAATGTGACTGTTTTGTTGGTTACGATTTAGCGGAAGATGGATACTTCTGCAAAGGTAAAGTTTCAATTTTTCCTATAAAATTATGAATAAAAACTTTAAAATTTTTTTGAGGAAAGTAAAATATGTTATAATATCACAATCAAGAATTAACTATCACAAGAAGAACGATAAAATGAAGGAGGCAGCGTCTTATGACTATTATATTGTTCTAACTCTATTTTATGAAACAACTTTGTCTTAGTTAATTTTTGGGAAAGAATGAGGGGTGGTGGAAGCCATTTTTAAAATATAGATATTTTGATTGCGATTAAATATTTTTAAAAAAATCTTTCTGAAGATTTTATTTTGCCCAAAATTTTGAGCCAAAATTCTTCGGAGATCAACTCTTCAAGAGATCAAAATCTACAGATTTTTTTATCATGAAGAACATTATAAACTTTGCTTGGTTAGTAGTATAGTATACCTGCGATATATCTAAAACGATATTCGGCAAGGAAAATATATTATCTATGGTAGTGTTGTTAAACGGCTCGATTTGAGCCGATTTTTAAAAACGGCTAGCTCAGGTCAACATTATAGCCAGGAAAATATTGCCTAAGTGTCTAGATTTCGCTAATAGATGTTCAATCCTATGTGCCACGTATGAGCAAAATCTTTAGGCTTGCGTAATATTTTTCTGGATAAAATATTGAGTTAGCCGTTTTAAAATTTTTTTTAAAATCTATTATTCGAAATAATTTCTAAAATAATTTTTAAAATTATAATCGTAGATTTTTTCATATTTGAATTTATTCTTAATTATTTATAGCGCTCCTTGTTAAAACTTTTTATTTATTTATTTTTTTTAAAAAAAAATATAGAATTTAATTTTATCCAATTCTCTAATATTCGACGAATCGAATCGAATCAAATATTCGACAAATCGAATCTAATATTTTATTATTTCTTTCGGATACAAATATAAAATTATTCAATTTGCAATTAAAAACCGAAAACGAATAGTGCAAATATTTTGTAGGTTATAAAACATACCTACTACTATTATTTAAGGGAGGAGGGGGGGAGGGTGTGATAGCTCGGAGATCGGAAAAATTATTTTGAGTTATTAAGTTTATATTGATTATTTTAATTATTTTGTATTTAAATTAAAGATTTGGTTATTTAAATGTAGTATCTAGTGACACAAAGTCGCTACTTACAATTGAGCCGATTTTTAAAATACGGCTAACTTCAGTATTCCATCCAGAAAACAATTGTGCGAGCCGGAAGATTTTTCCTCATAGAAGGCACAAAGGTTTGGACATCTAAAATCTAGAGGCTCAAGCGATATTTTTCTTGGTTAATATATTGAGCGTGTCGTTTTTTTAAAGAATTATGCATCACTAATAATGACGCATTTTTGGAATGTGGGGAGGGGGGAGGGAGAGTTACATATATGTTTGCCCAAAAATATGATTAGGGGGTATCATTTTTATAAGATCTGCCATAAAATTTTAAAAATAGAAAGTAATTCAATAAAAAAAAAAAATTATAAGCCAGAGTTTGGAATGGGAAGGGAACCGGGAAAAATCTAGAAACAGGAAACATAATCTAGAATCTTCTATTTAAAACTAAGAACCAGAATCCATTTTAAAATTTCCAGGAACACCTGTCTTATATTATTTATTTTTTTAAAAAAGTGATTTCTGAGGGTTTATTTGTCACTATCGTTTACAAAATATTTAGAGAAGCAGAACAACCATTATTAAAATATTGAGAACCGGAAATCCAGAACTACCTTAAAAGAACGGAAAAACCAGAACCACCATTTTGAAAATGTTAAACCGGAAGTCAGAACCCTTTTTAATATAAGTCGCTAGCTTAGTAGGTAACCCAAAAATTTTAAGAATTAAACCATCTCCGAATCGACCTCAGACCATGACGATATAAAACTGTATAATTCCAGTATTATCTTATTTATCTTTAAACTAAATTAAAAATGTTCGAAATGTAAATTTATGCAGATATGTCTAATTCCATCGCGAAAGATGTAACCCAACATGAAATGCATCTATCCAAAAATGATATTCACGGCTCATCCACTACTACAAACAAGGCATCTATGAATACAGCTGGTTTTATCACCCCGATAAAAATTATTCCATTCCCTGTATCGTCTAACATCCGTTCCTCGATGAGTCAAAGACCATCGTTCTCCAAAATGATTGGATCAAGAAGGAGCGTCGCAAAATACGGGGGTAAAAATAACGACATAAAATTTCCCGAAAAATTATTGCACCACGAAATAATAAACACAATCGGGGAACAAAATAGTAGTAGTAATGATGTTAATAATCGATATTCCCCGTCATTTTCCCATTTTTTATCGACCAAAATACCCTTTTTAATACATCACCATTCAAAATATAATCGCGATAATTATAATAATAATAATTATAATGATGGAGGGGGGAAAAAATCGAAAACTACGGGGAGAGGCATGGTAGAGTGGCCACAAATGGGTGTTATTATTAATGATGAACATCGAAATACCACGCTAGACGTGGAAGGGAATAATAGGAAAAAAAATGATAATTATGTATACGACGATTTTTACTATGGTAAAATAGAACAAAATAAATTTGACGATGATGATGAAGACATTGTTCGAAAGAATGATAAGGAGATAAGTGGCGATAAAATGATAATGGAGGATTATTTGACCAGTCGAGAAAATATTTATCGATTGGAAGATGAAATTTGTAACGTTTGCCTTAATAATAATAATAATGTTAATAATAAAAATAATAATAATAATGATGAAAGCCGAAAGAGAAATAATCTTAATGAAATCTTGACTTTAGCCGACGCGAACGAAGGAGACAATGTTACGTTGTTGTGCCCTCCCTCGGGAAAAGGTTTCAAACAAACAAAAAACAAAAAAAAACTTTTATTGAAATAAGTTCTAATTTTAAAAAAGCTAAATATAAAAGAGATATTTTATATTAAATTTTAATCATATTTTTTTCTTTTTTTACAGATATAAAAATGATAACAATGTTATAATTTCCATCTTTTTATTTTTTCCGTTTATGAAACTTTCGCGTATTTATTTTAGAAAATAACCTATAAATCTTATTTACTTTAATTATTTTCCTTTCTTTACACTCTTTTTCTCCATTTTATTGTTAATTTATGATCATTATTCCCTTGTGGATTAATTTACTAACATAATTTTAGTAGCGTTTTTTGTTATTATTAGGGCCAAATAAAAATTTTATTAGTCCCCGAGGGGTATACTGGGTAGTGTTGTTAAACGGCTTTTAAGCCGATTTTTAAAAAACGGTTAACTCTATATTTTAGCCAGAAAAATGATTGCCTAAACCTGGTGATTTCGCGAAAAGTTGTCCAAACCCTTTGTGGCATCTGTGACCAAAATCTTCAGGGCCTGGGTAATATTTTTTTGAATCAAAATATTGAGTGTTTAACAAAACTAATACTAGGAACCGACACTCCAAGCATTTTTAAAAATGATCAATACAAAAAAAAACTATAGATATTTTGACTTGATTTATGCTAAACTTCGTTTCTGAAAAGTTAGACGCGTTTTTTATAGAAAGTTATTTAAAAGATAAAATCATTTGAGTTTGAGAGCAAAAAAATAACATTTTAATATAATTTTTTTTTTTTAAATTATTTAATTTAAATATTAAATTTTTAATTTTTTTGCATGTTTTTTAAAACAGAATTTTTATGATTTATTTTTTATGAAAAAAATAATATTTAAGATAATTTTTGCTTTTAAAGTACAATTGTCTAAAAAATATTAAATCTTTATAAGAATATATTTTTTGAGTGAGATATGACAATTTTGAAATGGAGGTGTGAGATACGTCCTATTCAACTCGCGCTATTTCTTTGACCTTACCCTGGGTTTCCCGGGTAGCGGTGCGAATTAGCAGAGAATTATACAAAATAGGCTATAATTTTTGTATTCCCCCCCCCCCCCATGCCATATATTTTTTCTCAGTTTGATGACATCTTTAATTAATTGCTTTTTTCATTTAAAGTTCTTTGATCAAAATTTTTTAAAAAACAACTATGAGTTATATAAATATTTTCAAAAGTAACTTACAATGTAGATAGTTACTTTTGAAAATATAACCAACTCGTTACTTTAAAAAAAAATGTAATAAGTAGTAACAGAAACAATTTACCATTTTTTAACAATATATAAATTATATAAAATTGGGCGGACAGATGAAACTTTGAAATATTATAATTTAGTGAAAAAAATTTTTTTTGACCAACTAAATCCTTCTTACAACCCTCTAAAACCAACTTTTTTTTTAAAAAAAACTTGAATATTTTCCCTAACAGAATAATGAAAATTGGTCATATTTATCGAAATACTGACTTCCAAAGATTTTATAATTCTCAGCTATTACGCAGAATTTTTTTTTTATCTCATTCAAAAATCAACTTATTTAAACGATTTTTACCCTTGTGGATTGTCGATATTTTAAACTAACTCTTAAACGATTTGTAATATTGTACCCATATCATATTCGATTAAAAAATCGATTTTTTTTTAAATTATAAAAAAATATTTTATCGCAATTAACGCCAACTTGCGTTAAAGATTTATGTTAAAGATATAACCTTAAAAACTATTTATTATTATTTTTTCTTACAAATTAAAATAAAAGATGTTGTTTCCAATTTATACAATTGATTCTTGGATAAAGATGATTCAAATTGTTATAAAATATTATTAATATTTCCCCAAATTAATTTTTTATAATGATTATAATTTTTTTTTATATTAAAAAATTACCGTTTAAATAGTAATATATAAAACGATAAATATTAAATATATTAAAAAAATAATATAACACAAAAAATAAATTTTCTAATAAATTAAAATAAATTTTTATCATTTGGAAAAAAAAACTTTAATAACTAATCTCAAATTTAACTCCAATTCATGGCATCAAGCCACTCTCCCCTGCAATAAAGAAGGCATAGAGTTACGATCACCCATTCTCGCCCGGATTGGCTAGTTCCAAAATAATAACTGATCACCTGTCCTTGCCAGATGGGTTGCTTGACGAAGCCTATATCATATGGGAAGCCTTAGTCGGAGATGAATGTCAACCTCCAGCCTCCCATAAATAAAAGGGTTGGGATAATCCGATAATCTCAAGATCCGTTGATTACCTCTTTTCAACCCTGATGTCTGAAGATCACGCTTTACTAGCTTCTTTCAATCAAGGTTCTCGGTATGAATACTTATTCCCTCCAAAAATCTTAATCTCGATCTGTCAAACCAAGAATTCAGCTTTGCAGTAGCCATTCGCTTAAATGTGAAAGCCTCCGTCTCATAAAGTGCACCAAGTGCAAGAAGCCAGTAAGTCTAACTAACCCCCCCCCCCCCCCCCCCCCCCACCCTCCAGACTATAACATCCTTGGAAGCCAGGCTCTTAACCTTAAAAAGCGTGGCAGAGTCTTAAGAACTTAATCAGGAGGCCCAAAAGGAGCGTCTACTCACGTTAAGGCATAGAAATTCAGATCATAAAATCTAATTTCATATGTTCATGGTTCATTCATCGGACAACCGGAATAATCTAGATCTTTTTCCTCTTTCCTTATATATTTAGAATTTTTTTTTTCTTATTTCTCAAATTAAGAAATATCATGTACTTTTTTTTTATTCCCATTTATATTCGTGATTAATAAAAAAACTTTTTTTCCCCTTTCTCAATTACAAATTTCTTTATAAATTAAATTGATTTTTCTCGTAAATTTTTAATTAATAATAAATCATTATTTCTTTTCTTTTTCTCTGTTAATTTTTTTAAATTATATTATTTTTTGATATAGTTCTTTTTGTAATTATTATTTTTTTAATTTTTATCTATTTTTAACAATTTAATTTTCATTATTTTCGTAATTATAAATATATTAAAATTGAAATATTATAATTTGTTATTTAAATCAAAAATTTAAAAAAAATATACTAAAACTTTACTTTTGTCATTTTTGAAATTGTTTACATAATTTTTTTTTTGATAATCTCTGAATTCATTTTTTTTTACACTCGAATGAATTTTCGATAGAATGTCTTCTCCTATTTTCGCTCATTTTCAATGCCTTGAATTTCTTCGTTTCATTCACAATATCTTCGTGTTTACGATCTTACTAATTTTCGATAACATGATGATTATTCTTCCCGGCCAAATCTCCTACATGATTTGTGCTGATCTCGTTTTTATGATCCAAAATTACTTCCAAACATTTATATAAAACTTATCTCCTACCCACAGAAATTTTTATCCGGCCCAAAATAGAGTTAATAAAAAGAAATTCACCCTTGTGGAGTAAAAACAAATGTCGTCATCAACTTTAAATTACTGCCGGAAGAATTTTAATATTGCTCTTAATAATCATAATATTTTATTTCGGTCAAACCTAGATATTTATTTATGAAGCAAAATTAACTCCACCTTGCGGAAAAAGTCTTGTAGCAAGATTTAATTTAGAAACTATTTATCGTAACATTTTCTTCTTGCAATCTAAACTAAAAGATGTTTGTCTAGTTAGATTTTTAGATTAAAATGAGATTAATTTTTTTAAATATTATTAATCTTTTTCTAAATTTATTCTGACACTTATGATTTAAAAGCCATTTTTTTAAAAAAAATTAAATATTTTTTCCCATAAGAGCAACATTCATTTTCCACATTTTATATACCCAGTAGGGTTTAATTCGATCATATTTGACTTTAATTAATTATAAAAAAAAATGGAGAGCTAATTTTTAATAAAATAATTTTTACTTATGAAAAAAAATATATTTATTTATAAATAAATAAATAAATTATTTTGAAATAAATAAATATTGTTAATGGTAAAAAAAAAACAACATGCGTTCTTTAAAAAATGAAAATTTTACTTTTTTTATAATTTTTTAAATGCAACAATAGTTGCAAGTAACAATAGCCTCATATATATATATTTTGGGAGAGAAATTTATTTTGCGCAATCATTGTTATATGATGTAGTGATCTGCATCGGGCCTGATTTTTCAATCCCAGTCCGACCCTAAATTTTTTTAAAAAAAGTTTTTGCCGGCCCGGCCCGAAATTCTTTAAAAAAAATTTACCGACCTGGCCCGGTCCGAATTTATTTAAATATAGAAATTAATTTTTATAATTACTCAAAATAAAAGACATATGTTATATGTCATTTAGTTTCAATAAATAAAATAAAATATTTTTATTTTACATAAAAAATTCAATATAAAATTGATAAATTTAGATATATTTCAAAAAATTTCCAAGGCTGACCCGAGGCCCGATTTTTCTTTAAACCCGATTATTTTAAATAGAATTTGCGGGCCGGGCCTAACTTTGCAGATCTCTAATATGATGCTTAATTTTGTGCATTTATTTTTGTTAATTTATCAATTCATCAATATCACGATAAATATATTTTACGTGATACGTGATAAAAATATTTTCGCCCTCAGGTTGTGAATACAAAAGAGCTACGCTAGGTTTTCCATAAAAAACCATCAAAATAGTTAATTAGGGGGAGAAAATGAGGAGCCTTCCAAACATTTGTGGGCAAGCCGCACGTACTTGTTGTACGCATAACAGTCCAAGAACTGTTATTTAAACGTCTATAAGGCTAATAACAAAAAGAATTGGGCAAAACAAAAGCCTATTATGATTGAGAAAGATTATTTGTAAATTTATAATTTATTTTTTTCAAAATGTGGTAAAAAAGAATATAAAAAGAAAAAGAAAGCATTAAAATAAAAAGTTAAAATCATTATTTTTTTTTTATTATTAATGATCCTATATTTTCAATTTTCAAATAATAAATAATATAAAGTATTAAAAAAACGAAAATATAATATTTTATGTTTTAATATATTTAAAAATGTTTGAAAAATATATAATAATACTATAAAAAAAAAGAACGGAGATGGTGTGACGCAGGGAAACAAAAATGAAAAAGGGACGTAAGTGTTGTCTAGGATAGCTCTTTGGCTAGAAGACTACCATTGAAACTGATATAATTAGCTTTGAGAATCGCTATGGATAATCGTTGACGAAGAAAAAAACCCTCTCGAGGTTCTTCTGAGAGTTTGCTGATTTGTGATCCTAAGTTTTTGAAAAATGCTAAGGCGAGTTTGCCGAAGGTGCCAAGAGTGTTTGATATGATTGGGATGAAACAATGATCATTCATAATTTCTGTGTATTTAGAAGTTTTAAGTTGTTCCATCTGGTCAAGGATGTTGATGGCGTGGTTGGATGGGGCCAAGGGGTCAATACAGGAATAGTCCCATACCAAAAGTTGGCCTCTCCTCCATGGGATTTGAGAGATCCCGTCAGGACGTTTACCGTCAGATCTAAAAAGACCCTGTGGTTTTAGAGTGGAAGGAATTTGAGCGGATTTCAGTGCATGTTGGATGATTGTATTACATTGCTTGTGTCTGATGAATCGTCCATTGCAGGAGCGACAATGTAAACTATGTCTACCCTTCGAGGCAACTGGCGAGTTGCAACCTGAGCAGATGTGAGGGTGAGTGATGGAACAATTTAGACGAATGCCGATGGCGTGGGTAAATTCATTGTTGGATAGTTGAAGCTGAAGATTGGTAGATGGGATGGCCTCAAGAAACTCATGTCCCGTACCATTGAGCAGGGAAGAGAATAGGGTGCGGTCGGTAGATTGCATGCTAGATAAGAGAGTTTCAACGCAGCGAGCAACCACTGGTGCATCCCAGTCTTTCTGTCTATGGGTGGTGGGGGGAAGAGAATCAGCATTGATCCTTGTTTTCCAAATATCCATAGCCACGATTAAGGAAAGGTCTTCTTTAGAATTATGGGCGGTGGTTATTGGCTTTGTCAAGAGACTACTCGATATGAAAGTAGTTATTGCTAAGTCAAGTGGAGATCTGATGCCGAGACCACCAAATTTGGTTGGAAGAGTTGCCTGGGCCCAAGCGGTTTCGTTAAATCTGATATTTACTATTTTTTCGGTTAAGTCCTTTATTCCTTTTTTGTAAGTTTGGAGAGGAATAGAATATTTAAAAATTGGTGTTGACCGAAGTGCGTAAAGAATCCTTGGTATAAAAAAGAAATTTTTTAGCAAAAAAAGGACTTGTGTGATGGAAGAAGTGTAAAGATGTCCTCCAGTTTAAGGAGTATGTCAAGTGTGGTATGAAGAAAGGTGCTTATTGCCTCGTGTCCTCCTACAGGCGATCCTAGATGTGTTAATTCAACGCTTGATGTGACTTTGAAATCGTGAGTGTTGGGAGCATTAGAATTTAAAAGTGAGAATTCAGATTTGCTCTGGTTAAGCGAAAGACCAATGGCTGTGCCCATTTCTTTAATTATGGTGACTGCTTTGGCAATTTCACTACTGGGACCACTCAAGATTCCATCATCAATATACCAAGCGTGGAGCGATAGAGTACATGAAGAGTTTATTGATTTTATCATGTCATTGATTCCAAGACTAAAGAGAAGGGATCCGAGAGGGTCACCCTGTTGGATACCCTCGACAGAAAGTATCTTTTCTTTGTTGAATTGTAAGATTGTTGGTGATTGGTAGCAAGAGAAAAGTAATTTGGTGTAAGCGGGGAAATGGAAGCAAGTTGAATGTAGGAACGTGTTGCGCGAAAGAGTGTTGTAGGCGTTAGAGAAGTCAATTTTTTTATTTTTTTTAAAAAAAAGAAAATTGTTTTTCTACAATTGTGTAATATTATATTTTATCCATTTTTAATTAATATGTGTTATTTTATTTTGACGTAATTGTGTTTTGCAATTTTATTGTTATTTAGATATTGTTAAATTGTCGAATTAGACAATAAAGTAAAGAAAAAAAAACGAATTGCATACATCTAATTATTTAATTTATAAATATCAACACTAGATAAAATTGAACGTTTTTTTTTAAATATAATTTTGAGTCCAATTCTCACTAATGTTGTCAGCCACCAAACCCAGTATTTTAATAAAATAATATAACGTAGCATCGAAATTTCGTTATAAATAGATGTCTCATCTTCATTTACAAGCTTTTCCTTCCTTTCTACCCTTCTATTTGAAAATTAAAAAAATTCATTGACTCTTGAAATCCTCTTAAACATTTATATTCCCGAGTATTAGGGGGATGATTAATCAACTTCCGGCCAAACAAGGTGGTTTGAGATGATTTCTCCCTCTCAATCTAGTATCTTTGTCAGCATCTCTTCTCGTCTTCAATGTGAGAGGTTATTAGTAATCTTATGAGACAAAGTGATAATCTATTTGAAACTCCCTGTGACATATAAAGGAAATATTTATGCCTTTCATCTCTTCCAAAGTCCACTGGACAAGGAGATGTTTTAAACCATTTTCTGGCTAACTTTAACAAGAAATTGATGGGGGTTAATTAATGCCAAAATAAAGTTTAGAAATAAATAATTCTTACGACAATTGTCATTTTTCTGTATTTCATTAAATTCTGATGTATTCCTTGTGGGGAAGGAAGGGGGGGTTCATTTTGATATTAAAAGAATTTATTAAGGAAATAGTATTTTCCACTTAAATTTTTTTTTTAAATCGAAAAAATGAAGAATTTATTTCAGGGGAAATTTTTCCCGGAGTATTCTTTTCAGCGGGAATTTATTTTTTCCGGGGAATTTTCCTCTTAATAAATAAAATATAATATTATCCATATATATAATAAATCTTATGATTATCCATAAACTTAACTAATGGATCTCTTTTGTTCTTCTCCTCTTTGCATTTTAACTGCATTTTAATTTTATGAGAAAACTAAAAATATTTTTTTTTAGATTTAATAAATCTCAAATACGAATTTGAATTGACAAAAAAATGATATAAATAAATGACTACAAATATGTGTAACATATAGCATATCTCGATCTCTTCTTGCTGTCGTTTATAAATCAACCACGCAATAAAATTGTTTTTTAAATTAAATTTTGATCATAATAATTTTGTTTTTTTAATATTTCTTATCAAAAATGAAAATTTATAATTTAATATAAAATAAAATTAGAACAAAATTTCTATTATAGACATTAAAAAAAAATTTATTTTATGTTATCAATAAATTATGTGAGATGTGGTCAAAAATACAAAACCAGAAAATATGCTAAAAAAAAAGGTCTTATGTTATATCATTTACCTCCTCCTCAACTAATTGACATAATATTTGCGAAAGCACCGAAAATTTCGCCCTTTTTCTAACATTGTAAACTTATCCTTTTTTTTAATGGTGAGGGGGAAGACCATCTGTTTAAAATATAAGCTGATTGGGAGAAAAAACATGTAATGTGATCAAAATTTATAACAATTATATGTCCAAAGAATTTTAAAAGGGTATAGCTAGCCAGAATGGTTTCTAGCGTAACTGATAAGACATAAACGACATGTGACTGAAGGACTTTATACTATTTTTATTTGTAATGTTAAACCGTTTGATTTTTAAAAATGGCTTAACCCATTAGCTTAGCCAATACTACGCAAGCTGATTCGCTCATAGATAGCAAAAAGATTTGCACATCTATTAAAGAAAAACCCAAGGCTTGGGTAATATTATTTTAGTTAAAATCTTTATCAACAGTTTGTTTTGAATTAAATATTTTCGCAAACATTTTAGATTTCCTTTTCCGGTCCAAACCTGCATATCAACAATTAGGCGGAAAATTTCCGATGTCAGGGAAAAAATATTTTTCAGTTTTTACCTTTCGGTTAGAACTGATATTTTGCTACGAGGGTCTCGTCATGCGAGTTGCCTTCAAGGATGAATGTTCTAGGAAAAAGTCTGGATCTCGAATTCTAAAACGGATGAAACGTAGGAGGCGGCATTGCAATGATGGACGATATCTTTTATTGTTGTATTTGAAGAATGGAAAATTAAAATGCGCTATATTTAATACCACCCTTGATTCGCGTTTAATCGAAGAAATAAAGTATTTTTTTGGATTTTCTAAATTTTAAATTTTTTTAAAAAAAATAAATAACAGAAACCTGCAGAAGTATCATTTGCGCGACCGGGCCCAAATTTTTTTTACCAATAATATTTTGCTGCCCGGCCCGGTTTTTAAAAAATATATTATATTTATTTTTGATTTTTATAGCTAATAATGATGATTTCAAATATTTGGTTCCGACCCGTGTACCCGGGGGCATAGGGCCGGGTCTGTAGGTCTATGAGTTGGATTGAACGAATGATATCTCATATTATATTTTTTAATTAAAAAAAATAATACTGAAACTTATATAAGACACCCTTACACAAATTACATTACCCACTATTTTATGTCTCTATGCTATAAATCAGATTTTTATGATATAATTAGTTTGCCAATATAACAAAACATTCTCTTGAGAAAAGCGCCCAGGACACCCATGGTGTTGGTTGATGTGGGAGATGGGGGGGGGGGGTGTGGTCATAGATTTTGAAATAAGGAGATAGTACCTTAAAAATAGGCTTTAACTATTATTTATTTATTTTTAGTTTTAGAGTGATAATTTATTCAGATCAGACCGCTATTTCAAATTCTAAGAATAAATTTTGACAAACGAGCTAGTTATGAGGTTTTATAAAGTTTAAAATTATATTTATTTATTTTTTTTCTTTGCGGGGATTTCAAAAAAAACAGCTCTCAGGTCCAATTGGCGCGAAATGTTTGGCACAATATAACGGTTAACATTGATAAAAAGGGAATTAAACTGGTGATGAGCGAAGGGATTTATAGTTCCACGACAAAATCTAGGTATGATGTAATAAGTTCCTCCATTTTCTACTCACGTTTAAAAGACCTGATAATTGACGAAATTCAATTGGGCGGATTACCTAAATCTCGAACGCATTTTGACCTAAAAAATTATGACGATTATAAATATGTTAAACGAGGAATCCGGGGATGTATAAGAAAGGTTTTTAAATTGATTTATTTTTTTCGATATTTTATTACATAAAACGTAACGTCGGTATCCTTTCAAACCCTTTCTATCTAAACTATTTCAACATGTTTTATACGATATCCTAAGTTCGAAAGCTAAGTAACCAATAGAAAATGCCCTATTTTATCGTTATTTAAAAATTTCTATTTAATCCTTTGTAATTAATGTAACTGTAAAGTAACTGCAACTAGTTACAGTTACATTATCTTTTTATTAGAAAATTTGCTCAACCTTGATATCTCTCCTTTCAAAATTTCTTTATTAATAGTTCGGTTACTGTTCAAAAAATTGTAACGATTTTTTCGGTTTCGCTATTCAGTTTGATACTTTGCGTTGGTCTAAATACCATTTTTATATAATGCGTTATTATCATTTTTTTTTTTAAATTTATAAATTAATAGACGTGTGTTAATCACAATTTTCTATATTTTAGGTACGGGTTCAAGATCAATTAACACCCTTAATCTATTCTTTAAAGGGTGGTATATGTGGTAAACCAGAGCTGGACCACATATCTCATGATTACAAATGTAAGTTACGTCAATCAGTTATATCTCTAAAATCCATTTGATTTCTTTAATAATAAATAACCATATATTATCATCTTTTTGAAGATTTCTTTAAAAAAATGATTTATAATAATAAATATCTTTATATCAGAGACCTGCTGAGATACCATTTGCACGAGACCCGGCTCGGATTTTTTTTTTAAGAAAAATTTTCGACCCGGATTTTTTATTAAAAATTTTATTACGGCCCGGCCCATGTACCCGGGTCGGGCCGGGCCTGCAGGTCTCTATTTTATACATTTCTGTTTCAATTCAATTTTCCTTTTTTTTATCGTAATTATCAGCGTACGAAGAGGTGCCATACTTCAATGGAGTAGATAGCTATATTCAATTTTCGTACCCGTTCGACAAGTATAATTCAAATTATCTTAACAGAAATAAGCGCCATAAAAATCATTTTTAAAACAATAATGTCAATGTCGTGCTTGAAGACATAGTCCAATTCTTAAAATATAATTATAATTTTCTATAAATTCATAGCTATAAAAAGGATTTTTTTTATGTCAATTTTTTAAAACTTTTTCCTCAGAATTCTCAAAATACAATCGAAACAGAAAAGTTCCAACATGCTATCCCTACATTTTATAGCGCACGATCCTAACGGTATATTGGTCTGTTTTCTATCCAAGAGTGGGTTGGGTGTAAATCAACTAATTATACTAGCCATTTTCGACGCCAGCTTTAAATTGATCGTTGGAATAGAAAATTACTTTTACGTTTCCAAACTAAAACACCGTCAATTAGCTTTGGGCATTCCACATTCCCTCATATTGAATAATGATGAAAGGTTTTTATTGCATATTATTTTAAAATAAATTTCAGACCATAAAAATTCATATATATATATAAATGTCGTATGGGGATTCGGAATCTCTCAATTTCAAATCATTTATCGAGGGCGATTTAAAAAATTTTTTTGATTTAACTGGAAATATATTCCAACATGTGTAGAGTATTTAGCTTATAAATTTCAGCCATAGACATTTTAGTATTTTTTAATTTATATATAAAATTTAATATAAATTATGAGTAGTTCTAAAGTTCGTTGCAAAATTGCTTGAAATTTACAGTTTGGATACTCTATACATGCCGAAATACGATTCCTGTAAAATCAGATTTTCAAAAACTAAAAATATGCTATTCTATGGGCTCAAACCTAGAGGATGTAGTTTTCTTCTTTTCTTGGTTTTTACTGAAAACGTGGTTTTAAAGTTTTACAGCATCATCAAAAATATCTTTATATTAGTTGCTTATATATTAGAAAGCCGCAGGCTCGAGACCCCAGGGCCATATTTCAATTTTTTAAATTTAACCTATCGACCGGACTTGATTTTTTTTAAAAAAATATCCTGTACAAATGGTACCTCTGATTTTATACCCATATCGTGGCATGATTATAGGAGTAAGCTACTTACTCTAATTTCTTAAAAAAGATGGAAGAACAAAAAATCAACTTTTAACAGAGGAATAATTAAAAAAAATATCCTGTACAAATGGTACATGTGATTTTATACCCATATCGTGGCATGATTATAGGAGTAAGCTACTTACTCTAATTTCTTAAAAAAGATGGAAGAACAAAAAATCAACTTTTAACAGAGGAATAAATACAAATTCTAAAAATTAAATAATATATAAATTTTCATCAATTTGTAAAAACTGGGCAGACTAATTTTTGATCATAACAGTGGCCTAATAGAAGTGTTCTAACTTCGTTAAAGAGTTGTATGTTATCGAATCAAATTTCCATTTTCGTATTGACTCATTTACCTCTTGATTCGTTTATTATTCTGATCTCTTCCCTCATTTTTTCTTTATATAATAATAAACCGTATTTATTTTTCTTAATCACTACACTTTAATTTATCGATTTACACTTTAAAATTTTTTTTTATATAGTTTTTGTCATATATAAATTGTTATATAAAATATTTAAATATAAATAAATTATCATTATAAACGATAAAACATAGTGTTTTTAAAGTTAGTACTTAATTTTTACTACGGAAAAATATTGTATTTCGTTATTTTAAAAAAAAATTATAACTATATTTTTTGGAATGTAACGAGAAAAGTAATTCATTTTTTAAAAAAAATATCTTAAATATATTTCCTATCTTTATGATTTCCCAAATTTATAATTACTTATAAACCAAGCGCTCTTCTATAAAGTGTGTTTAATCTAGGAAAGCTTATTTGTGGAGAAAAACAAAGCACACATTTTAATATATTACACCAACTTTGAAACTAGTTTATTTTTAAATAAGGTCAAATAAAATTTTATTAATTCTAAATTTTTAACAAAAAATTACAATTAGTAAATCGCAAAAATTATTTTGTATATAAATATTAAAGATTATATTTTAAAATGCTGAATTATATGAAAAAAAAATATGAAATAACTTTCAAATGTAGCTATTTGTTAGATAATTTTTAATAAATGTAAAACTACTAACCTTATAATGTGTAACCTTTAACTTAATTTTTATCTAAAAATTTGATTTTGCGCGTAGATAATCGTTATATCCATCCATTTTTCTTTTATAAAAACAGATCCAACACGGGAACGGTAATAATCTTGGACAATGACGCTATATATCAAACTTACACCGTACCTAGGATTGCTTTAACAGATTACACCGTTCATTTAGGTATTTTAAAATAACTCAAAAATTTTTTATTTTAAAAAGCTTCTTTTTAAATTTATTTTTGAATAAAAAAAATGTCGTTCAAATTGATCTGAATTTGTTTAGCAGCCCAATACTATTGACTGTCAATCAAATCTATGACAACTCTTTGATAGTAAAGAAAAAAATTAGAATTAGAACAAAATAAATAAACTTATAAAATGTAATAATATTTTAATATAACCAACATAATAATAAAAGAATATTTGTTGCCAGTACCCATCTCAATTAAAATTTCGCAAAATTTATACTAGGTGGATTAGATGAAGCAACTTTCGGCAAAAACGCGGATCCCGACAAACGGTACCTACCAGAATGGGCATTTCATTACAAATTCAAGGGTTGTATTAGGAAACTGACGATAAACGATTTCGAGCTCATACCCGGAAACCGAAAAAGGAAATCAGACCTCGAAGATCTTGGGCGAAATAATCTTGAAAAAACTCCCCGAACGCCTGATACCGGAAATGCGAATATCTCAAATTATACCACGCGCATAAATGACGACGATATCGATGTTATAAAATATGTTTCCAAAAATGTTACGAATTGCGCAAAGCGCTAGATATGTTTTTAATTATAAAGGAGCGTTCAATTAATTTTATTTTTCATCAATAAAATTAGATTATTTTTTTAATTGTTACACTTTATTTGACACTTTTTATGAAATATATATAGAGGGAGTATCTCCGAATTTCAAACACTTTCGATTTTTGAAATTATATGAAAAATCTAGAGTAGTGATTTACCCCGTCGAATTGTGTTTATTTTTTATGTTTCCTTTCATAAAATAATATTTAAACACGTGACAAATTTACCGTTACATGCGAAAATTTTTTGTTTGAGTAGCGTCTTTGGGCCTCATCGGTGAGGGCATATATCACCTACCGTAAAGATCTGGCGAATTCTGCAAAGAGCGGGGAATTTTTAATGGAATCAGCAAATTGGTTCTGACACGGGGTATGATATGTATGTAATATAGGAAGCGACCACGTGATTCCGCCTTTTTCAATATTTTAAAAAATGTGTCTTAACACTTATCGCAATTTTTTTTATAATTTGGCTGTTGTTTAGTAAATATTTGGTCGTAGTTTAGCATGTCCTCGTAAAAAAATTCGTTGTTGTTTATAGCAAATGATCTGAGGTATCCACTAACCAAACGTCTAGATTATCAAAGATTACGGAACTATAAGTCCAAAATTTTCATGGCTAAAATTGTCTTAGATATTTGCACGAGGTAAATTTTTTCATGGCTGGAAATACAATTCTGACAAATAATCATTTCAAAACAAAAAAACGCCTAATATAAATGATCTAAAGTTTTATATTTAAACAAAAAAATTTGCTAAAACTCCTGGGACAATGAAGCATAATAGCCCTAGAATTTGCCTAAAGTCCTTAGGACATTTATAACGTCAAAAAGGTAAACATTCCACGAATCATTTTAATTTTGGTATTCCCGTTTCATCTTTTTCTTCACCTTCATCATAGAAAAAATTTAATAGCACAAAATCGGAGATGTAAATCAATACCAACATTTTAGCCGGTATCAAAAATAATGTAGTATAATTTATATTAACATATTTTTAAAAAATTTTCATTTGTATTGAGTTAAAATTTAAAAGTATCGGACGATACTGATATCTGCAAAAAAGTAAAGACATTTTTTGCATAGCGGGATCAATATATATTGCATTTTTAAAAAAAATCATAATGTAGCCTGGCGAGTATTAATGATATCATGTGATTCTTTATTTTTTTTAAAAAATAAAGCTTAAATTGAGCAAAATTATTATTACTTCCTTTTTTTAAATAAAAACATTAACAAATTTTATTAAAAAATTATATATTCGGGTCTTTGTTATCCTCTAGCGAGCTTGTTCACTTTGTCGTAAACGTGAGGCAAGTACCATTTAGGTTCGCCCTCGGTCGCGTTGTCGGCATCGCCGATTTTAGCACGCGTCCTCAATTTGTCGTAAGTCGTGAGATCCATCATTTGACCGAATTCTTGACGCGTCAAATAAACGTCACCGTAAAACATTTCGAAACTAAAAAAATAAGTTTTATAAAAATTACAAATTTGTTCGGTTTATAAATTAAAAAACCCTTCTGCCATCATCTAGGAGCAAAATTTCGAGGCTTACGATAATATTATTTTGGATAATATCTTACACAAATTGAGCGTTTCAATCGCTGGCAAAATTTTACGTGGCCTCGTGCAAATTGGTAAAATTACCGTTTAGCGCTAGCAACCATTTTAAAAAAGACGTAAATAGGTTTGCTTTTTCATAACTTTTTTTTATTCTTCTCTTATGTAATATTATATAAAAATGTTATATAAATAAACTTACTTATATCCTATAAAAGGGAATATTTAGAATATTAAAGAAATAAGAACGCAGACGATAATATAATTTTCGAAGACAAATCCTTTTTTTAAATTAGAACTTATTTAAAATTTAGAATCGACAGACGGATATTAATAAAAAGACAACCTAACTTTAAACAAGGAACGCGTTACGTTTTTTTTATTTAAAAAATTACGGCGAAACATAAACGCTCAATTTGTGCGCACTATTACTCTATAAAATAAATTCAAAATTGGTTGGCTAACAGAAAAAAAACTATGCTTTACATAAAAAAGAAAAAGTTAACTTCATTCATTCATTCTTTATATATTTATTTCTAGCGTAGATCGGTGGTTGGATAAATAAATTTTTTTTAAAAAAAAACATCGTTTCAAAAACAATTGAAATATAGATAAATTTATTGTTGTATAATTATTTATCGTAAAATAAAATAAATGGATATTGGTTAGTAGCTAAATTGTATAAAAACATATAAGATCAATGATAATGTAGCTACAGAAAAAAATATTGCCTAAGTCTAAAGATTTCGATAATATATGTCTAGACCTTTGTTCCTTCTATGAGAAAAATATTCAGACTCGGGTAATATGTTTCTGAATGAAGTATTGAGTTAGCCGTTTTTAAAAATTGGCTCAAAACGAGCTGTTTAACAACACTACAAAATAGAAAACATGCTAATATATGTACTCAATTTAATTCTATATAGATTTTTTATTTATAAAACCTGATCGGTTTAAAGACCTATTCCAACGGTATTTTATAAAAAAAAACATATATTTTTTCCAGTGTTAGAAAAAATATAGTTTTCTGAGTAAAAAAAAGAGAAGGGGGGGGGGGGGGGAGAATGCTTAAATTATTATAAAAAAATTTTTTAATCTTCATTTCCGGGAAGAAAAAAAATGGTTACTAACCCATCATTTTTGATCAAAAGTTTTTCTAATTCGTGCAAGCTATCGACCGGTTTAAACCGCGGTGACTTTGGCATTCCGTACAGTCCTACATCTATATACATCCCCCATTTTTCTTCTTTTAACCCAAAATTTCTAGTACTTGCGAGATTACGAGAATCGATCATCGTGAAATCGGCAAAAGATTCCGCGTTAAGAAGATCCTTCTTTAGCGGAGATTTAGCATCGCCACCTGTGGTTAGTTCCTCGCTTCTTTGATTTTCGTCGTCATTATTCTGGATACTCGGGATCATGTCGAAATTATTTTCGGAGATATCGTGATCGAAGAGGTGTCGAATAGGCGGGTACACCATACCCCTGTTACGGTAATAAAGTTTCATGGGGCACAACCAAATGGGGTATAACTGAATTATATTTTTATTCAAATAAGAAGATTAGCAAAAGAACCCCATATTTGAATTGCCATAATTTATAAATAATTAAATAATGTATATATAAAATATAACTAACTGTTGCATATCAGTAACGATTTTATTTTGTTAATATATTTTTTTAATTGTAGATAATGAAGGTTTAAGGCTATCGTGTGATATATTTTAAAAAAAACTTTTACTTTATATTAATTTTTATAGAAAACGTTATTATATATGATATATATTTACACAATTGATTTACTTTGGATATAAAAAGAGATCTTATATTATAAATTTTATCAGTTAACTTTTCATAATAAAAATTTGTTTTAAATAAAATTCTTATTCCCTACACTACTAATATCCATTCTACAAAGCAATTCCCCTCAACCGACGTCAAATACCCTACTAATTCCTATCAATACCGACGTCCATGACAAGTTAATTTCCCTGCTTGTCATTACTAACCAATCATTGCATTGTCTTCATTTTTCTTTTTACTAAATAATTTTAAGCGTTTAATTATTAATTTTTTAAAATCCTTTAAAGGCTTTAATTATTCTTTGTTTAAAATCCGTGTTATAACATTAAAAATTATTGTCATAACTAATAACAATGATATTAATAGTAACTATTTATTTATTAAAAGGGTTCACACATTGACAGCTGTAGTTGATGTCATTGGCTGTAGAAGACGTCAATGAAATCCATCATATCTAAATTCCTTTCAATGACAGACTTCGATGCATGTACTCATTTTTTAAATACATTTTAATGAATGAATTGTCAGCCCTGATTAGTATTAATGTCATTGTGACCGATACCCTAAAATTCTATGCATCTTACAAGATTGAAAAACTTTTCTAAAAAAAGTCTCCTAGAAAATCGGTTTAGGTAAAAAACATCGACAATGCTAAAGTATATCTATTTTAACGATTTAAATTTATCAGTTATAATAATATATTATTTCTTTGTGTAATTTCTCAAGCAATGTATCGAAATTAGGTATGAAAAAAACTATATTTTTTAGAAAAAAAACAAATATTGTTTTTTTATTGCTATTTAAAACAAAAAAATCTATGAAAAATAATATAATCTTTCATTGTCACGATCAATATATCTCGTTCATTTTGTTAAGCAATGTTTTATTTTAAAAATTTTAACTTTGCAATTTTAATTTCGAGTGTTAAAATTCAGTTTAAATTAATTTTGACACATGTTTTTCGTTTTGTTTTTTTGCATTGTTTTTCCCTGATATTCATATTTGGAGAAAAAACAGTTTTATTGTTTTTTTATCCCTAAATTAATACCTTTACATAGTTGTATCTTAAATAATACAATATTTTTTATTGCTTACGAAAAAATGATATATCAGTTTAAAACGTAGGGTAAAAAAACCGCGAATTTATCGTCGCAAAAGGTCAACATTTCTTCTAAATTCGAAGCTGGAACCAAGATATCTTGGGCGACGTGCAGCTTCTCGTACAATTTTTTCACCCTTTCGGTTTGCGCGAGTTTTAAGAAGGACACCTTTAAGGGTAGCATCCAGCCGAAGAGTACGCGGAAAAATGGGTGATTACCGAATGGAATCATATGCTTTATAGAGGATGACATAAATGAATAAATAAAATTAAATGAAATAAAATAAAGGGAAAAACATTAACTCCTTTAAAAAGAGGGGAAAAAAATTGCAGAGAAATTTTTAAATAAGAAAAAGTTTGTATAATTAACGCGAATTATTCGATATTTGATCCGATTAGTATTTTTTTTGAACACGAATAACAAAAATTTCCGATTCGAATAAAATTATTGGTCAAAATAAGAGCTTTCCTCGAACAAATTATTGGTTAATAGCAGAAATTATTGGCAAATATCAGAAATTATAGGTAAATATCAGAAATTATTGACAAATATCAGAAATTATTGGCAAATATCATAAATTATTGGTAAAAAGCAGAAATTATTGGCAAATATCATAATTTATTGGTAAATAGCAGAAATTATTGGCAAATATCAGAAATTATTGGCAAATATCAGAAATTATTGGTAAATATCAGAAATTATTGGTAAATATCAAAAAATATTGACAAATATCAGAAATTATTGGTAAATATTAGAAATTTCGTATAAGCATTTCAACCCCATGATTCCTTTGTCGAAATTTTTATATTTTTTTTTACTACTTTTCATTCGATTTAGTAATCTTATTTAAAATTTTATTTTCAAATCAAATCCTACAATGGTTTTATTATTCGTACGAATACGAATGAGTCTGCTGAAAAATTTGGATCGAATAAGAATAATGGCATTATTTATATGTATATAACGTTACAGTCATATCGCGTAACCTCTCATTCATAGTTAGGGCGAATTCGCGGCGAATTATACAATACTTGATTTTTGCATTCTCCGTCGGAAATTCCCGCTAACCATGAACGAGGAGTTACCCTGCATTCAAGGTTAGCACGAATTCAGGGCGAAGTTACGAAATATGCTGTATTTTCATATACTTCGCAGCGAATTGGCGCAACCCGTGAAGGCAGGGTAATCATAATCAATCAATCCGCGTAATTGTCTTAATCAAGTTGTATAATATTTTATTTTAAAAAAATTATTTGAAATTTATGGGATAGCTATTTTTACATGTGCTGGAATACATTTCCGAAAATGAAACAAAAATTTGATTATTTAAAAAAAAAAATTTTTAACCCCGCTAAAAAATAAATTAATTTAAAAGTTGGTCCATAAATAGCATAATTAATTGTTCGTAACGTTTTATTTTTGTTACATTTTAATAATCTGATCTTACCCCCCCCCCCCCCCTTCAAGTTATTCAGAAAAGCGCGACATCCACAAGGTAAATATAAAAAAATATTAATAATTTTCTATTTTATAAAGAAAAGAAACGACCTAATAAAAACACGAGGAAGCATGAGATAGATAAAGACAGCTTTCATTTAAAAAAATTTTTAATTAAATTTTAAAAGTGGCCTAAATACGATAAATTATTAAAATAATGCAAAATTAGATCGAATATTAATCAAGCTAACTAAATAATAGGTCGATGGTGTAGATTCAAAAAATATATATACATAAAATGGCGGTCGATAGAGATAAACGGATGCAACAAGTGGCTTCCTATTAATATCATGCGCTTCAAGGGGTAAGGAAGATTAAAGGGATCATCCTTGAAATTGGAAGCAATAAAATGCAAAAGACAAATTCAGCTTCCTTTAGGAAAATAGGCGGTATAGTAACTGACCAAAAATATATGATAATTATTCATTTTTTCAGAAATACAAGAAAAAATTTTAAGGATAAATTTAATATATTTTAAGAATTATTATAAAGCATATAAGATGTAACCATTAGATATATATTAAAAATTAATCATTTACTATTTATTACAATGTTTTAAAATCTTTAGAAAACAAGAACCCAATTCAAAATTTGCAACCGGTTGTAGAACTGACAAAAACAGGTTGTGAAATCGATTCCAATAAGAACGGGTTGTAAAATCGGTTCTAACAAGAAAAGTTTTTGAAATAGGTTCCAATAAGAACGGGTTGTGAAATCAGTTCTGAAACCGGTTTTAATAATAACAGGTTGTAATCCCAGTTCTAATAAAAACAGGGTGTGAAACCGGTTCTAATAAAAACAGTGTGTAGCAAGTTTTTATAATGGCAAAGATCCACAATTTTTAATATAAAAAATTTTAACTTCGATTTCCCAGAATAAGCTTTTGGAGTGCCTGTGATAGTATTGCCTTATAGGCACGTACTCTTCGTGTACGCGCGGCGGGTCTCCCTTGCCTTTCTCGTCCCTACGCAAAAATTCCGCTACGTAAACGTAAAACCAGGGCTTGTAGAACGCTGCCAAAGGGTTGATCTTTGGGGGTGAAAATTTGGTGATATCTCGATTTTTAGAATCGTCGGCGATGGGTGGTAAATCCGACATATTACCTTTTAAAATGACGCAATCCGTCGGAGAATATAGGATGGCCTCGACGAAATCGCATGCTTTGTGGGGGAAAAAAATAAGATAAATAATTTGTTTTATAGATCGTAAGTTGTTAGCAATATCGCATTCAAAAAACGGGTTGGGTCGGGAAAGTTATGCGAAAAATCTTAACTGACCAATTCCTGAGGATCTCTGATGGTGGATGAACTCCTCCAATATATAAAACTATTATTTTATGATACCAACATATGATAACAATTCCACACCACTGTTTCTAGTGGGCTAATATTATCAGGATATTTTTTTTCTTAGCTCTGGAGAGAGAGAGAGAGAGCACTAATCTTTTGAGAAGTAACTTTTACGTTGGCGCACTATTTTCTTCATCTTTATAATTAATATTATAATGTTTATTTTATTTATAAATTAAATTTGGATGAAACTTAATTTATAAATTTTGAAAATTTAACTATATTTTAAGAATAATATTTTTGTTTTATAATATGAAATGGATGAGACATATATGAGTAGTGACAATGACAATATTTTAGAGGATTATTTTGCAAAATATTGCTAAGAGATGATAAAAAATTGATTTTGTTTACCAATAATTAAGGTCATAAAATTAAAATTGCATATAAAAAATGGTGCATATTATATAAATATGATTTATTAGACATTTATTGTTGCTAATATAGAAATACATCTTCATTTATTCACTCATTTTATATTTATTCGATTTTTTGCAATCATTAAGATGATGATGATAATGTTATTAGCTGCCATTACATCCAAATTATAGAGTGAATCGGCCATAAATTAATCTTTCTGGGTCTAGATCTAAATATCAGCTAAATAGATGCACTGAAAAATCAAATAATCTATATCCCAGGAACAATAGAATTGGTTAGCCACAAAAAATAACCACTTCTATAGATACTATCTTTTAAAAGAATAATACAAATACGAAAGAAAATCTATCTACCAAATGCTTTTTTTGCATCAAAAAATAAATACCATGAACATAAATGGCTTTCCTATTTTATAAATATATTTATCAGAGACCTGCAGAGGTACCGTTTGCACTGTTCGGCCCGGCCCGGATTTTTTTTGAAAAATTTTCAGACCTAACCCGGGTATATTTTTTAAAAGAATTAGAATAAGTTACAGGTTCCCTGATATTTATAAAATTAAACACAACTATTCTCGCGTGCTAGTGTTAGACTACTTAGCCAAGCTAAATTTATCATTTAGTTAGTGTTGTTAAACGGCTCGATTTTGAGCCGATTTTTAAAAACGGCTAACTCAATATTTTATCTAGAATAATATTACGCCAAGCCTGAAGATTTTGCTCATAGATGGCACACAATTCGCTAAATCTCGAGGCCCGGAAATATTGAGTTGGCCATTTTTAAAAATGGGCTCAAAACGAGGCGTTTAAGAACACTACATTTAGTCATCGCCGCTAAAGACTTACGGACAAAAATGGTTATAAAAATGTAACGATAAATTAAAACGTTTAAATATTTTTTCCCTTACATAATACAAGTAGCCATTCGGAATAAATCGATAAATTTTGCCTAATGTTTCAATTCCACCCTTTTTAAATTTCATAAATTTTTGAGTGCTAATTTTTAAATATCCGGTATTACCGTGCTATTTTAAAAAAAAATCTTTTGAAATTAAAATGGCGCATATTATTTTTAGCAAAATCAAAAATATTAATGTCTTAGCATATAATCGCGTATTAATTAAAAAAAAGCGAGTTTTACAAGACGTGGCGCATTGTTTAAACAAAATGGCGAGCATTGCCGCCTTTTTTAAAAAATTTCCCGCGAAAATATAGCCTTAGCGCATCTTTTTTTTTAAAGATTAGTGATAAAGGTAGTGCACTACCTTTTGAACGCGGTGAATAGCAACACTATTTTACGCGATAAAAAAAAATCGGCATCAATTGTTTTTAAATTTAAAATAACACATGTTCTAAAAATATTCTCCGTGTATATAAAACAAAAGAAAAATATCCGGCGCCACAACAGTTATAAAGTACCCTCAAAAGTAGCTTCTAGGTTACTCCCCAAGGTACACACTCAATAGCATAATTAAACCTACAATGAGTCAGTAAAATTAATGTATTTAAAAAAAATTTACACAAATCATAACAAGCTTTTTCGAATTGATGACTAATTTCGGTGAAATTGGAATTATTGATGGGAAAATATCGCAAATGAACGTAAGGCTTGGCTGGTACTATCTTGATGTTAGCCGATACCAAAAAACCTAAGGTACCATGGGACCATGGAATATTGTAAAATAGTTCCCTGTTTACATCCTATATTGTGATTAGGGGACAAAAAAAATGATAGCATTTCATTTTCATAAATGAATCTTATAATAATTAAAACAATAATTGATAATTTTAAACAAATTTAACGAGACCTAAACAGGTCATTGGCCTATTTAATAAAATTATTATATACTAAACAAATATCAGGATTTATGGAAAATAAAAACATACTTTAGAACATGTTAAGAGTTCACCAGTGGGACTCACTACTTCGTACATTATACATATATGCTGAAATAAACCATATTTGTGAGAAGATGTTTCAATTCCACAACCATTAATTAATCCACCTTTAAAAAAAATGAAATGGATATAATGGGAATTAGTGATTTGCATCGGGCCTAATTCAAGCCCGGCCCGGCCCGATTGCCGGCCCGAACCCGAAATTTTTTAAAAAAGTTTTGCCGCCTCGGCCCGAACTCGAAATTTTTTTAAAAAAAATTACCGACCCGGTCAGGCCCGAATTTATTTAAATATAGAAATTAATTTTTATAATTACTCAAAATAAAAGACATTGTCGTTTAGTTTCAATTAATAAAATCAAATATTTTTTATTTTACATAAAAATACAATATAAAATTGATAAATTTAAGATATATTTAAAAAAATTTCCAAGGTCCGACCCGACACGAATTTTTTTAAAAAATATTAGGCCTGGCCCGGCCCGAACCCGATTATTTTAAATAAAATTAGGCCCGAGGACCGGACTCGGGTTGGGTACGGGCTGGGTCTAATTTTGCAGATCTCTAATGGGAATACGGAACCTCTAATTTTTTAAAAATTTACCAAAGGCAATTTTTTTTTAAAATTTTTTAACCCGAATTAATATGATATGCATTCTATCATGTACACTACCGGCCATAAATGATTGCCCCATTTTCTTAACATTTTTCTTCAAATAAGACAAATAACACACAATATGAGGTTTATCAAATATATTTATAAGTTTACATATTATTGCATAAAATTATAAAAAATAAAAGACATAGCAATTAATTGAGATCAAATTTTTTGGTCTCATCAAATATGACCACCTTTATTCTTAATAATCTGCACAAATTTTTGGTATTCTTTCGATTAGGTTTTTTAAATATTCGGAAGTGATATTGTTCCATTCTCTCTGTAATACTTCCCAAAGGTGCGAATGAGAGGTTAGAGGGTCGCGCTTGTCGATCAAGGTGATCCCATAAAAGTTCGATTTGATTGAGATCGGAAGCTGGGATGGCCAAGTCATCAACTCGAGAATACCGTGTTGTAGATTTTGTAAATAATCTTTTGGGTCATTATCTTGTTGAAATAAAAAGTTATTCCCGATCAAACGCTTTCCTGATGAAATCACTTGATCCTCAATGATTTGCCGGTATCCCTCCTTGTTTAGGATTCCTTTGATTTTGACAATGTCGCCGGACACCAAATCACCCCCATACCATAACAGCCCCTCCCCCATTGACTGTAGGAATTATGCAGTGATCGCTCATTCTCTCTCCAGCTGAGCGGCGGATATATTGCCTTCTTTTAGAACTGAAAATTTCGAATTTTGACTCATCACACCATAAGACTGGTACCAGTTGGCACATATCCAAAATTAATGTTTTCGTGCCCAGTCTAATCGCTTGAGTTAATTTTTATTGCTCAAGAATGGCTTTTTGACCACTGCCCTACATAAAGTTAAAGCTCCTAAGGCGCCTTTTCACAGTTGTGACACTTATAGGGTTTTCCCGAGTCAGATTAATTTCCACAGCTATCACTGTGGCCACAAGGTGTCGATTGCGTTTACTTATCCTTGCTATATACCTATCATCGCTTAAAGTCGTTTTGCAGGGTCTTCCAGGCCTCTTTGGATTTGATATTGTATTATTGTTGCGTATTTTTTCAAGTATACAATCGACTGTTCGTTGAGCTAGGGTTAATTCTCTGTCAATTCGGTGATTACTTTTACCACTTAGTAAATTAATTATTTTGCATTTAGTTGGATTAGAAATTTATTTTCTTTTAATCATTTTGGTTGAATGTTCGTTAAAATTTATAAAGACTAAATATACAAATTTTTTTTTAAATAATTAAAAATTTAATAAGCAGATTAGAATGTGATTAATGACTTTCTTCCAAAAAACAATGGGCAAATTAAAATTGTTGCTGAAAAAAACTAATTAACCCTATTTTACCAAATTGCTCATTTTTGACATGTTGTTTTCAAAGGCTAAAATTTCATAGAAAAATTTATAAAAATTCTGAGTTTTTTATTTCTAAATATGGCCAGTAGTGTATATATAGAGTACCTAACCTATCCTATAAATTTCAGACAATTTTTGCCATAAATATATGTGTAATATTTAATTTAAATAGAAAAACCCATATAAAAATCAAATAAATTAAGAGTAGGTCTTAAGTTCATGGCAAAAAAGTTAAAAATTTATTATATGGGTGATCTCTATACATGCTAAGAGAGATATTAAAATCAGTAAATTATTTAAATTGAGATACCAAATTCTCCCAGATTCAATATACTAATGTGACATATATATTATTTAAAGTATTTAACTTATAGATCTAGTGTTGTTTTTATTTGTTTATTATTATCAGGCGCATAACAAATGGGGGGGGGGGGTATGAGCCCTATAACAAATTCCCCTTCTTTGTTCTCATAAATGTCATTTTACATCAATACAAATATTTCCCTTATAATCCCCCTCCCCTACTACCTCTTCAGCACAAGTATTTACAATATATTATAAAAAATTATTTGAAGAAAAGATAAGTAAAAGCCAATAATTTTTTAAAAGATAAAAAAAAATGATGGCCCAAAATTATTTTGTATACTTATGTCTAACCTATTGTCAAATCATCTAATTCAGGTAAAACTGGTAAGGTCCAATTTAAAGGCAATAAAGTAGAAGTAATCTGCCCCATTGTCACCATTGGTTCGACTTTTATATATTGTTTATCTGTGTTTATCTTTATAAAAATATATATTTGATATTAAAAGTAAAAATACATCTAATATATCATAGAGATCAATTTTAATTTTATGAAATTTGGATTTATATTTTGCATTATGTGGTGACATATTTTGCCACCCAGGCCTGCTTGTACACATTGGAACACCAAGATCCATTTTATTAAAAAATCTAATCTAGAAAAATATATTTAAACATGTTTAACCTTTATATATACTTGTTTGATGATATCTTGAACTTTTTTCCCATGTTCTTCTGGACAACTTCTTAAAGCAAATCTTATCCAGTTTCGTATATTAAAATAAAGGGTATATATGTAAGAAAGAGGAAGGACTATTAAGCATATTGCTAAGCATCGTATAAATGTAATAATATGAGAATATTTAATTCCAAATATAAAACATAAAGTTATTATCGAAGTCAAAATCGCATTAAAAAGAATCCACATGTTTTTAAAGGAGAGAGTTCTTTAATAACATATGAAATAGTTCAAGAGTTAAACGATGGCCGTTGTAAAAAATTACTATTAAAAAAATATAATTTAATATATAGATCAAAATTTAATATTTCTACATTAAAATATAAATATATATAATAATGAATTTTTATATATTAATCAATCGATATTTTTTCAATCTTAGAATATTAATATTTTTACAAACAGTATTTTATGAAATTATATTTATCAAACCAAAAACATATTTAGTTTGCCTTTTTAATTGTTTTTTAAAATTTAGCGTATAATTAATGATTCTTAATTAAAAAGGAAACACCATATGTCAATGATAAAATAGCCTTGTTCTAGAATATTTATTTCGTTTCATCATGATTATTTATGATTCATTTCATTATTTGTTGAATATGTTGGTCGATGTTATTTTTATTATTTATTTTGGCAATTGATTTATTTTATATTATATCTATTTATATTTAAATTAATAGGTGAAAATTTTATATTAACATTTTTATTTATACATCAATTTGTATTAGTTATTTTTTTTATTATTGTTTAAAAAAAGGATATATAGAGATAAAAAAATGTAATTGAGGTTAAAAAATAAAAATATAATATTATATCATATAATAAAATTTAATTATGATTTAAAAATAAAATGATAATAATAAATGTGGATATTAAATCAATTTCAACATTATTTAAAATTAAAATAATAATTTATGAATTTATTAATGTTATCCAATGATATAAAAGAAACGCGAAGTGGGCTAGTTTAACAATATTGGTTAAAATATATTAAAGTAGCTATTATAAGTATCGGCAGGCAACATAACAGTGTTATATTTTTTTAATTATCAGCAACGTTATATTTAGAGATATCATTTTCGAGTAGTCTATTTATTTAGCTACTTGACAAAAATAAAATTTTTACTAAATATATTTAAAGGAATTAAATTTGTTCAAATAATTTATCAATTATTTAACATCAATATCATACTCCATTATATTTACTTAGTTTCCACTATTAGAGCATTATTCAAAATATTATACTCATCTATTAAATTCAGTAATTCTTTTAAGAAGCTATTTAGATTAGAAAAGGATGTTATTAGGAAACGTTTTCACCAGATTAAAATTTTCTGAGGCATGTTCCCTTACAAGTTAATACAAAATGAATAATATATTTATTTCTAATAGATGCCTTAACCAATTCTAATTAATTTTGGCCCGTCATTCTATCTATTCTCGATTTATAATCATGTTTTTTTAACTGTACCATTTATGCAACGTTGACCACTTAAGGGTTCAAAAAAGAATTTTTCTAAAGAAAATTAGGCACAATATTTTATAATATATTTTTGTTTATATTCTTAAACAAAAATACTTTATCATAATATTTTTATTATTAACAAAAAAAAATTGCAGAAAATTCATAATTTTATGTATTCTCATAATATTTTTTCATTTTAATATAAAAATTATTTTATCATCTTATATTTTCCAATATTTAAATGATATTAACATATTATTATGACTAAGCAATTTCTTTGTTGATGAAGCCCTATCCACGCTTTTCGATGAATGCCCTGGTGATGAAATAGATTTTGTAATTAAACCTCCTAATGTTGCTCTAATTAGTAATGAAGATCTCGATGAATTCGATCTAAACGACATACCTTATCTTCCATTAGATATTTTAGGGGTGATAAAAATATCCATAATCCAGCAGCCATTATTGTCTCAGAATCGTCAATATCTACAAATGGAAGGAAAATTAAATTTTCGAAATAATTTAAAATGGAGAAAAATTGATCCAATTTATATATCTAGACATTGATTATGATAAGAAATATTTATCTTTAATTTTATGGGAAAACTTGAATATATTTGAGTTATTTTTTGATCAAATGTATTCATTGCTTGTGAATCAATCACATATTTATTTTAAACAAAACAAGACCAAATTTTATTAAAATCGAGTCACAGATAAAAAGATTTATAGAAATTCTTTTGCTTACTGGATATTATTCCATTCCGTACTACAAGAAAGTATGTATTGGTCGAATGACAATATTATACCATTCGTTAGGAATTCAATGACACAACATACATTTCGCGATATCAAAAGGAATCTACAGTAATCTAGTAACTCCATTCTTGATGAAGAGGGGAATCTTTATAAAGTCCCAACATATACATTTAAATTTACTAAATAAAAAGTTTCAACAAGTCAGTCTCGGTATTATTATATGTCATTGCTATTATATTGTATTTATAATTATATTATCAAAATAAAACTATTGTATATTTTACATAATCTATGCATAGATGAACAAATGATACCTTATCGAGTAAGACATTCCTGTAAAATATTTATCAAAGATAAACACATTCGATTTGGATATAAATCATGGACCCTTGTTTACTCCAAATATATATATTTGCATTTACCAAAGTAAAATAAAAGCCTTTCAAATCTTGAATTAGGAGGCATGGTTGTTATAAATTTACTCAGTTGTCCAAGTATCTTTTTTGCATTCTATTTATTTCGAAATTTTTTTACATCTCTATGGCTTTTTTTTGAAGCATCTTGGATTAGTTGCAACAAGAACTATATGAGAAAATAGACTTGAAAATTTTCCCCTAGAAACAATTAAAGTTATGGCTAAAAAGTGGAGGGGTTATTACAACTACCGATTTGAAAAGGTATTTGCAAGGATGATAGTGGTGATAGTTGCATCAACATGTATAGCTCTTAGTCCTCTATGCATGGTATCAAGATTCTCTGGAAATATTTTCTCAAAAATAAAAATTACAATAAATTCATATAATTCTAATATGGTGGCACATTGATCTGTGCGAACCTAATGTCAACATATAGAATAAATATACGAGGTAAAAATGGTGACCTATTTTTGACAATTTTATTGATGCAGCAGTAGTAAATTTATGGAATCAAGTGAATCCTGATGATAAAAAATTATTACTAACATTACGGAGGGAAATAACAACAAAACTTTTGAAAATTCCTCTGGTAAATAAAAAAGATGAGTACAAGTAGAAGCCATCCTCGTCAATTTTTCTCACTAAGTGAAACCTGGGTCATTATGTTAGAACTATATTATTGTTAACTTTTACGCTGGCTGCTTAAGAATACTTTACGTGATGCCCTAGAGAATATTTATCCTCATTCCGAAATTAATTTTAAACTACAAATAGAGACAAATTTTTATTTTTTAATTTCATGAGTCGAACAAGGAAAGAGTGGAGGAAAGCCGAGGATGTGAATCTGTGCTATGGATGCGGGAAGGCTGGACATATTAGAAGATGGTGTCCGAGGGAGGGTTACGGCGCGTGTGGAGGATAAAAAAGGGAGTCGCGAAGACGTCGCAAAATGTTAGATGATGTTCCCGAGTTATGGGTAGGAGAGGAGGAGTATAAACAACTATTGGAGTCTCCAAAGATGGGGAAAAGGGGGGGGGGGATGTAATAGTTGAGTCGTAATTTTTATGAAATATTCGCGTTAACTGGATATTTTTAGATTTTGTAAAATATTTTTTAAATCATTGTATTTTACAATTTTTAGTATAATTTTTTAATTATAATTATGATGCGGGTATTTATAATTTGTTAAAATGTATTTTTAACCTATAATTTAAATTTTCTACATGAATAGGTGGTTTGTAATTTTAAAAGAAGATATTTTTAGCTTGTTAATTTTTAATTATTTTTTTAAAATTATTATTCGCTTTCCCATAAAAGGGAAGTAAAATTGTAATTTTATTCATTGATATTTTTTGTGTTTATAAAATTGTAAAAATTATAAAATAAAAATTTATCTCCATTTATAGTTTAAATTAATTTCGGTTTGAGGATAAATATTCTCGAGGGCATCATGTTAAGTATTCTTAAACGGCCAGCTTAAAAGTTAAAAGTCCAAGAATATTTTCACAATTTGTAAAGTCAAACAATAGGAAACAATTAATATAACTCACATGGAAACGACACAACAGTACATAATAATGTTCCCCACTTCTTGACTTCTACCTCTAATAATTGACGGTTACTTGTTTTTAATTCTTTGCTACTACTTCCAATAATTGACGGTCACTTGTTTCAATTGTTCGCTACTACTTCCAATAATTGACGGTTACTTGTTTTCCACTAAAAAGTCCAATAACCACAGTGCTCCACTAAATTTCCACAAAATAAAAATATCATATATAAGAAAAATTTTGTTTTTTTTACCTTCCTCTCAGAGTTGTTAAAGTAACGAGCTACTTAGCGTGCTAACTATTTTGGTAGCTTAGCGCGCTACTTTTTTTGATTTAAAAAAATATAATGAAGGTAAGTATAAACATGAAAATTTAAAAATAATATCATAATTTTTATGATTTATTATTTAATTTTGATAGAAATATATTTTCAATTTGTGATTTATATTATCAATTTGTAATTTATATTTACATTTGTATTATAAACCTAAATCACGGGTTAATAATTTAAAATGTCATCGCCTATGGATATCCAAATCGAAAGTGATTCAGAAAATGATATTAATGAAATGGAAAATACCTAGGAAGAAAATGTTCTTAATAGCTATAATACAAATTTCCCATTCCCTAGATTTGAAATTTTTTTTAAAATAAATATAAAAACCAAAACTGGCTTCAAATTTATTTGTTTAAAATGTAAAAAAAATATTTCCTCAAATCAATCCAGTTATAACTTCAAGAAACACCAAAAGGTAAATTGTCATTTTTACATTCTAATAGTATTTATTTATAAGACTGTTCATACCAATAGCTTTAAAGAAATGGAGAAACATTTAAATTTTGGTATAGGCGACTCTACATCCAAAAAGACTAATATTTAATTAATAATTCAAATGCCAATTTGTCTCAAATTGGCTGATAGTTTTGTTGATTTTATAATTGATATAGTTCAGCCAATCCTTTATTGATAATCCATCATTCACCATGATGATTAAAACTCTATCTCCTGGTACAACAATTTTATGTCACTAGACACTAATGAATAAAATAGCAGATAACTTTAAAGTGATGAAAGATGCTCTAATAATAAAGTTATGAGAGACATCATATATATGTACCAAGGCAGATAGTTGGACACATAACACTAGGTAAAAACTTATAAAATACAAAAATTTACCATAAATATTTATTTTTATTATATAAATTTTTTTATAATCAAAACTAACTATATTTAATATTTATAAATGATTTATATATTTACACAATAACATATATGCAAAAAAATAAAACAAATTTGTTTCTAAATTTTTTTTATAAAAAGTAGCTAAAGCAACTTTTAAAAAATAATAGCTAATAGCTAGCTACTTTTTTTGACAAATAGACAATAGCGTAGCGCGCTAATTTTTTTGACAAATAGCGATAGCTTAGCGTGCTAATTTTTTGACAAATAGCGATAGCGCGCTACTTTTAAAAGTAGCGATTAACAACTCTGCTTCCTCTATTTTCGTTTTTACAATGGCACACTTTTTATGCTGGCCACTTAAGAATACTTTACGTGATGCCCTCGAGAATATTTATCCTCAAACCTAATTTTAAGCTACAAATGGAGACGAATTTTTATTTTCTAATTTTTTACAATTTTATAAACACAAAAAATATGAACAAAATTGCAATTTTGCTTCCCTTTTATAGGAGAGCGAATAATAATTTTTTTAAAAAATTAAAAAGCTAAAAATATCTTCTTTCAAAATTACAAACTACCTATTCATGCCGAAAATTTAAATTATACGCTAAAAATACATTTTAACAAATTATAAATTCCCGCATCATAATTATTATTAAAAATTTATACTAAAGATAACTAAAACGGGATTATCTCAAAACAATTATGACTCAACTATGAGTTAACAAAAGGCGAAATTGTATGATTTGTCTTAGTTAGACAAGATATATATGTAAAATGTGTCAAATACCAAAACATATTGATTGTTTTAAAAAATTTCATAAAATATAAAAATTACAAAATAACTTATAAATGTAAAAATATTCAAGTAAATTTTGAAATTATAGTATTTTGATTTTTTGCAATAATATAATTTTATCTTATTTTTATACAGGACGATTTTTTTGTGCTGATTTTTTTGTGCTGATTTTTTATGATTTCCAGGCTAATATAAATAAATATTATATTACAACAGGCCTTATTAAACTAAATAAATGTAAATCATATAATATTCTAAAATTGATTCACATTATATTACATTAAAACTACCAATTTAATATACAATTATAATAACAATTGTTATTAAAATAAATCATCATGATCATAATTTATTATTAATTTAAATGCTGGACAAAAAAAATTAAAATGATTTATTATTAATTTAACTGCTTGATAAAAAATTTAAATGACTTATATTTAAATAGTTGACAAAAAAAAATTAAAAGCATTTTTTGAATGTAAAATAATGTGTAATTACAATGTTTTCATAAGCAACTCTTCATCTAAATACCATACAAATTGAGTGTAGGTATATAATTATATTGTGTCTATCATCATTAATAAGCAACTCTTCATTTTTGGTAACATACCATGTGTTGTCTTCAGTACCATACCATGCAAGTGCAGGAATTATACGAAGCTCATTCCATACCAGCTTGCAATAAGCTGGTGACCCTATCCTCCACTATGTAGGGATTTGGGTATAATAGTAGACAGGATTATGGATATATTAAAATATTATTTCAACAAGAAAATAAATTAACTTACAATTATCGATAATTTAAATATTTGATTTAGCCATAAAACAATATACAAACCGAATATAATATTATAAATAAAGAAGAATATATATATATAATATTACTAGTTTTTATTAAATATCAACATAAACTAATATTTTTAAAAACACTAAAAATAGTTCCTAATCAAATATTTAATATTGGCACATCCCTAATTATTACATTTGTCATTAAAAGGAACCTATTTTTAGAACAATATTATAATAATCAACATTTTAAAAAGCAGTTAGCAGTCCACTTTACTTGAAAAATTTTCATAATTATTTGTAATTTTAATTAAAAATATAAATTATTTTAAAGAAATAGTATTTGGTAATCAAATTCTTTTAAATAGTAATTACCCAAAATTCAAGAGTTAATAGTCATATACTTATTAGAAGGTATCCTGATCCAAACTAGCCTATGGAAATCACTACCAAGCTCCTTAACCTTGTTACATTTGAATATTTATTATTGTAAGATATATTTAAAGGTAACCTTATATTTGTATATTATATTATTCCGACATGTAATATTATATTATCGAGGTTAATCAAATTGCATATTATTAGAAGTTAAATTGGATAATTATATAAATGTATATATACCAAAAGAATTACAAATAAAGTATTATAGTTTTTTAAAAAAAACTTATTCGATATAATATTTGGCGACGAGGAAAAAGGTCGCGCGGTTTTCGGTCAAGTTAAATATTTTATAGAATTAAAAAAAAATTTTTGTTAAAAAAATAAATTGATTTAGCAATTATGGATAAAAGATGAATGAGATAAATGGGCTACTGACGACTATAGACACATAAAATATCCTCAAAATTTTCTATTGATAGAGGAGAAATTGATTTCATTAGATTAAGTCACGGCCCTACTGAATCCATAGTAAAGAATTAAGAATTTGAGATCAATTAATCACCGGAGAACTATGTTTACGATACCCAGATACTAAAGACAAAGACCAACCATGAAACTTAACAAAATTATAGAATAGGCACAATGCAGCCTATTTAGATTTCCATGGATTATAGAATTTATGATAATGATAAAGGGCACTATCAAAATGATTGATGCAGCCTATTGATTTCCATGGATTATAGAATTTATGACAATGATAAAGGTTACTATCAAAATGATTGATGCAGCCTATTTAGATTTCCATGGATTATAGAATTTGACTTATCATTACCAACATATGTAGAAATTAACATAATCAACAATATAATGATAATGGTAACGTGAATATTGATAAACTATATAGAGTAGCCACTCCAATGGTAATGGTACGTAAAACTTCAGGTTAACTACGATTGAGAATAATTCTACCAACGAATCGCAAAAATCGCTATAGATCTACAGATAAATGATGATAAAATAACAAGCGAAAATAAAACAGTGATGGTGGGACAATTGGTCGAAAAACTAGAATCGCCATCACAATCCTGGAAAAGGGAAGAAGAAGAAAAATAAACGTACAAAACCGTATTAGAACATCCCGACTACGTGAAATCAAATCAATAATAACAAGGAGGCAAACGGGTTATCCAACAAGGGAACTAAAGCCAACAAAAAAATATAGATGAACTTGAACTGGGTAAATAAAAAGATTGGTAGACAATCTTAACTTGGTGGGAAAGAAGATATGTTACATTTGAATATTTATTAAAGAATTACAAATAAAGTATTAGTTTTTTTTAAAAACTTAATTGATATAATAACCTGGCCTATAATTATTTTATCTACTGACAACTTCTCCAGCTTATATAAAAATGGTGGCTCACAGTGTTTTGGATCAAGTGTTGCCAACTTTTAATACTTATATTAGTTGGTATTTAAACAATGTAAATATTTATCACCCAATAAATGAGTCATAAAAATAAAATATATATTTTAAAGATCTTTATTAATCAACATATTAATTTACATATCTACATCATATTATATAAAAATATTTTACCAAATTGGCTTTATTTTAAAATGTAAACTAATCAATGAAAACACAAAACATTTAAGATCTTGAACAAGATAATAAAGTGCCTTAAGACCATTTGGATCTCTATACAAAAATAATAATAAACAATTTTAATTAATATTAAATGTAAAAATAATTACTTGCTCGAATCAGTATCAGCTAATGTTCCAATTTTTGATGTTGAAAACGATATGTATTCATCACCCATAACTATTTCTAATTCCTAATTATGTAAATATATATATATATACTATGATTTAAAAAATTAACTTGTCTTCCAACTCTATCAGGTGATGGCCATAATTTATCATCTTCTTTCATAATATCAGCTACTTCTACTATCCTTTTTAATTCTTCTAATACAGCTTTACTTACGTAGGCCTAAATACATATAATATAAACAAATATTGATAATTAGTTGATAACCTCTTTTCTAATAATAGTATCATTTTTATAATTAGAATTATTGGCATATCTCAGTTTTCCTAATATATATTAAATATTAGATATCTTTAATAATTTACCATTAGGACTGAATTCAAATTCCAGAAATTCATGGCCAAATTTTCCTTTATGTCCAACATAGTAACGCAAATATATGGGAGAACTAGAAGATGTCATCTTTTTTTTTAAATTTAATGGATAAGTGATGTTGATAAAATGATTTCTAAATAGGCATGCATGCTTTCAGCAATATAATATTATAGTAAAATTTATTTGCAATATTATTTACTACCAGACCATTTGAAAGTTATATTACATTATTTTAATCGAAATTGTATTTTAAAAACTATATAAATTTTCACTTTATACAAAATGTAATTTTAATACAGTATAGAATTTTTACACGAATTTAGTATGTAAATGTATCTGGTTCGAATCCATTGGCCTTAAGATATCAAAACGAACCTATTGAAAAGATTATGATAGGGTTAAAAGTGTTGTTGAAATATTTCTAAGAAAAAACACTATTTTTGTAACGACAGTAAAACTAGTAACCCGTCAAGTTACATTAATATAATGAATATTTTCTAGTTGAAATAGTCCATGGTTCAGATTCCCTAAATTTTGAAGCATTCACTAAAGATAATATTTTAGTTTGAGAAATGGAACGGAAATGTATAACAGTAAATAATACAAATATTAATATAATAAATTTTTTAAATTGTTCTAAATTTAATGAAATGCAAAATGAATACCAGATTGGGCAACTACCTTTATTAAAAAGATTACTAAATTTATTTAATTTAATATAAAAATAATTATATATTTACTAATATTATAAATTGAATGAAATTATAAGAGAAAGAAAATTGTGAAAATTCACAATTTATCAGAGAAGGATCGAGATTAAAGACTCAGATGTTAAATTCGATTATAATTTTATGCAAATTGTCCAGATCGCCTGTTTTTAAAAATGAGGATCAATAACGAGAGTCTTTTTATAATGTTAAAAATTCTTGCTATATATTTCCTTCTTTGTGTAGTAGCATCTTGCAATAATTCACCCAAAATTTAAGTTTAATTGGCCTTATATCAATCTGCCACTAAATCTATTGGGAGGTTAATAACATATTGAAGACCCACAGGGTCAACCACATGAAATTAATATATTCTCTGGGAAAAATTCTTCGCAAAATGCGTTTTCCCCTAACAATTTTTTTTTATTCAGATGATGATTCAATTGATATTATATTTATATAAATTTAAAAAATATTTTTTTGGAAATATAAAAATTTTGGCATCAATAGCATCTGTGAAGCACTTATTTAATAAAGCTAAATATGTTCTTAATGAAAGACGTGGATGTTTGAATGATGACAATTTCGAAAAATTTATTACTGAAAAGGCTGATTTTGTAAATAAATAATTGTTACATTATTTTATTACAGTATAAATTTACATAATATTTAATTTATTTTTGTATTATTTAATTTTGCATCGAGCATGAATTTTCAGAAATTCATGAAATATGAAAAGGATCATGATCGTGATCCGTTTTATTTTCAAAAAAGTCAATCATCAATTTCGATCCTTTTTTTATAAGATCTTGATCGGGATTCGATCCTTTTAAAGGATCGATTAACAAGCCTGTCTATTATGATTTATGCTAAATTTTCTTTAGGATTTTAGCAAGCTATTAAGATTATAGAAAAAGATATTTTTTAGATAGTACAGTGTTAAACGAATTGGTATTTTACATTATTTTGATTCGATCGTCATTACCACATATGGAAATAATATATACAAAATAAAGCTGTTTGCTTTTAAGTGGCTTGTTGGCTATGAGATTATGCATTCCGGTTATGACATGGAGGGTCACTGTCCCATATTTGGACAACTCTTCCACCAACCCCTAAGGACGGCCACATATAGCGTAGTGCTAATATATAATTTATAAAAGGATTTGACAAAATCTCATGGTGGTGATCCTAATTTTATCATATATGAAAAATTAGTTTAGAACTAATTATTGTTTATATAAGTTTTTTAAGTGCTATTTAAAATATGTAAGATTTAATTTAAAGTTATAATACAAGTTTTAAACATAATAAAAATTAAAAATAAAGTATTTAATATTAAAATCACAAAAAATTAATATATAACATTTTTTTAATTTTAGAATTATTAGATAATTATTTTAGGGTGAAAATAATATCGTCATCAATCCTCTTTATTGAATATTATTATATATGTTTACATTGGATAACTGATATAAAAAGATATTCATTATGAGACGCATGTCCAGGTGCGATATTTATGATAATTGTCTCCTCTAAACCTTTCGCTGAGTTGTGTATTAAGGGAAAATTTTTTTGAGAGTAGGTCGTGAAACCTTTTGAAGGAAATTTTCCGATTTTTCTGTCCTGGTGGATTAATATAAAACTTTCTAATATCTTAATACTTTTGATAGCTAACTTTTCTTGATTCTTTAACTAAATTTAAAAGGTTCGGCCTAAATCCTCTATCTTAAGCAATGTTAAATCATTCCGTTATAGTTAGTTCCTGCCTAAATTGTTTTCTCTATCTATCTCATCATAATGAATCGTTCTACTTAACTTCACTAACTATGTTACCTTAAAAAAATATTTTTTAACTAGCCAGATTATATTAGTTAGTTTTTTTTCGCATTTTATTGAGCATCAATAGCTGCCATAATATTTCTTGGCAAAATCTTTCCATTATAATCCTGCGAGTGCAACAATTAGATTATCATATTTAATTATAAAAACATGAATTAATTTATTTAATTGTTAACAAAATGTCTTATTTTTCTTCTTTTTTTTCTTGTATAATGAGATATTTATAAAACTTTCTCATGTTAAAGTTTTTTGTTTTTTTTCCTTTTAAGTTTAAATTATTATCTCCTCTTTTCGTGATTTGATTATTAATACTATATAATTCCAAATATCCGGTAAATTTATACAAAATTTGGGGGAAAAAAATCTTACGTAAGTTCTTATGAATATGATTTTTATTTTTGTAAAATTATTTATAATTTATAATTATACTAAGACTTTCTTTATAGAATATTAGTTAGCTTTTATGTGATGGCATACTCTTAGAAGATCTAAGAATACCCCTAGCGTAGGGAGATATACCCTATAGAATTGTTTTCTTTATACTCGTAAGAAAAGTTAGTATCTATGCTTTTATTTAAAATTTGATGAAAAATTCATATAGCATAAAATTTTACCATTTTAATTCTTTCATCGATAAATAACGGTCTCTCTGATGGGCCAATTAAAGTGTGTAGACTTAGGTTAGCCGCCACCTTGGTTATTATTGGTTTGAATTTTAAATTATAGTCAGACCTGTTCGTAGGTGAGAAGATTGACGGGGGCGGTGTTTTGCTTTAGAACTTTCGGTGATCAGTGGTGCTTTAATTTTCACGCTACCGTTTATATCGGCAATGGTGCGGTGGCACGCAGAAATTTCTTAACTGAAAAATTTTTTCGATTTTCTTTTACTTGCATACACTCTAATAATTTTATTTGAGACAAATTTTGTCAAATAAAAATTTTTTAAAAATTTACCAATTTTATTTAAATTATAATTATCCAGGCGCGTACGCAGGAATTTGGTCAGGGAGAGGATAATAAATTTTTTTGAGAAATATTATTGTTTTTTAAAAATATCAAGCATAAATTTATTAGGATTAATAACTAATCCTAATACACAATTTTAAATTAATGTGAATTATAAAAAAATTATATGTAAAGAATCATTTAAATAACCCAAAATAGAAATTTGAATTTTTTGAACCTTTATACAAAAAGTTTCTTAGGAATAATTGTATTTTGTACGTTATATATTTACAATGTAAAATCCAATCTTCGTTGGAATTGAGCTAATTTTTCAATTGTCTCATCCTTGCTTGCCGTCAAATGCCTATTATTCAAAAAATCCAAACCTTTCAATCTACTTTTACATGTTGTACTTCTTGGTATGTTTTTCAGAGACCTGCAAGCCCGGCCCCTGGGCCGGACAGTATATTAATTTTTTAAATATACCCGGGCCGGGCCCAAAATTTTTAAAAAAAAAGACGGGTCGAGCCTGTAAATTTAAAAAAAAAAAATTTTTTTAAAAAAAGCCGAGCCAGGCCTGAAAATTTTTAAAACAAAACCCAGTCCAGGCCGTAAAAAATCTTTAAAAAAAATCCGGGCCGTGCCCTGAAAATGGTACTTCTGCAGGCCTCTGTTATTCATCTTAAAAAAGAGAATGTTCTCTCATTAGTTTACTAATGGGAAGAGTTTATAAACCCTTTTAATACATTGGGAATTTAATCTAAAATGTGTTTGAAATAATGCAGAGCATCCATAGCATTTTTTGGGACTATATCAACTATAGTTAATCAAACATAGTTATTCAGCTAGTAAGGCATCATAAGATACTTTAACATCTTCATAATAAAAATCTAACAAATATTTTTTTTTCTAACACCATCTGAAAAAGGTTGGGAAGGCTTTGTGGAAGTAATATTTGCAGATGTAAGTGCTGCATGATATATTAAAAATTCATTTATTTGGGTTATAAATGTAGCTGCATCTAAGATATACTCTTCTACTGATCACTATATTAATGTTTTAACGATGAGCTTGCCTTGATACAAGTCGAGGGAGACAAATATTAAACACGTATAGCTCTGCTTTTGACTCAACAATAAAATATAAAATATGAAATTCTTCATCAATATTAGCCCTAATTTCCTTGAGTTCTGATAAAATGCTCTCCGCTATTCTCATCTTCTTAATCAAATCAATGTCATATTTTTGAAAAGTAATATAAAATAGTTGTATAATTAAATAATACATTCTAATGAGAAATATTGGAATAAGCATTGAATCCAATAACTTTCTTGCTTCTGAGGAAATATTCCTTTCAGGCCATTGTGATATTTCAGTAATAGCAAATAATTGGCTCTTCTAACTCCTTAATAGCTGTTAGTGCTTGATGGAAGAGGCTCTATCTCGTTGTACAAGGTTGCAATTTCTTTGTCCCTGTTGGACCAGAGGTTTCAGATTTAATTATTATTTGACTAGAAATTTGAAAATGGTAGATAAATATTACGCCACTAAAAATTTGAAAATAATAAGTAAATATTACGCCGGAAAACTTGAATGTAATAATATATGTAGTAAAATTCAATATGTGATACGAGTAAATATTAACAAATATAAATTAATATAAACAATAATATTTTTGAAAAATATATCCGGCATCTGCATTTTTTGGCTTTGGGGGGGGGGGGATTTGTCCCCCCGCCTCCCCCCCCCCCCCACTGCGTACGCCAATGTAATTATCATGTAAAAAATTAGAAGCGCGGAATGAGAATATTCTAGAAATTTAGGTAATCGCAGCTACAGAAAAAGTAAACTTACTTGAAATGTTTGTGGCCAGGACACATAGTATTTTCTGGCTAGAATTGAAAGTTTAGGAAATTGTTCTGATTTTTACTTATTGCAAAAGTCTATAATAGTTTCTACGGGTGTAGATAGAGGATAAAATGATAATACGGGTGTAGATAGAGGATAAAATGATAAAACTCTCTTTTTCTGAAAATTTCTAGAATATCGTTTGAATGTTATACGAATGCTGTAAAGAATTTGCTTCGGAATAAACTTGGCTCTCACTTCTACTATTTGTTTCATATATTTATAGGACAATAACGATCGCATAATGACATAAAAAAAATGAAACGGGAATGCATTTTTATTAAAATGCGGCTAATACCTAATAAAAAATAATGAATAAATACCTAAAGGAAAGGTTTTGGAAATCTATGATCTTTATCTAGTTTTGTTTGAAAAGATATATTTTCAACAATATCATTATCATAAATTTTTTAGGTATATATTCATTTTGAGATGCCACAATCCACTGAATCTTTGGAAATATTTTCGAAATTTAAAAGAGATTTTCCACTAAATTTCAATCAGAATTAAATTAAAATAATTTAAGGTAAAGTTGTTTTTTGTTTTGTTTATTTAATAATAATAATAATAATAATTAGAACGTTGTTGGCTCCAATCACACTTTATTGGTGTTAAAGTTTTGCTATTTTTTGTTTTATATGTATAGGAATCAGGTATCGTTGTTAAAAGGCTCGTTTTGATCCAATTTTTAAAAACTGCTAACTCAATATTTTAGCCAGAAAAATATTGCCTAAGCCTCGAGATTTCGAAAATATATGCCTTGACCTTTGTTCCTTCTGTAAACAATCTTCAGGCTTGTGTAATATTTTTCTGGCTGAAATATTGAATTAGCCCTTTTTTAAAATCGGCTCAAAACAAGCCGTTTAACAACACTAGGAATCACATAGGCCTATCCAAGATTTGGGGAGAGTGGGGGGTACTATTAGATAAAAAATATTTCCATAAATATTATTGGAGATCTTTAGGTCTATATTAGATTTTTTAATAAATAATTTTGGGTTTTCACTATTTTTTTAAAAAAAATTTGAATCATAGTTGTTAGTTTAAAAAAAGTCATCAACTTTTACTAATGTTGTAAATGAATGCCTTCAAAATTAAACGCGTTCATGAACGTATTCCATTTCTAGAAAAAAAGAAAAACGATAATTGGCGTACTTTTTATTTTTGACGGACTTTGGACGTCCTTTTTTTTTGACGAACGCGTTCGTTCAATTTTAGAAAATCTTCTTATTTTTATTCATTTGATACTAAAAAAAAAAAATTTAGTTTTATATATTAAAAATTTATAAGAAAAATTTATTGACTTTTAACTTTTAATTTTAAACGTGGCTAATATGTTGCGTTAATAAATATCAGAGTTGTTAAAGGATCTAGATACAAGTATCTAGTATCTAGATCCTTCCTGTATCTAGATATAAAAATGTGGTATCTGTATCTGTATCTAGATAGATTTTTGATTAAAATATCTGTATCTAGATATTATTTTAGACAGTGTATCTGTATCTAGATCCATTTAAAAAGTATCTTTTAACAACTCTGATAAATATATGGGATTTATTTATATTAAAATTAAATTGTTAAAATATTAGTAAAATTTTTGAACACCTTTGATTTTTGTCAATGAATATTGAAAGCGAACGCGTTTAATTTTTTTTTGGAAATATTAACAGCACTAACTATTTTTACCAATTTTTATTTCAAATTCTTCCTTACGATAGTATACTGTATACATTTTTTGAGGAAAGGGAAGTGAGGGCAGGGGGGGGGGGATTTTTATTAGCTTAAAATGATATTTATGAGAATAGGACAAATTTGCGATGGGGGGGGCATTGGATTGCGCCTGAGTATAATTATCACATTGGTCAAATACGTAATGTTCTCGACCAGTTCTAATATATCTGAAGGGGTGTCTATTGTTACTGCGCAATTTTATATTTTCAGAATCAATTACTTCCTCCAATTCTGAAGCCTTAAATTTTAACTCAAAAAGAATTTCTCTACTTTAGAAATATTTTATACAATTATCTCTTAAAATTTTAACAATAAAAAAATTATAAAATTTAATGGTAATATGGTTGGTATCTATAAAGTTATAAACTACAATGATGAACTTGTAAAATAAATTAATAAAGCTATTAATTGCGCGAATTAAATCTTAATGTAATTAATCATTTATAATTATAATTATAAATATTAATTATAATTATAAATATTAATTATAATTATAAATATTAATTTAATTTATAATTGTATCATTTATATACGTAGGATTATAAATATAATCATAGCACAAATAAAACTTTCCCAACCCGCGCTGCAGCTGAAAATTGCCGTCCCAGATGTTTCAAAAAAATGTCTGACGGCAAGGTGCGGCGGCAGACAGATCTAACTTAAGATCTATAACGGAGGTGTTTAAAAATACAAACATTGGGTGGATAAACAATTGGGTTAATTGGCGGACGAGTGAATATGGAAAATTCTCGAGCATAACTGGCTTATAAATTTATTTCATAATATTTCATTTTTTTTTTTAGTTTAAGTACAAAAAATATATCTAAATAATATAAATAAAAAGCCGAACCAAATTAATCAAATAATTTTTAACGTTTAAGTTGGAGCCTGGGTTAGACAGAATTGGTAAACTGGCGGATGAACTATTTTTTTTAAAAAACCCATGGGTGAGCGGGCCTTGGGGTTAAAAAGTTGCCCAAATTCTAGGTCCAACTATATTATAAAAACGAATGGCAAAGCAGTTTGCTTTAAATATTTCCTCCTGTCACCCATTTTACATTTTTTTCCAAAAAGAAACAAACAATAAACGCAATTTATCATTAACACCTTCCGACTCCCTAACGTATGTTTAGTCGAGTTTTTGACCGAAATGGCCCCAGCGCCTATTTTTGGGAACCAGGATCTAAGAAGTCAGCTGATTTATGAGTCCTTTTTCCGGAGCTGAGCCTAATTCTCCAGTGGAACCCTATAATATGAAGAGAGAAAAAAAAATTTCTTAGGCATTGTATCGAATATTTAATTTTATCCGCATCTGCTTTAATCTCTAAACAATTGTATAATTTAAAAAAATAATATATAATCCAGATTTTTTTTAATATTGATTTTGAATCGATAATTTTATCACGATTCAAAGAATTATGTTTAAAAAAAAAATTATATAAATATGCTTTATAAACTTTTTCATTTTGTTGAAATTTTAATAACCTTTCTATTAGAGAAGCCAGAACGGCTCGGATAGAACCGGTTCTTTTCTTATTTTTATATAGGTTTTCCTGACTGTAAAAAAAGTTGAAACTGGTCAGTTAACTGGGTATCCGGGCCCGGGGCAGGCTGATCTATTTAAAACGAATTATTCTATTTGTATTTTACGAATAAGAATAATCGAAAACGAATAAGGATCTCAAGTATTTAATATGATTCTCGTGGATTTTCTTCTTATTTTTTTTTAAACATTTTTTTCACATCTATAAATCACTTAATCTTTGCTTTTTGAAAATATTTTTAAAGAATTTAATTTACTCTCCTCCATAAGCAGTGTTGTTAAATGGCGGCCCGATTAAGATTATAGCTAAATAATATGTATGATTTTGCTCATAGATGGCTGAAAGACTTAAGCCACATCTTGAGGTAGACCCAAAATAACAACACTAGTGTTGTTAAATGGCGCTAACTCAATATTTTAGCCAGAAAAATATTGTCTAAGCCTCGAGATTTCGTTAATTTATGTCTAGACCTTTGTTCCTTCTATGAGCAAAATCTTCAGGCTTGCGTAATATTTTTCTGGGTGATATATTGAGTTAGCTGTTTTTAAAAAATCGGCTCAAAACGAGCCGTTTAACAACACTAAAACGCTATCATAGAAAATTATTTTTCGTGTGAGAATAATTTACAATAACATGATTCGTATTTTTTGTAGGTATTTGATTGAATCTTTAATTTTATTCCAAAAATTTCTAAATATGCAATTTAAATTTGTAATATTTATTTTGTTTATTTTGTCTCGTCAGCATAATTTAGAAATTATTATTTTTATTTTATATACCAATATTTAATAAAAAACATTAAAAAATATATAATTGATATTACATTTTAAAAATTATAATTGATAATAATAAAAAAAATAATAAAAGGTCACTTTAAAAAAATATGTTTTTTTTAAAAAATTATAAATTGGATAATTAATTTCAATTAATTATAACAAAACAAATGATTGATTTTGAAGAAGAAAAGAAAGATGATATTGATGATAATGAAATTGATCGATAAATAAAAACTACATTTAAAATATTAATTAAATAAAAAAAAAATAATAAAATAAATAAAAAAAAACAAACTAAATTAATAAAAAAAAAAAAAATTTTTAAATAAAAAGAAAATAATAATAATGAAAGGAAAAAGTATAAATAACGCGCTAGCATCTACTTGCAAACTTGTAATTTTACGTCGACTTTATTCCAATTATTTCCAGGTTTTTATTTTTAACCTTCCGAAAATCAATGAAAATAAATTGATCTTTTCAAAAAAATAAATAAATATATTTTTTTAAACATATTCGCCAGAACTCAACCATTTCGATTATTAGGAATCTCCAAGATATCCCAACCATTTTCAAACCAATAAAGTCAATTCGTAAATATTCGTCCTTTAGAAGGTTAAAAAAAAAATAAATAATTTTTGTTTCGTGTGGCTGAATATTGATATTTAAATTTTATCTTCAAAATACAAAAAAATTTATAATTCAAATTTATACGGGGGCAAACTAGCGATGAAGCGGCCTCGTGAGCGGATGTTTTCTAGCGGCAGGCCCCCATTTGCGGGCCTTAGGACCGCTTTTACCCGGCCTTTGGCTGGGACTTCCTTAATAACTTGCATATTATACATGTTTTTATTATTTATTATATTTTTGAGCAAAAATGTATATAAAACGATGGATTAATCACCATATTACATTTATGACATTTTTATTAAAAAATGACTAATATGAAATGATAATATTTTATTTTAAGAATTGCACATAATATGTCATCATACTAATCGAACATATAAAAAACATATCACAATTACCCATATAATAATAAAGTATGTATATTACACAAATATAAAATATTAATTTCACATAATATGCATAAAATATTACTTATTGCAATATAAAATCTACATACAATACCTCATAATTCATATTGCACCTATAAAATCAGGATCAGGTAGATTGCAAATATAGTTTCCCAAAATAGAATTTTAATAATGAATTAAACGAATATTGTATAATTTTTATAAGCTAATAATTCTCGCATTATCTCTAAACTTTGCCATAAATAAACACGTATTCGAGTTCCTATTTGTCAACGATTTTTTTTTCTTTTTCAACGGGCGTCAGTAAAGAATGCTTCCAACTCGGCCTATCTAGATGTTCTTCTTGCACAACACGATTTACTAATAGGTTGGCAAAAAAAAATAGATTAGTGTGTGCAGTTTTATTTAAAAAAAAATTTGTTTTTTGTCCAATGAATGCTTTAAGATAAATTGATAATAATCTTTGATTTTTATTGAACAAGACACAATGAAATATTAACAAATCAGTTTTCGTTTTTCTTTAATTATACAGGTTTTTATTTTAAATTCTTTTTATCAATTTCTATTTTCATTTATTCCTATTTTTATAACTTCAATGGTCGGTGCAGATTTGCACCAGGCTAGATTTTCTATTTAGGATTGTTATTTTTTTGGCCGATTTTTTTAGAATATCATATTTGAGCATTAATCAATATAATTTGAAAAAATTGAGCATTTTCATCCACTAGAAAAATCTTAACCATTAATGGGTTAATTATGTAAAATTGTAACTATTACATATTTCACTACAAATAAAGAATAACAAAACCGTTAGCATTTTTTTTGAAAATGGAAACTTAGCCGTTATATTTCATAACGGTAACGGTTAACTTCTATTAAGTAACATGCCCAACTCTGGTTGTGTGCATATCACAGCATTAAAGATTCATCATAGATACATGGTAAGCATTGATTACTTGGTTGGAGTTACTATTAACTTGTAATACTATCACAAATTACATCATCAATATTTCCCTTTTAACCCCAATTATTAAATCTTTGTATATACGGGTAAATGAAGACAGTTCATATATCGTAAATTGTCACTGAACACATTTTCTAATTATGAAACTTTCTTCAAGGTCAAGCGGACCTCCTACAACGTATGTTTTTTATATTCTGATTCGTTTAGTATGAAAATTATTCAGCTTTTAAGGGTCCCCAACCTACCCCTGTTTCACCTACACGTGTTTAAATATATGAGTTACCAATGACATATTATAATAACTAGACTGATGCATTCATAATAATGCATTTAAAAGCTTCGTTGATAGCAAATCAGCTGAACCCGCAATATTGGTAACCCTTATGGTAATTATTCTCATGTTAAAAACTACTATTAAATTGATAACCTGCTCCCTTATTATCTCGATGATCAGGCAATTCTTTAATAAAGTTTGCGTCAGGCATAAGAATAAATTGGCCTCTCGTTTAAAATTTTTAATAATGATATGGGTTACCAAAATAGCGTTTCCAGCTGTTTTTCACGTACACTTTTAATGAATATCGTTAGTCTAGGTATTATTATAGTCATTGGGCCATATACTTATAATTTATATCAGAAAGAAATCAAATCTAGAATTTTTCTTTCTTCTCCCAGCTAAAATTTTTTTATTTTCGAGTTTTAAAGTTTTAAAGTTTTAATCGGGTATTCATTTTTTTAAAAAAAATCGGCCCCTGCCCGAATTTTCTATAATTTATGCCATTTTTTGGTCTGTTCCTGGCAGGCCAATAGTTTTCTGCTTTATATACCAGAGGAAGGTCATCAATGGTTTAGATGTTGGTGGGAATAGAAAGATAAGGAATGATCATAAAATAAATTGAACAGAATAAATAAAATGAATGTGAAAGGTGCTAATTGGTGTCGTTAAATGGCAACTCAATATTTCATCCAGAAAAATATTACGCAAGCCTGAAGATTTTGTTCATAGAAGGAACAAAGGTCTGGGATATATATACTATCGAAATCTCGAAGCTTCCGTTTTTAAAATGGGCTCAAAACTAGAAATTACATGTTTTGTTTGTGACACATTCGCTTTAAAACTTTCGGATACCATTTACCCTCAAAACGGGCCCCTTAAATATACGCCACTGCCTGGTGAACTCAATATTTTAGCCAGAAAAATATTGACTAAGCCTCGAGATTTCGATGATATATGTCCAGACCTTTGTTCCTTCTCTTAGCAAAATCTTCAGGCTTGCGTAATATATTTCTGGATGAAATATTGAGTTTCAAAACGAGCCGTTTAACAACACTACTGATGGTTTATTTTGCCAGGATTTTGTCCAACGTGAAAAAGGCTCGTAAAAGAAGAAGTCCTGTTTTAAATCGATTTTGAATCACATTTTTCATTTGTCTCATAAAGTCATAAATAAAACAGTTGTATAAAAATAAAATATTTACGAATAATATAGCTCCCAAAGGAATGATTGTAAAATGAAAGATAATTACAATTTTAAGTTTAAACGATTCCTTTTTTTTTTAAACATAGATATTGTTTTTAATTTTTTTGTAATTGTTTAGCCATTTCTTAAAATATAGGATTAAGAATTTAAATTTGCGATTTGGCGCGGGCTTTGGCTAGGATTGATGTAGACCCTGAACCTGAATGCCAATTTATGACATCATTTCTAATCACCGGAGCTGACAATTTATTTTTAAAATGACGTTATTTTAACCATCTGGTTATCTAATTAACTTTCGTTATAGAGCCGGAAATAGGAGGGGGAGGGGGGTTTAAAGTTATATTATATTAGATATATATAAGGGACAGATATTTTAAGTCTACAAGCTTTCCCACCGTTGTTTAAAAATATTATTAAGTCGCCAGACGGTATAATCGCCTACCCACATGTTACCTTAATTTGATTGGCCGTAATATTGGGAAGTCTGCTTGCTAACTCGACTTAACTCTTAAGGTTAATCCAATCCTCCAAGAAGCTACACCTCGAGATTTAGGCTAAAAAAAGTTGACTTGTATCTCGAAGTTAAGTTGGAAAGATGTGTTTTAAAAAAATCAAAATTTAATCCAGGAATATTAGTCACCTCTAAATTAAGCCATTTAGGAGTATGCTTGTATAGGTGATTGATTCCCTATCACTAAATTGGTTGGCTTATGTTACCTATGTATAATTTTTTCATATATATAATGTGGTGGGTGGGCTATAAACTCCCCCGGTCATGTAACCCCAAATGTACATTGAAAAACTAAGACCTGTCTCAAACTTAAGCCAAATGACCATCCGCCGCAGATAAATTTAATGTAAATTTTTTTTAACGCTAAACATATGTTTTGTGTGTGTATGTTGACACAAAGGCGAAAATCGGGTTTATTCGCCTTTTTGAGTCGGGAGTAGAAACTAATTTTTTTTAATATCATGTTTACTTTTCGTCCGAATATACCACTAAAGTAAAACTTGTCTAATTTGGACTCGAAATCCCTAATTGGATCAAAATTTTGAATCTCAATCAAATTCCCATTAACTGCTACATATCATAAAATTCCTTTTTTTTACAAAATTGGGTGAAAAAATCTTAGTAACCCAAGTGGTGCCTAAATTGAACAAGTTTTTACTGTATTTAAATGTATATATAATAAGCTAAAATTTATACTATAATTGGAAAACGTTCAACGAATTTCAATTTTTTTTAAAAAAAATAGATATATTTTTATTGGTGTTTTATTATTTGTAAAATTAAAATGATTTTAAATTGTTTAGATAATCCAAAATATCATATAAATTATAATTTTTTTTTAAAATCAATTAATTTGTATTCTTCATTCTTTCTTCCAGTGTTGTAAAACGGCTCGTTTTGAGCCGATTTTCAAAAACGGCTAACTCAATACTTCCATCCAGAAAAATATTACCCAAGCCTAGCCTGAAGATTTTGCTCATAGAAGGAACAAAGGTCTAGACATATATTATCCAAATCTTGAGGCTTGGTAGCCAATATTTTCCTGGCCATAATGTTGAGTTATCAAAATAATACGATGAAGGAAGAATCATATCATAATAATTATTTCTTTTAATTAATTTCTCTAACTTAAATAGTTGGCTTGAAACAATGTTTACCATAAAAATATCCAATTACAAACAGTTTAAAAAAATTTTTTTTTCTTCTTTCTTTTCTTCCCTCAATAATTTAAATTTATAAGATGCCATAAAAATTTATCTTTCTCTATCTAAAACCATAGAATTTGATATTCGATAAATATTGTAGGGTTTGGGTCACCTACTTTAAAATAAAAAATAAGTGAAGATAATTTTATTATTAGATTATTTTATTTTTTGTAAAGTTTAAGATAAGAAAATCAGCACTTCTCCCTCCCACTCCCCTCTTACTTTGAATCCGTTAAATATTTGTTAGAAGTTTTGATCTGTCGTGTTTGCTCTATTTAAAAAGATATATTAGTGACCACCTGCAGGCCCAGTTCTAAACCCGACCCGGTCCTTTTTTAAATATACCCGGACCGAGGTTAAAAAAGATTTTTTAAAAATACCCGGGTCCATCCGAGCCGTATATTTTAAAACCGAATATTTAAAAAAAATCCGGGCTGTACCGTGGGTCTCTTGATATATATTTCACACACATGGGGAAAACGAGCCTGACATTTGGTGCCATCCATTTATTTATTTTCCTAATTAATTAATATTTAAAATAAAGATATTTTCTTTTTGCCCCCATTCTTTAAATTATTGTGCAATTTATCGATCACACTTTTCAGGGTTCGGTCCAGCCTTTCAATTATTTTTTTTTGCCTTATCCAGCCTGTTTAATATTACGGGCTATCCGACTCTGTACGTAAAAATACCTTTTTTTTGAGAGAAAAATCGTAAATCGATCTAAGTTCAGGCCGTGTAGATAGAACCTTTTATTATGATTCCTTATTTAATGTACTAAATGATTATCTCTATCTAATATCAATACAAATTGCACACTTTTTTTGTGGAAATCCTCAATTAAATTAGAGGTTTTAATAGGATTTAATTTTTTGTAATCAATTGTGATTCGCTAAAAAAAAAATTTTAAATAGCCTTATCCTGAAACATATTTTAAAAAGATCTCAAAATTTACAAATTTAACCCAAATTAATTAAAAATTATGAAACATGACCAAAAAATCTTACATTAAAATTTTGTAAAATTAAAATATTCAAAAATGCACGATATGAATTCATTTTATTTAGTCATTGTATTTAAAATAATATTCGAGATATTTACATCAAGCTTAATTTGAAAAATATAAATGATTAATTTAGCAAAAATCTTCAAATGTTTCGCTCAAAATTTTGAGCAAAATATCTTCACATTTTTTGATCTTCAAAAAGAGCAAAAAGGATCTTTCAAAGATTTTTGAATTTTATTTATTTTTTCATAAAAATTTCACTTATTATATTTAAAAAAAATCAGAGACCCGCAAAAAGTTCCATTTGCATGGCCCGGTATGGATATTATTATTTTTTGATTTTTTTTTTTAAAATTTTTTATAGCTAATAATAAGCTATTTAAATATCCGGTTTTAAAATATACGGCCCGAGCCGGCCCTAACAAATGGTACCTCTGCATGTCTCCGATATTTAGGACACACACAGCCTAAAGAAAGGAATAGAGCATTATAATAAAATGTAATTTAATTACAAAATAAAAATATATTATCGAATTTCTTTTCTTTTCTTTATATTTTCTTTCTTTACCTAGGGCGGAGTTCAAAAAATAATTATTTTTTTTTGCGTTATTTAAAAAATAAATAAATTTTAAAAGATAAAATTAACAATAATTACCCAAGAGTGTTCAAAATTTATCAGATAAATCACGCGCCAAAAATCTCTCCCCTCTTTCCCATCTCATTCCCAATTCCATGATGTATATGACATAAGTTTCCAAAATGTATTGATTTTTAATTTTGAAATCAAGGTGAACATAACCCATTTTGCCTTTATTATTTATTTATCGTCAATTTCTCGATAAAACGAAAAACAAAATCAATAAATATAAAATACTTTTTCTTACCCCCTTCTTTTGTTTCCTATACCTCATTATATTTTTAGATTTTTTTTATTAAATCAATAAAGTCAAAAAAAAGCATATTATTTTAAGATTTTTTTGAAAAACAATATTTTTATATAAATTTTTTTTTATTATCTCGTTCCCCTCCCCTACCCATACTCTCCCCAAAATCTAACTCGTTCCATCTTCGAAAAAAAAACAAACTCGCGCGTTAAAAACTTTAAAAAAAATGCACATGAAATACACCGTAATGGGGCGTAGGATAAACAATTCCGCTTCCAACCCTTGCAGGAGCCAATTCCCTCTCTACATCCTAACCGATAAAAATATCAATCGTTGTCCGGGCCCATACTACGCCGTCGATACTACCTGCTATTACAGCACCCACAGATCATCTGACTCTTTTTCGGATTCCACATTTTTGACGAGAAAGCTAGAAGACGCTCGCCTAGACTTTGACAACGAAATCATGACAACTGCACCCCCCGCCGCCAGCTGCGAAAAAATTTTGGTGCAATTGGGAGAAGCCAAGAGGTTCGCCGTGGAAAGTATGAAAGCCGTGGGCACACAAGAAGACCACGCCATCGCGCTCGCCGAGTTATTGGTGACCGCCGATTATCGGGGTCATTTTAGCCACGGGTTAAATAGATTACGTAAGTTTATTTATTCTTACACTTTCGTTCTTTTAATTAAGTCTAAATTTAAAATATTTTTTTTTTCTATCATTTTTAAGTGTGAGAATGTTTTAAAGAAATAATACAAAAAAGTCAAATCTTTGAATGACATTTTAATAAAAAATATGTATTATAATGTAGATAATACGAAATAAAATTGAATTCATTCTTAGAAAAAATTTCTTCTTTGCTCTAGAGCTGGGATCTTTAAAAATTTTGTTAAAATTAGTCGAGTTTTTTTTAACTCATTGTTTATACTTTTTTCTAGGACCAGCGGCCGGAACCCGGGCCGTATTCGGCAAAATAATGTGATTCTAAAAATCCGGGCTTGGCTTAAAATGTGGTTATTTCCAAAAACCGGGATCGAGCTGACGAATTTTTTTTAGGATAATACTTAGAAAATTATCTAATCTAAATCACTCTTTTCTTATTCTCGATTAAAATATACTAAATACAGCTAAAAACATTTAAGCTAAAATTCAACACGTTAATAAATATTTTTTTTGTAAAAGAAAATAAAATTAAGATAAGCGGAGATGTAACAAATATTGGCTTTAGCCTTGAAAAATTTCATATTTTATTTTTTGATAAGAGGACGAATATTTATATATAGAGGACGAGTATCTAATATACATAATATAATATATAAATATAAATAATTTAAATTAGCCATGTTTTATTGTCCTTGAAAATCTACTTGCCTTCTTAAAATTATAATTTGATGTTGTGTAATAAAAAAAAAACTAATCTTAATTTGTTATGTTAAAACGAACAAGAGGAGAAAATAATTATTATTCATTTTTTTTGTAATTTTCCTAAACCGGCAGTTGGTCCAGCCTAAATACCGGATTCTGTAGGATTAGTAAAATGGTATGACTTCGATATATCCGGGCCGGACCTCTTAAGAGATACAAATTTTTTTTAAAAAAATTATAATTAATTTAATCATTTGATACTGATAAATTTTACATTCTTTTCATTTCTCATATTTTTATTGAATCCCAAACATTTTTTCATAATGCAACTCAGAATGAAATTTTTTAGATCCTTATAGTGCTTACAAATTGAGCGTTTACGTTTTGCCTTAACTTTAAAATAAAAAAAAACGTAACGCGACCCTTGTTTAAATTGAGATTGTCTTTTTATTAATATCCGTCGATTCAAAATTTTAAATAAGTTTCTAAAAAAAAAGGATTTGTCTTTGAAAATTATATTATCGTCTGCCTTCTTATTTCTTTAATTTCGAAATATTCCACTTTAGGATATAAGTAATTTTATTTATATTTACATATTTATATAATATTACAAAGCGAAGAATAATAAAAGTAATGAAAAAGCAAACCTATTTGCGTTTTTAAAATGGTTGCAAGCGCCAAACGATAATTTTACCAATTTGCACGAGGCCATTTGAAATGCATTATTTACGCTTGCAACGCAGCGTTTGAAACGCTCAATTTGTGCATTAATCATTTGATACTGATAATTTTACGTTCATTAATTTTTCATATTTATCGATTTTCTTGAATTCCAAGCATTTTTTTTCAAGATGCAGCCCTAAATAAAATTTTTAAGATCCTCTAACCCCGGGCTAGGCTTAAACTAGACCGAGGGGATAGTTTTGCCTTGAATTCTATGAAAATAATATTGCTATCATATTATTACCATTCTTATATAATCGATATGGCAGCCATGTACGTGCGTGACATAGAGAGCGGAATATGCAAAAGCGATTGCGAACCCACGATTCTGAAAGAAACCGTTTCGACGGCTTGGGTAGACGGGAATAATTTATTGGGCCCCGTTGTCGGTATGTTCGCAATGAATTTAGCAATAAAAAAGGCCAAAGCGACCGGGGTAGGATGGATTTCTTGCAAAAGTTTTTTTTTTCGCATTTTTTTTTATTCAAATTATTTTAAGTTAAACTATTGGGTCAAAATGCCATTCTCTTTTTTCTTCCTTTTTTATTATTATTGCCGATATATGTTACTTATTTAATTTCACATTTATGCCTCTCATTATTGAAGTTAAAAGATGTTTCGTTCGGGCCAGGTACTTCTACCGTGTGGGAATAATTTAGGCGGAGAGTCAAGATCGTTTTGATGAAATTGGGGGGTGGAGGAGGGGGGGGGGTGAGTAGCTTCAATTATTTTCCAGGAGGATGTAGGGGGTAAAATCTTAATTGGCTTAGGGGGAAGGGCTGTAAAAATCCTTGATCCAATCAGGATGAAGCGCTTATTCGCAGTGCCTTGCGTCCCTTCTAAGATATACAAAGTATTATAAGTAATTTAAAGTTAAAAAATTTTAATTCTTATATCTGTGTTTTAAGATTCCAATCATTTCGGTATCGCGGGATATTATACCATCATGGCGGCCCATGAAGGATTAATAGTAACGAATTGAATAAACTATATATTTTTTTTATATAATAACAGAGATTGGAATGATCTTCAAGATCATAAAAAAAAATCTTTTGATCCTTCAATATGATTTTTTTTTGAGAATGCTAAACCAGAATTTTTGATCAAATTTTACCTGAATTTATATTTTTATTTTAAAAAAAAAACACTTACCATGCCAATCACATTTAGCGCGAATTCGCGGCGTAGTATACAAAAATAGCATTTTGTATAATTTTCCGCTAATCCACGTTAACTGTGAATGCATGGGTTATAAGGTAAATCTTTTGTGATTTTTATGCGCGAAGTTTTTTTTAATTTGAAATTCACAAATTTAAAAAAAATTTTACCCAAAATTTTGGATAAAAAAAAAATGTTCAAAAAATCTTTATTTCAAACTCTGAATAATATATTGAATATATTATAATACTATGGGATCGGGCGGACCCAAACACGCTTAATATAATATTGAACCTACCCGAAGCCCATTGTTGTTATAAGGTGTTGATCTTGGCTAAGCCTAATACCACAACTTAGTGTTGTTAAACGGCTCATTTTGAGCCGATTCTTAAAAACGCTAACTCAATATTTTAGCCAAAGAAATATTGCCGGTTTCAGATTTCGCTAATAGATGTCTAGACCTTTGTGCCATCTATGAACAAAATCTTCAGGTTTGAGTAATATTTTTCTGGAGCTACCACAACTATATAAACAAAAAAATGTTGTATATTTTAAGATAAAAACGTGGTAGAAATATATACATATATATGTATATAATGGGTTAATGATGCTTACTACCAAGTGAATGTATGGAAATATTCTAAATACCAACCTAATTTGCTAAATACCGACCAAAATTTATTAAAATGTAATAAGATCCTTATTATTTAATATATTAATACGGAATCACGTGGTCGAGTCCGGACTCCTATATATTATCCCCCAAGGATGGAACCACCAAGTTAGAATAAGAAAAAAAACATGATCATTCCTGGGATTCGAACCGGGGACCATGGGATAAGTAAACCAAGCTCTTGCCAGGCCATAGAGGCTTTCCAAAAATCACGATTTTTCAAATATATATTATAAATATATTTGGTAGTGCCTATCCAAATGAAAAATGAACAAAATTCAAATTTGATAGATGGTACCTTAAGGTACCAAGCATCATTAACCTATATAATGATTGCAGAAAGATTGTAATTTTTCCAAATTCATTTGAATACAATAAAAAATAGGGTATGGCTTTTACAAACACGTCCCCTTTGCAAGTGCCGACCCGTGCCAAAAAGACTATCCTAGGAACGAACCCTATAGCCATGACCGCTCCCGCCAAAGGTGACGATTATTTCTGCCTTGATATGGCTACATCAACCGCCGCGGTTGGAAAGGTTTTTATTTTCAAAATATTAAAATTTTATGCATTATTAAATAAAAAAATTAATTCTAGATGGCTGTGATAATTTATATTCGAATTATGTTCACTCTTTTATAAATGTTATATCAGAGAGAAAAAGAAAGAAAGAAAATTGGCATTATTAAATAAAAAAATTAATTCTAGATGGCTGTGATAATTTATATTCGAATTATGTTCACTCTTTTATAAATGTTATATCAGAGAGAAAAAGAAAGAAAGAAAATTATTTAAATTCTTATTAATTTTAAAAAAAAAATTTAAATCATATCTTAAAGGTAGAATACCACGACAGACAAGGAATCCCCATTCCTAAATGCTGGGGAGTAAATAAAGATGGCTTGGAAACGCAGAATCCTAAGGAGGTTCTTCAAGGGGGAGGTTTGCTCCCTCTAGGAGGTATGGAAAAAACGGGGGGATACAAAGGTTCTGGCCTAGCCATGATGGTCGAAATATTTTGCGGGATTCTGGCAGGTAGCACTTACGGTCCCAACATCAGGAAATGGATGAATACGGAGAAAGTCGCCGACTTGGTGAGGGATTTGGTTCCGTGTTTGGGTCCATTTTTTTTTAAATGCGCTTTTTGAATGAAAGTGTTAGGCACTATGTACATAAAATATGAATGGAACTAATTTTTTTTTCTTTTAGAAGAAGATTTAAACTACGAACCACCTATATAAAGTCAATGAGGGTTAGGGAACTTGGAAGTTTTTTTTGAAAGTTACTTTTTTTCTCCATAGTTGTTGAACCTTTTGAATGAATCCATCTAGATATCGATGCTGCTAAAAAGGCATCTTGATAACGATACAGATACTTTTTATATACGTTATATGGATACAGATATAGAAATTACATATCTAGTAAACATTTAAAACAATTAGGCTTTTTTTTAAAAAAACCAAAATTTTAAATTTAATTTCTATCAAATTTTAAATGTTTTGTTTTTTAATTTATATTAAGTTTAAAATAATTTTTATTATTAATAGGGTCAATGCTTTGTCGCGCTAAATCCCGAAATGTTCGCACCGAATTTCGTCGATAGAATGAGCGATCTTATGGCTATCAACCGCAATTTGCAGCCGGTAAAAATTAGAGTTTAAGCTCGGAGGATCTTGAATATTTTTTTTTTCGCTCAAAATCTTTGAAGCAAACAATAATCTTTGAAGATTAAAAAAAATAAATAAAATTCGTGGTCTTATTTTTTGAGAATGCTCATTTAATATTTTGATCAAATATAATCTTATTGGGATTTTTTTATTGAAGAAAAATTCAAAAAATTTTTGTTGCGAGTAGATTTTAAAACTCGGTATAAATATTTAGTAAATATAAATCTCTGCAATTAGTTTCAGCCTTTTTCTCCGCCGAAAGTTTTTCTCATTTTTTCATGGATTTTAGTACTAGCTTTAAATTAAACTGCATTATCAACCTAAATACTGTATCTATAACTTGCTATAACTTAATATCTCTATATTTATTAACTACGGATTACCTTTTATTATTATACTCATGAAGACGTGATATCGCAATTTATTAAATTTTGAATCATGAATACATTTTGATTTTATTCCCTGCCTGTTGCATCCTAATAACTCTATAAAAATTGGTTACACAAAAATCAATAATTGAAGAGTTTGTATAACAGTATTCTCTTTTATATCTGAGGTAATACTTTAATTTTTTTTTTAAATAATATTTTTACGGCATTAGATTGAGGGAGAAAAAGAGGTACTAGTAGCTGGAGATCCAGAGAGAAAGCACATGATTAAATGCGACAAGGATAATGGTATCAGATACCATCCCAATCTTTTCGACGCCATGGTATAAGAAAAAAATAAATATATTTAATTAATCGTCAGCCTTTGGAGTGTTCCACTTGCGCAAATGTTTAAAATGAGAAAATCAACATATCAAATATAGGAAAAGCTTATCGATCAATTTTGACAAGCTTATAACTTTGGCAAAAATTAATATTTTTTAATCTAGTTTTTATTAACTCAAATCATTTTGAAAATGTTGAGTGGAGCACTCCAATTCTAGACCGACGAAATATCAGTATAATTAAAAGGATATGGTATATGAGGCAAAAATTGTTTTCCATTACTTAAGCAAACTTTATAAGTTTACTACGAGAGACAGATGTTACAATATTCTTTATTAGTTCCTCATTTCATGTCTTATTTTTTTTTAATACATAATTTTTAGTCGAAAAATTTTTCATTTTTTCTAATACAAATTATAATATTAAGTTAAATTAATAAATTTTTTAAAAAAAATATTGAATATTTTATTTTATTTTTTTCAAAAATATATATAATTCTAGACACAATTAGGCGAAAGGCTGAAAATAAAGAATTTGCAAAAATCTTCGTAAACCGATCAAACTTGGCCAGAAATTTTCAATCGATTTCGTTTTTATATCTTTCGATTTTCCCGTGCCTTAAAGAAGAAAAACAAAATTTAATGTTTAAAGAACCGCAAAAATTAGAATATCTTCTTTAAAAAAATATCAAATTAAAATTTTCAAATCTCAGGTATGCGTTATATCTATCTGAAAAAAAACATTTAAAGATCGCAGCCTCAAACAAAAAAAAATGTTTTTTTTATACATAATGATAATATTTATATTTTTTACAATTCATGAACATTAGTTATTAAATTCGAATAAATTAATTTTGTGATTATTCCATTTTCATAAGTAGAAAAAAAGCAAGCAGGTGGGGGGGGGGGTGGGTGGTAATTTAAGTTTACAATTATGGGGTAAGATTTTCTGGGAAATAATGGTTTATCCTCAATCTTAAAGTGAGAACTCAGGATCAGAGACCTATGGGCCGGATATGGGTGGGCGTGATATATTTTCTATCAGGCCTGGGTTTTTCGAAAAAAAATTTTTTAAAATGAGCTAGGGGAAAAAAAGTTTCGCTAACTTGTAGAATAATATCGCAAATTCTTTCTTCTATTAATAATAACAAATATAAATATTGTAAACAAAATGATTGCCTAAATTCACTTAAAAATTGTGTTATATTTTCATGAAAATATACTATAAAGGCTTGGGTCCGGCTTTCGAAACTTATTATAGGCTTGGGCTGTACTTGGGAATTTTTTTTTATAGTATTAAATATAATCTCTTCTTTAATACTTTGTATAAATATTTAATTTTGTGATTCAAATACTAAACACGATAAAAATGAATTGGCTTGCTACTAATAGTGCGGATCAAAAAAAAAGAAGAATTTATACCATCTATCGCTATTCATAAAAAGAGGGAAAAAAATGTTGATTTCATTTTATGATCATTTTCTTCTTTTTATTTCCGGTTTTTATTATTTTAAATTTTTAAAAATATTTGATATTACCTCACTGTAAAGGCCTTTTATCAAGCTATATCAAAAAAAATTTAATGAAGCCTTTAACTTAATTTATCTAAAGATATTTATAATTAAAGGGTGTGCATCGTGCCTAATGCTTCATTATTTTGACATTTAGAGACCCGTATATCAGCCGCTGTTTGAAGTTGGAGGTTCAAAAATATTTTGGTTATAATATATTCAAACTCTTTCTAAAGAATTTTGGAAAAATTTGAGTGGGTCCAGATATCACTTTCACCAGCAATACTCAAGGTTAACTAATGAACCCAATAATTAATATATTCTTAAAGCTTAGGTCTTTTTCTTAAAAATAAGACTAGGAAAGCATAGGACTAGCTTTAAAAATTATATTCATATAATATATTTTCTAAACCAATTTAAACTCGGGTTTATAAATTGTAAAGAAGATTCTTTATTGAATACTAATTTGGTATGACTTCCGCAATTGTATTCGCAAATATTCGCTATAATCACTTCGCAATTTAATTTTTGCGATGATTTCGCTATAAAATTTTCTAGTTTTGTAGTGGTCATCATAAAGGAACTTGTTTAACCACGATCAAAATTTTTAAAAATGCAATAATATTTCTTTTATTTTAATATATATTAGGGAATTACATCGTCGCTTCCACTATTCAAAATAGCATAACCTGTGGCACATAACCAGGTTTGGGCTAATTTTCAAAAAAAATATATTCGAATATAAATACAAATACATTTCAAAATAAAATAGAGTACAAATACAAATACTTTTTTTAAAATATGTATTTTAAACATAAATACTAAATATTTATAAAAAAAATTTTTTAAGTATCTAACGAAAATATCAAATAAATACTATAATGAATACTTTAATCAATTTTTTAGCACCAAGATTAATTTTTTCTAACAAATTATATTTATTTCATTTACCATTTTATTTAATAATTGCAAATATAATTAATATCACATTTTACAGAGCAGGAAGGAATCGATCCATTTATGATATTGGTTTTTTCAGCAGATATTATATTTAGCTTTTACTATATTAATGATTTTGGATGATATTTTGAAATAAAATGCCAACCAGAAACTTACACTGTCACAGAATCCCTACATAAATATCTTATAAACATAAAAGGTTATTATAAAACCCCCTTTTTCTTCAATATTATATCTTTCTCATATTCAAAATGACATATAATACCTAGACTGACGATTGCATTTTAATTAATGAATAGTCAGTCTAGGCATTATTATATGTCATTGGCTTTTGGTAATAATTATTTTAATTATAAATAGGATGTAAAATAAAAGTAATTTTTATTACTAACTCACGTCACAAATTTAATATTTAAATAAATAAATGTGGATTTACATTTTATAATTCAATTTATAACAATGAATTATTTTAAGTACAAGTATCTGCGTTAATGCCCAACTCTGCATTCAACAACCAAGTTATTTGAAAACAAATTTAATCCTTTTTTGGATTCGAACGATCTTAATTTATATGTGCAATCACCGACGAGACCACAGTTGATTTCTAAACAATAGGTATATAGGAATAAACTATAACACTTACCAAATTGTTATTCTACTATATTCTTTCAAAAGAGATTGCAGAAAGGGTTTTATTATAAAATATTGCGCCATTTTTATCACGATAAATTTGCTATAATAGAATATTTCGCTGAATTGGCTTGAAACAGTTTTTATGATTTCTCAGCTGATAATTTCAAAAAGATCCCTTAAAACATTAGCGCTATTAACGTGAAAATATGTCAAAAAAGGTAAATTATTTTAAAGAATCCCATATATATTTAATTTAATATTAAAAAATTTGGAAATAAAGGTTGAATCACATTCTGATATTAATCTACATGTTGCAGCAAGGAATGGTGATTTAAATGCTCTAATAAATATCTTAGAAAGTGGAAAAGTTCATGTTGATTGCGAAGATTCGGTTTACATCATTAATATATTATAAAATTGAAATACTATAAAATTAGAATGGGACTACTGCCCTTATTTTATCATCAGTAAATAATCACCTAATGTGTTTAAAGGAACTGATTAATCAAGGGGCTGATATTAACCATCAAAGAATAGTAAAATTATATCAAAATATAAAGTTCTTATTGTAAATTGCATTTTAGACAGGTACCACTGCCTTGTTTTTTGCCTCTCAGGGTGGATTTATTGAAATAGTAAAAGAACTTCTAAACAATGGAGCTAATCCAAATATAATAAGCCATGTATAATAATTTAAAAATTAACATGTAATCTTTTAAAATTTTTAAGGATTCTGGCAGCGCTTTATTAGTTGCTTGTCAATGTAATCATTTAGATGTTGTAGTGGAGTTGATATCAAAAAATGCTGATATTCATAAATCATTAAATGTATTTATTATTTTTAAAAAATAATTTAGCAATCAATGTGAATAAATATTTTATATTATTTGATATTAATTTATCTATACATATAATAATCATTCTGATAAGTATTTAACAACCTATATTTATTTTAATTAGGATGGAGCATCAGCATTGTTTATTGCTTCCCAAAATAATAATTTAGATGTTGTCAAATATCTAATTTCAAAAGGAGCAGATTGTAATTTTATTCGAAAGGTAAATATTACATTTAGTTTATAAGGCATATACTAATTTCATTTATTATATCTTTAAGAAATTTTTTTAAAATTCTACCAGATGTAGTTAGTACTAGTTTTTTAAAATTAGTCTGAAGCCAAACAGCCCTATTTATTTGTAAAAATAAGTCAAATTGAGGTTCTTTAAGATTAACTCCTGCAGATAGTCATTTGGTGGCTAAAAGGAATAATTACATATATCTCTGATATTATATTAAGAAATAAATTTCAAAAATGTAGATTAACAAAAATACCTGTCAGGATTAGGGTTTTTCAGCAGAAAGACTGTAACCCTCTTTTTGCTATAGCTGTACTGAGATTAAATATTAGATCGGGCTGATATTTAGCATTTTTTTAAAAAAAATATTGGATTGGACCATTATTTATATTTTGGTTATTATTTTATGATTTAATATACATATATCAGAGACATGCACATGTACCATATGCCTGGTCAAGTTTTTCAGCCCTACCAGAGTTTTGTATTTTCAGGCCAGATCTAGATTTTTAAATATATTACATTAATTTTTAATTTTATAGCTGATAATGGTGATTTAAAATAAAAGAAAGTTCTAGGCCCGGCTTAGGTATTTTAAAAGGAAATATTTTTAGACCCAGCCCGGACTGTGTATATTAAAAAAAAAATTGAAGTACAGCCTGGACCAGGTACCCGGTAGTGTTGTTAAACGGCTCGTTTTGAGCCGATTTTCATAAACGGCTAATTTAAGATTTTAGCCAGAAAAATATTGCCTAAGTCTCTAGATTTCGCTAATTGATGTCTACTAGACCTTTGTGCCATCTATGAGAAAAATCTTCAGCCTTGCCTAATATTATTCTAGGTAAAATATTGAGTTAGCCACTTTTAAAAATGGGGTCAAATCGAGCCGTTTAACAACACTAATACCCGGGCTTGCAGGTCTATATTTGTATTTTATACATAATTTAATTATATATTAATTAAAGGAACCAAATTCAATCTATTTTTTAATGTTTTTTAAAAAAAATCTGAATATTTTAAAAAGATAATGTAACTAAAAATTGGTATCATTTCTTTTTTATAATTATACTATCTGGAACAAGAAAAGGGTTTATAATATACCTAACACATCTCTTTCAGCTGGTATTGTTAAACCGTTTAATTTGGCACGAATTTTGAATCAAGAATTGAGCCAAAAAGAAAATTAACTAATTTTGAAAATTTTGTTGACAGATGACAGAGAGATTATCTATTGGCGAAATTTAGAAGCTTAGGTAATATTATTTTGACTCTTCATTAGTTCCTTATTTTAAAAAAATCGGCTAAATCAGCCATTTAGCAACATTACATTCAGCTATAAACATTGCCCATATATTAAATGAGATTATTAACTTTTTGAAGAATAAAAATATCAAATTTTAGGTATCAGCTTCTAATTGGATCGATTTCACAATAATATTGGTCGATGAAAAATATGTGAATTAGCGCATCCCTACTGTTTGCTTAATGTTTTAAAATTTTGTACCTACCCATGGCAATTGTTTGAAATAATTTGGTTTTTTTTTTATTTCAAATTAGAGATCTGCAAAGCCTGGTCTGTAACACCTAGTTGGCGTGTCAAATTTTTTTAAGAAAAAATTATAACTTGCCAGGTGGAACAATCCACACAAGAAAAATATTCCGGCCGAATCGGACAATTTATACATAGACAGGGCCTCACAAATTTTGATTTTTCGGTGAAAATGGCTGTCTGACTAAAATACTAAATTTATAAATAACAGTTGTTAAAATATCTAGATATATAAATTTGGTATCTGTTTAGATTGTATAATTTTGTTTTAAACTTTAAAATTTGCTAATTTCATACTTCTCGAGGAATCGTCGATATTTTTTAATTTTATTTAGAAAAAAGAAATATTTCATTTAGGAAGTATAAAATTATTATTATTTTGCATAGGATGAAGTGTCACCGGTTTGGATAGCTTCTCAGATGGGGCATGTTGAGATCGTTAAAGAGTTGTTGCGTAATGGTGCCGATCCTAATATAGCCAAAGACGTTTTACAACTTTATTATATTAAATTAAATATTATTTTTTTTAAAAAAAAAAATAAATAAATTAAAATTTATAGAATGGTTCAACTCCACTTTTTAAAGCTGCGCATAAAGGTTACATTTTGATAGTGGAAGAATTATTGAAGTATAATCCAAACCTAATGCTTCTAAAGGTATATTTTTTTTCTTCTTCTTCCTATTATTGTTATAGAGTTTTAAGCAGTGTTTATATTTTATTAAAAGTAGAGAAATGGAAAGCATTATTTTAATTTTCGGAGGGGGTTTCCAGAATATTCCTGGCCCGTTGAAAAAAAATATGAAAGAATTTTTATTTTAATGGAAATAGAAGGAAAAAATGCCATCGCTCTTCAACCCTGGTTCAAAGTCCACTTTTGGTTAAATAAAATTAAGCTTGGGTTTCTTAGGACTTTCCTATATCCCTTCCCATTTAAAAATTCATCGTAAATGTAATATAATATTAATCATAGCGACGATTTCTAAATATCCTTTTTCTAATGGATATTTTGGAACCCGGACAAATCAGCCGGGAACTAGTTCTGTCAAATTTACATATAATAGATATATTGGGTTTATTTTAGTGGGGGGTTATTTATTGTTTAGATTTAATTTTTCTATTACTTTGATTGACGGTTTAGAAGCGGAATCGCGTCATATTTTTAGAATTGAACTAAAAATTTTAGGAACCGGAATTACCTAGAATATTCGGGAACAGAACCCTCATCTTCCAAACTCTGATTTATATATATTTTTTTTAAATAATCGTAATTTAGAATGGTGAGACCGTATTACACGCCGCTTGTAATTTTGGTCAAATGAAAATCGCTCAGCTATTGCTAAAACATGGAGCTAATCCCGAATTAAAAAATTCGGTTTGCTTTAATTTTTTTTCCTTTTTCTAAATTCCAACTTATTTTAAGGATGGCCTGACATGTTTGGACATCGCGCGTCAAAATAATTTCGTTGATTTATACAAATATTTGCGGTCGTCATTAAATAATTGTGATATCGAAAGCTCAAATATCAAAACTCAAAATAATTCGCAAGTCAATGACATGTCAACTATGGTTTAAAAACCGAGAAGAAATTATAGCTTAATTATACATTATAAAAATTTATTTCATATATATAAAATAAGCCTCCTTCATTAAATTCCATAGTCAAAATTATTATTCCTTTATATTTTAACCAAAATTCCTATTTGTTAAGAATTGTTAAAAACGGGAGTTTATTTTTGATCAAACTAATTTTTAAACTGTGATTTTTTTTTTTGAAACTTATAACAATTCAACGATTTTTTCTATTTATAATAATCAATCAAATTAATTATAATTGCTGTATTAGCTATAAATTATTTATTCAAATTTGAAATAGTGTATAATAAAAATATATTTACGCGATAAACATTGATATTTTATCAATTATATTTGAGGTCTGCAAAACTCAACCCGAAAACCGATCATCGACCCCTATTTGTGGGTTCTTACGGGAAATTGTGATTATTACTTTTCGGTTGTAGCGGATATGGAAATGCTCCGCCCCGGGTTAGGGTAGCGTCTTACATGACAAGATATTCCCTGGAAGCAACCCCCCCCCCCCCCCCCCACTTAAATACCTATACTTATCCCCTTAAAAATTTATTGCCGCCGATATTATAAAATTACGCGCGTTTAATTATAATGGTACTCCAACATATATTTTAAAAGAATAAAATATCACAAAATTGTGAATGTAAATTATATTTTAGAACATTAATTAAATTTAAAATGAGTTCATTATTATAGTATATTGTTTTGGCATGAATATGAGTTTGCTGATAAAATGTCTAACCTTTTTTTAAATTACATTTATAAAAGATAGCAGAAAATTATCGACAAAAAGTTTATTTGAAAAATAACGACAGATGATTAGATTTGGTCCGCTGTTTAGCAATATCATTGTATTATTAAAGGTCTATTATAGAAGTAATAAATAATTATTTAGAGGTATATATTTTATCCTATTTTATTTAAAAATTTAATTGCCCCCCCCTCCCCCCCCCCATTAAATTTTTAGTTTTTTCTACTCCCCTCCATCCCTTCAAAAAATTAGCGAAATACACCTATCCTCATTTCCCCTCTCATGTCGGGTGCAGATCTCTTCAAATACCCTAAAAATGTTAAAAATATAGGCCTATCGAAAATTATTAAATCCGATAACGAAATTTACTCAAACAAATCGTTTTACGAATAATAAAAATTTCTTTGACAAGTATCAAATTTAGACTTAATTAGTAATGTCATAAATTTTGGTTATCAAATATTTTTTTTTTGATATATTAATTTTATTATAAGTGACTGTTTAAAATTTCCTAAAACACAAATATGATAATAAATGTGGCATGGTTTCTAAAATAAGAAACAAATAGGTTAAATTTATGCCTGAAAAAATGGCTATTTTTTTTTAGTTTTTATGTTGTATCTTATATGCTGCTATTATTAATTATGCAATAAAATTTTCAAATTAATCGATTAAATTCATATTTTATTTTATTTAAATATGAATTTGAATTTATCTCAACCGGTTAAAATGTATTTAGAATGCTATTTATAAATATGCGGGCATAATTATCTTAACTGATTATTTTCTAAACTAAGTGTTGTTAAACGGCTCGTGTTGAGCCGGTTTTTTTAAGACGGCTAACTAAATATTTTAGGCAGAAAAAAAATTGCTTAAGCCTCGGGATTTCACTAAAAGATGTCTAATCAAATCATCACTTTACGACCCGACCATGTCAGATTTTGTTAAAATTTGGTATTTAAGTTAATAAAGTATTGCAATTGACGAATCCAAAATATTAGACTCTTAACTCTATTAGAACCTGAGATCTACAACTTCAAAGTGGTTCAGTTTGGTCATTTTTCGAAAAAAATGATTTTTTAAAATTGGGATAACTTTTATATTAGATGCACTATGTATATCTATTTGGCTCATTATATAGCCCTAAGTGTAAACTCTTGAACGTATGTTAAATAAAATTAATTTTTAGTTTATATATTTTTTTAAAATTGCGGTTAAAAATTTGTAATTTATTTTTTAAAATGTTAGACTTTTTTTTTAATGGATGAGATACTTTATTTAAATAACAAATTTTACATTTACGAATTATAATTTTTAAAAAAATATAAAAAAACTAATAATATATTAAAAATGAATTAAAAAATAAAATATGTATGTATAAAAGAGAAATGGGATATAAAAAATAATAAAATTTAAAAAAGGGTACAAATCACCCTAGAGAAGAGTGAATGCTTAAAAAATTGGACCGGCAGATTTTCATGGAAATCTGTTGACAAAGGTAAAATCCTTCATTGGGGTCCCCTGAGATCTGCCTCATTTTTTTTCCTATAGTTTTGATGAAATCGAATCACTTCCGAACATGCCTAGGGTAATGGTAATGATTGGGATAAACACGGTATTAGTGAGGCAATATTTTTTTTTTTTAGGATTTCGGCCTTTTGGATGGCAGAAAATGAGAGGTTGGACTTGGCGGCAAAATTGAAACCGGTATAGTCCCAAGCTAGGGGGAGACCATTACAGGGAATGAGAGATATGCCATCGGGGCGTATGGCATTTTTGTTTGAGAGGCAAACTGGTTCTAGGGTGGATGGAATATTAACTTTTTTAAGAGCAGCTAGGAGGATGTTGATAATAGATTTATGACACGGTTGTCTTCCACGGGAGAACTTGCAGTGCAAAGGATGGTAAGATTTCGATGGGATGGCCACTGTCTATGCAAATGGAGGGAACCACAGCCAAGGCATAGGACTATGGAAATACGTAGCTGTTCTCCAGTCAAGAGGAGGCCAATATTGGAACTGAGGATGGCTTCGAACCAGCGTCTACATGAGCGGGAGGGGTAGGAACAGTTTGCATCCTATTTTTTTGAGGGGGTAGGGGGTAAGCTGCTTTAATGGGGGTAGGATAAATTTTATTTGGGGAGGGGGTTATCTATTAAATTTGGAGATGAAATGACAAAATTTATTGCTGTAAAAATTAATACTTTTATTAATATTATTATAATACAATTCATCGACCAAATCTATATATTGCAAACAATCATACACATTGTTTTCCAAATAAACTATCCTTTTAAATATAATTTAAAAGGTTTAGATATTTCAGCAAGCTCATAATGCCATAATAATTAATTCATTGTAAATATAATGGAGGTTTTGATTAAATTTATTATGTAAAAAATAAATTCTTTATATTCACAAAATATTGATAGTTGGTAGTAGAGATAGATTAATATAAGTTATCCTTTATAAATTATTTGAAAAGAGTATCAATAAATAAATAGGTGAAAATAATGATAAAGGGCGGTAATTTTTTAGGGGGGCAGGCAAAGGTTTTTGAAGGGGGTTTGCATCCAATGAAAATCCTGTCATGTAGACGCTGGAGATTAGTAGAGATGGCATAGCCATAATTTGTCATTCATTTAAAGCTGACATTAAATATATTAATGTCCGATTCTCAATTTTTCGTAGCCCGGCTCTTAAAGACAAAATTTTGTTTACGTCTATAAAAATTATAATTTAAAAGAATACTATAATATTTTTTTTATTTAGTTATATTCGTTTTTTTTCGAGCAAACGATTATCGGTTATAAAAAATAATTAATCGTTCACTGGAAGCCGAATTGGTTTGAGGCTGACAAAATTTTTATTGACCAAATTCCTAAAATAAAATTAAGTTGAGCTACACAGGTAAAAATAAGATTTTCGAGGTAGGAAAACTTTATACAACATATTTTTATAGGACCTGAAAATTATCATATAAATCATATATATATATATCTTTTTTTAAATTAACACTAATCATACATTATTGAACGACTTGTCGTTATCTAAAAATCACTGTAATTCAGATTTATCAGAAGATTCGTCAAATTTTTGGCAATTCTCTTTGATAAGACTCTCTATTAATTTCACGGAGTTACTCGTTTTAACCGGTTTAATCAGAGTATCTACCCATGTTTTCCTTAAAAAGGCCCGCACAGTTTGAAGATTGCCCATGTTTATTCCACAATAGCTTACACTTAGAACAATTTTGTGTTCTTTTACATGGGCTGAGCAATTTATAATTAAAATATTTTAATGGGAGCAGAAATAGATAGCGAAAAAGGTCAAAAGACCTAAAAATCTTATCTAAATTAATTGTAAGAATTGTAGGTCATTAAAGACCCTATTAAAAAAATCATTTTTTGTAATTTTTTTTCTATTACTGGTTTACGTCCAGTTTGTCGATGTGTAAATAAGATGAATAAATATTTGAATTATTTATAATGTTTAATTTAAAATTTTTAAAATATCTTATTATTTTTAAATAAATACAATTATTTTTCAAATATAAATTTTGAGCAAAATAATATCTTAAATCACCATTTAATTTATTTATAATATTGGCAATGGGTTATAATAATGTTAGAAATAATTATTTTATAAAAATTATATTAAAAATATAAATAACAATATAAATTCCTCCTAATGATGGCGTCTTTTAAAAATCGACTTTTTTAAAAAATAATTAATATAATGTTAATAAAAGATATAAAAAAGATATCTCATGAGGAATAATTCATAAAAATCGTAATAATTATTTTATTGTCTCATTTTTATAAAAAGTTTAAATTTTATAAAATATTATTAGATTTGTAAATTAGAAATTACAATTATTTAATATAACATATTTAATTTATCACTACAGCAAGCATCTGCTCATTCTAATAGATGCTATGGGTATTAGGTAGTTAACCTTCACCCATTTAATAATCACAAATATATATATTATCATTATAGAATATATCTTTTTAACGAATATACTAATTCTTAATAAAATAATATGATATATTCAAACATATATTTCCATAATATAAATAATAACAATATATGTATAATTTCCACATTACTACATTTCCCCTTTATTAATTGAAAGCAAACTTATATCATTTAGACTTGAACAAACAATTTTTACTACAAAATCATTTAATAATCATAATTTTTTCATTCTCGCTTTTAATATTTGTATTGTTAATATATTTTATTTCATTCTGCAATTTCATTTAATATAATCTACCTGAACATCTTAATGAATTTATTATTTTATTTCTTTTGAAAATTCATTCATCAACCAATTTTATTTTTCTTTGTCAGCAATTATATAATAAGATTTTCATAATGGGGGGGGGGGGGGGAATTAAAAAATTATTGGGGGCTTCGCCCCCAGCCCCCATTTTGAGCGGGCCTTTGGCCCGCTTTTCCCCGGCCATCGGCCGGGTTACTTTAGTCTATATATAGTCATAAATATTTTTACAAATTTTAATAAAAAAAAAATAAACCTGGAACAAATATGAAATATATATTAGTTTATATAAAATATATTTTTATTAGTTTATATAAAATAAAAATATAATAATTTACTTGTATTGTATATACCTTAATATAAAAACATGGTAATAATTTATTCCAAACAATTATAAGTAAAAGAATAATTGTGCTAAAATGAATCGGTAGTAGAATAAGAATATGTAAGTCTGGTTGCGCTAAAACGAATAAGTAATAGGATAAGAATATGTAAGTCTGGTTTAGTTTGCTTTAGAATAA